AGGAAAAACGGGCTTCGACTGTGACCGCCATCGCAACTTTCTCCCCATCCCGGCGTCGCACTGTTACTTTCTTTCTTTCCTTCCTTTCTTTCCTTCTTTCCTTTCTTTCTTCATTTCCTTCTTTTCTTCTTTCCTTCCTTTCTTCCTTTCTTCGTTTCTTTCCTTCTTTTCTTCCTTTCTTCCTCTCTTCCTTTGTTTCTTCCTTCCTTTCTTTTTTCTTTCCTTCCTTCTTTCCCCTTTTCCTTTCTTTCTTCCTTTCTTTTTCTTCTTTCCTTCCTTTCGTTCTTTCTTTTTTTTCTTTCTTTTCGCGTCCGCTGCGGTCACATAGCGGTTACGGCGGACGGCAGCGGACTCGAAATTCGCAGATTCGAGTTAACCCTGTCGTGGCGGTCACATTTCAATGAAAGCGATCCAGCGGCCCGTGTAGTAAACATTTTAACGAAGAACACCGGATGATAGAAATGTTCGGAGCCCTACACTACCGTGTGCCTCAAAACCATACCGTGCTTTTGGCACGTAAAACCCCCAGCTATTATTATTATTTTTTTCTCTACACTTCACTCTCAACAGGTCCCGCGTATTACAGGCATTCCGTGAGAGTCCGACGCGCCGCTGTAGTGGCGATTCTAATCTGCATCCTCTGAAGGTCTCGTTCCCAGCGCGGCTGGCGAAAAACAAAAACACAAACAAGCGTGTTATAGCCGGAGGTCGATCGACTCTATCGACGTATCTTTCTTTCTTTTTTTTTTTCCAAGGTTGCAACTGCGCTTGCTCGTTTTGTTTCATGTTTCTCGAACACTCTCTATATGCGTGGCTGAAAAGAAAAAGATAACTAACCTCTTTCTCGAAGTATATATGAAGCTTTAGCCCGAACGGAAAAATTCAACCCATTCGGAACCGTCGCGGATCGCCTATAGATCCAATGTAGTATATACTTCTGACTATACAAACGCCCTAACGGCGACTTATTTAGATAACAAGAGTGGAGCACATTTCTACCAGATTACGCAAGTCTGGAAAGTAGTTCCCCCCCCCCCCCCCCAAGTTTCTGATCAGTTTTTTTTTTACTGAATTACGCCAGAATCTACAGTCATCAGCTGCGAATAAAGACGCGAATGGGCTTTCCTCTGTTCTCGGGAGACCACTGCAGCTGTCGCCCCTCCTCGTCACCCAAGACGGGCGTTTTTCTATTAATCGGTGTGTTTGGAAGGACGCGGTGTTTTGTTCATTTCATAAAAGTATAGTGTATATTACACGTTGTGTCTTGCGCAAGGGCGACCACGTGATCTGCGCGTGAGCTATATATATATATATGCGATGCGCTTCAATGTGAACATGGATATCGCCGCCTTCAAATTCCATGCTGTTAATTCAGTGGGCAGAGCGCTGTGTCCTCCGATGGCTTGAAACTACAGTTTGTGGGCGTCTTGCCAGTGCCGTCGTATAGTAGAAAGTGATGGTAATGTTTTCTGGTAACTGATGGCGTTGTGAGGCTGAGGCTGCAGCGAGTATTAATTGATTTTCGATCTATCGATAACTATCAACGAGATGCGGGAAGTCAAGTGACGGTGAATCTAAGAAAAGCGCTGGAGAAGCTCCCCTAATGCTGCAAATTAATTATCAAAGACGTGCAAATGTGCCTTAAACTTGCAATGAAAGTCATAGTAACTGTTTCGTGTTTGGAAGACATTTAACGGCATCTGTATTATTTCTCATAGTTAAATCTGAAGAATGCGTGTTACTGTAATTGCAACTGCGCTTTCGTTGGCTTTAATGTCAGATCAACGGGATATCGCAAAAAAAAGAGAGAAGCAAAAAACATCGTTTTTCACGATCTACCTCATGTATCAATCATTCAATCATTTATGTATAATAAAGCGTTGTTCTGCAATGTATATTACCAGAAGTTACTTCATGTACAGGCTCTCTCATACACCCGCATACTATTCTCGCTGCGGCTATGCGATGGGTAAGATTCAATGAACTGCTGCGCCCTTCGGCGGGTATTTCCGAAAACTCGTCCCGCTGGTACAACGCTAGCGACGGCAAAACAATCAGGCGAGTCATGTTTGCAATGTTTCGTAACAACCGAGAAAGTTTCGTAATAACCGAACCGGGCGATTTTCTTGTTCGTATAGTTTCGCTCGCTATACCACACGCGAGCCTCTGAGCGAACATTTTCGCATGGACGTATACTGTGACAGATAGAGACGGAGGAATGACGCTTGCCACAATCGCATTCTCATTTTTGGAATAGCCATAGCAGCAATCAAATGCGGTCGGGGGGTATATGGAGCCTGTCACAACGCACACTGCGCCACAGTAAACGCGTCTTTACGGCAGTATAACCTTGGACTTGTACATGCCTATATAGAAATTACACGTATACTGCAGGACCGTGGCTTATAGGTCGGCAAAACTTGTAGAGCTCACGTTCAGACTGACTCACGAAATATATTTAGAGCTTTGTACTCACTCGGACTCAGACTCACCAAAATTTTCGTGAGCCAAACTCACTCAGGCTCAGGTTCACGGCTCGATCTGAGTCCGAAATTAGTCTACTCACGAGTTAGTTCGCCGACCTATGGACCACGGTCCTGCGGACAAGCCCGAGCTACGGCTTTTTTTGGCTTCGACCATCATCGTCCCGGATATTGGGATAAAACTATGCTGTAAACTGGAAGCAACAATGACGCGCGCGCATCGGCGTGCACACAGAACATATAGGTCTAATAATATGCCTCATGACTCGGTTGTTATTCGAAGACAGTGATACGAAAATGCAGCTCGGCTGGTTCATTTGTTAGTGATCTGGACACCACACATAACACCAATCACTGAACAGCTGACATCTTGAATACCTTGCTTGGTTGGATGCGGCTTGTATTAGGCGCTCGAACAAGACAGGTCACCAGACAGGAAACGACGAAGACATAAAAAAGTTACAACAGTTTAACGAACCAAAGAAGATCTACAAGCTGAAGCCAGCGTTTCAGCAGTGCGGTGTATATTGTCATGTTTCTTTGTAAGAATAACGAGTTCTCAAAGAAGCTAATCGAAACATTGGTCAGAAAACTCCATTGTTCAATTACTGCAATACGAATACAGTAGCTACGTCACGTCTCCAGAGTAAAGACTAAGTAGAAAAAAATCCGCAGCACACGTTGTCCCCTACTGAAAGTGTTTTGTTAGCAGCAGAGAAAGCGTGTCCTACTCTGCAGGATAAAAGCTTAAAACTGAGCTGTATGTTCTGGAATGCTACTTTATGTATGCTGCACCGTGCACGTGCTTTGACAACTTCAATTTTGTTTTCTGTGCTTTCATGAACTTTATTGAGTTCCCATTTCCTTATTTTTCTGTCATAGAAACAGTGCTGGTATCTACATTTGAATTCTCGGGTTTATAAATCATGCACTTGCATTCGTTAATTAAGTAAAATTTGGGTAAAATTTGGGTATTGTGTCTTTTCAGATGGCGGTCACCAATTTGTACTCTTGTTACCTTCGTTTTAACTTCGTGAATCGCATTATGTTTTCCAAATAAACGGGCGCTAATAACGTTCGTTACTATTCGATTCAATCAAAGCAAGATGGTTGGTTTGTCGTGGTTAACTAACTTTGATTACCTTATTCATCACGCATTCACAAGCTGCAGACTTGGAAGGGGGGGGGGGGGAGCTTGGACAGACTAATTCTAAACTAACCAGAACAGACTGAGATTTTTCTCAACTTCAGAGGCAGTGTGTGATAAAAAAGACAATAAAAACAAATAGTTGTCATATCATTAGCAGATAAGACAAAAAATAAGAAAAAGGCTCGTGGAAAAGGTTTTCCATCATTTCATTTCCCCTATGCCTGATTACAGCTAGTTCCGGCGTTGTGTTAGTGCGAATTGCTTCTATAACCAATACTGCGCACACTCTCAGATGTTATTTCGAACGTCACCCAGCAATTCTCAATTAATTCAAACTTTCTTGCCCGCAGGATGCGTAGGCGGGCACGAGGCTGGCACTTTGCTTCGAGATTCTTTCTCGTCGTTAGTTGCAGAACGAAAACGCAAAATATGAAGCTTTTCCAGTATCCTTTTAATATTCGGTCCCACTCCTTCGTTACGGGCTGTTCAAGCGACGATTTATTTGTTTCATTCATCCATTGGATTGAATTATAGTGCACACATGCTCGGAATTACGCACATTAGCTTGAGGCAGAATAAAACCGAGGTTTGCCTGTTGGCGCACCTGACGACATCTCAGAGACAGACATAACATCCGCGGCACGCAGACAGCTAAAACACGCATTCGGCCCCAGCGACTTAACCCTTTCAGCATAAAAGAAATTTCGGGAGCAACAAAAAGAATCTAAAATGCAAGTACATAAATAACACGTTCGCGACTCTCGATTCAATGTCACACCTTCAGCAAGCAGCGCAGGCGGTAGTGAAAAGACTAACGAAAGTGAGGGCAAACGGAGCGAACAAGTGAAAACAAGTTTCCGACATCAAACCTTTCCGATTTCATTTCACTTGCACCGCACATCCGAGTAATACGGCCTCGCCGATAGAAATAAAGCTCCTCTCCCACCCTACGCCCTCGTTCGCATTCGACGCACGAATGCCAAACAAATCCTTGCGAAAAGCAAACCCGCTCTCACTTTATGAGGTGAAGGTGGAGCAGTACGAGACTCACCACGCAGCCAGTGAGCTCCGTTCAGCTCTCTCACTCTCTTTCTCGTCGCCGCCTGCTGGTAGCTTTCGTTTCACCAAGACGCACGTCGCGCCTCGAGCATTTCACTTTCGCTCCACCGCTTAATAGACTAAGGCATTTTCGCGGCGCACGCCGTCGGATAGACGTGCCATTCGACCTAATTGTTCCACCTAAACGTCGTTAGGCCTAACTGATCCTTCCAAGCCCGTCAATCGCTGCCATGCGACGCTGGTCCGTCGTCGCGCTGTGTCGTTCTAACAGTCGCTGTCTTTTTTTCGGGCTGGACGGCCTGCTGCAGGTGCCATCGCTGGCGGTGCCGCTCAACAAGTCCATGAAGAACCTGTCCTGTCCCGACCTGACCAAGATCGCCCTCCAGAATGGCGGCGGCACGTCCGACGACGACATCCAGAGGGCGCCCAGTCTGGGAGACTCCATCGGAGACACCATGTCCCTGCACTCGGACCAGGTACGGATCGAGGAAGCGTCTCGACTGGGTGATTCACTCATTCGCGCATAGGGCGCATCCTATAGTTAACGCTTCGCAGAGAAAGAAGAGCTTAGGAATGTGCTGGGCAAATCAGGCGTGGGAGTTAACATGCCGGGTGCACTAAATGAGAATGCTTGATTCATGAAAGTTGTCCATCTATTGGGAAAGCAAGAGAAATTGGAGCTAGAGAAAGAGAGAGAGGTAAACGGAAGCTCAAGGGTGGTTAATCAGGTTGCATCTGGTTTCTTAACCTACACAGGGGCAAGGGAGGCATAGATCAGAAGAAGTAAGAACGAACGAGAAGGCAACTAACGCGCTCAAATGCATATTAGCGTTCTCACCGCATACCCAGAAGGTTAATCAAAACATGAAGTATGGTTTTCTACCATACAACGGCGAACTGAGGATGGGGAGACAGGATGACAAGAAGCGGAGAGAAAAATAACCAACAGGTTTGATGCCAGTAGAGTGCATCCTCATTCATATTAGTTCAGTTTTCGCATACACGCGTGCTTACATTATGAGATGAAGAAGCATGTGGCAGGCTCTATTGTTTTCTTTTAATTTATTGACTCCTGTGGATCGTAGCCTCCAATGATGGTGTCACTGCCATGTCAGTGACTGGACAGCGTCCTTCATGTATTCAGGTTAGTTAATCTATTTAGGTTACAAACTACAGTTCACACGATTCTGCTTACCTTAGAGTTAAGCGCTATTCATTTCTACGTGTAAGCAGTTGCACAGAATAAAGTGTATATGGTAAAAGATTGTATACATGCACGAAATTCTGGAAAGGACAACATGAAAGAAAACACTAAAAGCAGGTAGATCACTCTATCTGTGCTGTATCTTATTTCGTAATTTCGCCCAGTCCACAACCGTTTACAAGAATGCACCAACTAGCCTCTCAATATGTTCTTATTAATTAAAGCGTATATCTAAATCTACCTATGAATCACTCGATCAATGGACTAATCGGCAGGTCGCATAATCTCGTGGGAGAGCACTTGCTACGGTGAAATTCTCCGTGTTAGATAAGATAACCAAGGCACTCGACGCGACGCGTGTACTTCCAGCGCAAAACAATCACATTTCGTGGTACAATATATACAGGCACGAGTGCCATCCTTACGAGTGCCCTCAATCACCGCAGGAATGATAACGGTCAATTTATCTCCGGTTGTGCTACAGGGTACGGAAGACGAGTTGCAATTCGCCTTCAAGAACCAGAATCTCTTGAGGACCGATAGAGACGGCGAAGACAGCGACTCCTCAGACTGCAGTCACATGGAGATGATGCCTGGTGAGTGTGCTTGTCGCGAGATGGCGCACGCAGATACTCAAGTGACGAAAACAACAAACAAAAAGACGTGTAGTGCAATGGTTCTCATGGCATACCAAGTCCGTTTTTACTGTTGTACGACTTTGGGGATTCAAACACGCAACCTTCGGGTCCGACTAGTCGAACACCATAAGCACTAGACCCCTTCGGCAGACGCGTAAAGAAAGAAAGAAAGAAAAAAAAGAAAGAAAAAAGAAAGAAATAAGTGGTGAGGAGTCAGGCTGTGGAGTGTAATTGAAACCGCTCATTAGCTATCGTTATACAAAGTGTCGCTTGCTTCATCAGTCATTTATTTCCTCATAATTAGTCCAGCGGCTGATGCAGAAACATAAAATATTTGGTGAAAGTGGCGAGATGAAAGGATGTGGAAATGGGCTTGTTGGTGGTGGTATGGCGAAACATGTGGCGCACTAAGGACACGAACTAAAGCAATGGAAGATACGATGAGCTGCACGTCATCAATTCGTTTAAATGAACACACAATAATTAACACACACACACGCGTGTGTGCGTGTGTGTTTGTAAATTTTTCGCGATAAAGCTCATTTAACGATGGTGGACCAATTACCCCGACCACTGTCCTTGTGATGCATCGTCTTGTCTCAGTCCGTGTCCCTCATATAGCGCGCTACAACATTAGCCATGGACAGATGACTAAAGTCAATCGTCCAGCCCCGCCGCGGTGGTCTAGTGGCTATGGTACTCGGCTGCTGACCCGCAGGTCGCGGGTTCGAATCCCGGCTGCATTTCCGATGGAGGCGGAAATGTTGTAGGCCCGTGTGCTCAGATTTGGGTGCACGTTAAAGAACCCCAGGTGGTCAAAATTTCCGGAGCCCTCCACTACGGCGTCTCTCATAATCATATGGTGGTTTGGGGACGTTAAACCCTACAAATCAATCAATAAAGTCAATCGTCCGTAGTAAAATCTTCGTCTCGTCTTTTCTTTGAGCTTGGCTAAACTTATCCTGTACAGCCCAAGCACGCATTGGTTAATGCGCGCGTCCTCGATAGGAGAGCGTCCTTTCCTGCCTCGAAATCAAGCCTCGCAAGGCAAAAAGACGCACAAAAGTACACGTGTTGTTACAAAGCTTCCCCTGAAGTTCTCAGGCAGATGCTTGCCTTGACGTCACAAATTGCCGTAGCGCATGTCCTCTGGCGTCATTAAAGTATAGCTGAGCGACTTAACGATCACGCGTCGTGGTGCATTGTTAGCGTTTTAACCTTGCTGTAGCGTTACTCTTCTGGCTTACTTAACGGAAACGAGGGGAGCTTACCTGACAGCGGCTTGCCTTGCGTGCGATGATCAGATAACCGCCACGTTTCGAGCCGCTGCAACACCGAGCCGACAGTTTCGAATGCACCTGCAAGACGAATGGTCTTGCGTGCTGAATGGCGACGGACGCGCGCAACGCTCTACCAAGGCCTAGCTGCACCGGCGAGGTCAGAGCGAAGTGACTGCTTACCCGCACACTGCTGAAATGCGCTTAGATAAACGTGAACGCTGTGAAGGCTCACCATGTCTTCGATAAATCTTGTGTACCCGAAAGAGTAGAGATAAGTGTATTTTAACTGATTTTCTCATGACAGAGGTTTAAGGAAAGGGGGAGACAAGCGTGCATGTCCCACTCGGACTGCGAGTGGCTGTGGTTGAGAATTGGAATGTGTAAAGACGGTCGTTCTTGCGTCGTATAAAAAGTGACGCGGCAGTTTTTACGTAGATAGGTTTGCTTTCGGTGCAGGTACACGGAGCTTCGTGTGCTATGCACGCTTTTCTGCGTGTTTTCGACGCATGCACACAAAATAAAAACGTTAACTCCCCCTCCCTCTCCTTATGAGGGGGAGTTACCCTGGGAGCCTGCCCCCCTTCACCCCCCCCCCTTCCCGATATTTTGATGGAAAGGGGCGTTCAGCTGAATATAATGAAACTACCTGTTTCTCACGTGTTTTGAAAATATGTGAAAGTATGTCCCCGCCACCCTACCTTCGAAAAACTTCCACGCTATGGGCATGGCGTGCATGTATTGGTGATGGTGTACAAGGCTTCGTTCGTGCAGAGAAACGTAAGACCAGAATCCGGTATGTAAATTGGGCGAACTAAATTATTGCTCAGTAAAATTGAAGGAAAAAAGATGATTAAAATAATGGATGAGATTCGGAAGGCAATGCGATGAATAGTCCATATCCGCTCAATAAAAACCTGCAGCACACATCTGTCAGAGTGTTACGTTGTTGATCTAGTCGAACACCGCTTCATGATTGGGTTAACAAAATCGTTAGACTTCTTTTATAAATATCGCGCCAATAATGTATACTCATAATAAAGCTGTCATTCTGACTCTGACAAGTTCACTTGTCACAACGTTGGCTTGATTCAACGGCATTATACTTCAATGAACCACTTGTTATCACTACAAAGCTTTATTTTATCGTGAACTTCTGCACTGTTTAGTATCCATCACTGTTATTTCGGGATATCAAGCTATCTTTCTCCCTTTCTCCCGAAATTAATAGGTAAATAAATAAAATAAATAAATAAATAAATACATTTTTCGTCTTTTTCATGAGCTCAATGCTGTTTGAAACCACTACATCGGTGACGTATTGTCCTGCATTCGCCATTGTTTCCGTGCATTTCAAACCTTCTCCGACGCTCACCGCGAAGGCTCGGAGTCTTTGACGTCGAACAGACAGCCGAGGAGGAAGCTGTGGGTTCGATTACCGGTCCCAGCACGTAGGCGGAATGCATAAACGCACTTGTCCCGAGGTTTCCGTAAGCACTCCGAAAAACACTCAGTCTAATCTTTCCGCCTTGCGGGTGGTCTCCTCACAGGCAATGTGGCTGTGACATTGGGACGCAGCCCCTTCAGTCTCGAATTACAATGGACTGTTGATAAATGCATCAGTGTACTGCTTGATTACCTCATTTCGTTTCATGAAGACGGCAAGTTGAGCACCTATGCCCGTCCAAAAAAAATTCGGGGGTGGGGGGGGGGGGAGAGCTTTTAGCGACGCGTTATCACTACACAACGGTTCTTTAGCGCACACTTAAATTTGAGTACACGAGTCTCGAGCATTTTCACCCACATGCGGCCGCCGCTGTCAAGTGGAGTAGCGCAACGTCGAAATAACCACAATTGCTCGCAACTGGTAAAAACAATCGCGTACGCAAACTATAGGGTAAACCAGACGCTATAGAGACGTTAAATAAAGCGTTAGACTTTTCAAACATGCGCATATTTTTAGAATGCGCGTCGCAGAAAGAGAGAACGAAACTAACGTTTTGTTTTGCTTTTTGGTGAACGTGGATGCTTGTGCACCGCGCATTTATAAACGTTATATGCCTCATTAAGCCCGAAAATTGACCGTCGGCGTCAACACGAGTTTAAACCAATGATTGTGACGCCATCAGGATGTCACATATGAACAACATTTATGGCGTCGATATGACGTCATCGTGACGCCACGTGAAGTCTTAGATATAGATGACATCATCTCTTGATCGAAACCACGTTAGGCTCGGAGATATGGTTAATCAGTACAATCTAACTGAGAAGATGAAAAAGATAGGTTTAACCTTCGAGTCGTCTTAATGTACAAGGAACCACGCAACCTTAATTTGTGCAGCTTAGTCGAGATATGAGTGACGCACGCTAATATTACGTCGAAGTTATGTCTATATGACGTCATGATGAAGCGAAAGGACAACTGCACACGTCGGTGTTACGGTATATCGTGTCTAATGCAAGGAAAGAGCGCGACACCTTGCAACAAGTGACGTGTATTCGTGCCGTGTGATGCCTCACAGTGAAGTCTTTGTAGCAAAATAAACGAATAAAAATAAATAGGAGGCACGGTTGTGTTTATACGTAGCGTCCGCTCTGGCGCAGGAACACCTCGAAACATCCTGACTCCGCGAGCTATGCTGCGTCACAGCGACGTCACGGACACGCGTGCCCCTTTCCAGCTAGGTATACACAAATTGATTTTTTGACGGATTTTCGATTAGAGTACATTCGAGTAACTGCATACGAGCCAGTACTATAGCAGAGTGGACAGAAGCGGGGTTTTCGGAATGAGAAATTCGATAGCGAAAAATGTCAAAAGAATCACACACGCAGCGCGTTGCAAAAAGGCTGAAACGTACGATGCTGAAGCGTGCGAGTGATAATGCTAAATGCTCGTCAAGGGTTAATGAGGCAGCTCTTCTTCGACGTCATGCTTGCTTTTTAAAATCTTTGTTGCTATTCCTTTTTTTACCCTCCTCTCTTCCTTTGCTCTGCATCTTCCCTTCTCCCGAAAGAGTAAGCAGGCGTTGCGCCTCACCATCTTGCTCTCTCCATCTTTCCTCTGTGTCCTTGATATATCTGTGTATGCAAATCAAATAAATAAACAAGATGTTGCTATAACGTTCCATATGTGAAATGCGGATTAAGCATGTGTAGTTTGTCAATGTTAAACGCCGTAATTATAGTATGAAGGAGAGAAGCGAAAAGCTAACCGCGTCCTCAAACGTTCGTCCAGTTTCAGATGACGACGCCTTGCACACCCAGAGTGACAAGTCCTCCCAGAATGACTCCAGTTCTCCAAAGCTCACAATGAAGCGACCCGCTCCCCGACAGAGGTCAGTGAATTAAAACCTCATCATTGCGAACCAGAACTTTATCGCGTTTTCACGTTTAAGATACCGCGTTATTTGCGCTTAATGTTTGCGCACCGTCCTCTTGTCTAAAGGCTCTCGTAGGCGCGGTGCACGTCGAAGATCGTCTACACGTTTGGAAAATTTCCCTAGCAATGCTGCGACGGCAATTCGGCGTTTGCACAATTACGCGTCCTCTCGTCTTCAGCCGCTTCGCGTGTTTTACGCCTAAAGACGTAACAGATAAATAAAAAAAATGCGATGACGATAGAAGAAAAAACGCATGTTTTATGCCTAAATACGTAACAGAAAAATAAAAAAATACAGTGACTCATATAAAAAAAAAACAGAATAGAAACAGTACACCATGCCGTTGTAGGCTTCAGCCCTCACTAGCACAGAATGTTTCGGATGGGACCACGGTATAACGGGCTGTTGAAAGTATACAGCAGCTTGAAGAAGGCTTCACCGATGTTCGACATTATGTGATCGCTGTTTGCACGACACATGCTGTGCGTGTGTGCTTTCAAGCGTCTGGGGAAGCGTGGTAGGTGATTTGCTGTCGGACAATTTCTCTAACATATCATTTCAGTTTTAATCTATACCCGCCCAAAATTTGTGCGCTCTGTCGGAAGACAAACAACCCTTCTCCCGAAGCGGCGAACGATGGGCCAGAATCACGTTCAAAGATGCGTGCAAGATGGAGCCGAAGCCGTACTCGCCGTTGCATTTTATCACTTTTGAGCAGAAAGCGAACTTTAGAAACTTCATTTTTTCTTTAAAACACTGACGTTATACAGCGGCAACTTCTGGTATGAACTTCAGCTAAAGGTGTTCTCTTGCATGTCCTCAGGCGAAAGCTCCCGGCGCCTCAAAGCCCCCTGGTGCAAAACAGCGCAGGCAGGATTCCAAGCATTAAGGTTACTTGTGGTGAGTGTTTTCTTCACAAAACTATTTTTGCCTTCAACTGGGCAATGGTTATCAATAGTATTTTACGGCGCGATGAGTGGTATTATGCGTAGACTAGTGCTAATTAACAAAGAATAATTCTGGTTTATCTTACCTTGTTTGCACATTTCGCTCAGTACACATCCAATGATGGTGGTCAAAGCTGCGATTTGTGTGACGCAACTGTTAGGTGACTTCAGGACAAGTATTTTTTTTTTTGCACTTCTATTCATTCACTTCAACGCGTTCTGTGTTACTGCTCCCCGCTGTGATGCAATGAAACGATCGCTCAGAATTAGACTTGATCAAAGCCCAAATATCGGAGCGAACCAAGTTCGTAATAGCAATCCCACAACTTCTCACCGCAGGTCATGTTGATGAATGCGATAGTTGCACTTGCCACGGAAGAGGGATCTGCCGTAATTTTCATTTGCCGTCGTTTGCCTCTCTCTCTCTTTCGCGCTCTCTCTCTCTTTCTCACTTTACCTTAGTCATTATAATGAATACTAATTTAACTAAACCAACTCCTCATTTTCCCGCCAAGTAAAACTTGGCAGAACTTGCTGCTGGACTAGTCGGTACACGCTACTTTTTTTTTATTCCGACTCACGCGAATGTACCTATATCGCGCCCACGTCGGTATTCGCGTGACCTGACCACAACCGCGGCCAACGTGCAGAGACGCCTGCGCTGCGGCCTCACTCTGCGGAGAAGCCCACCGCCTCCGACTGGATGACCGCTCAGCTGAGCCACATGAAGTGCTGGTTCGCCGAACTCCAGGAGGACTTCTCCGAGTGGCACCCCGTCGAGGTACCCGACCAGCCGCCCAAAGACAACGAAGAGGCATTCTCGCTCAAGTAGTAAGTGCTCAGTGCTCGCCACTGTACGTAATCTCAGAAAGTATTTCGCGGCAAGGGAGAGGGCGTTTAACCACACTATATATATATATATATATATATATATATATATATATATATATATATATATATATATATATATATATATATATATATATATATATATATATATATACTTTTCACAATTACTTTCTTTCATTGTTCGCGTTATGTATTTTGTATAGACGTTTGATTTATATAAAAAATTGCTAAATCGCTTATACTTCACTTCTTATCACTGCCCAGCCTCATTCTATTTTTTTTCTGTTTTTTTTTTTCATTCTCCAGCACCAAGGACACGCTGTTTCGATTCGGTAAGTGCGACTTCCTCGAAACCGCCGTTGTACTTAGCAGGACCTAGAGTGCGAGTTTTTTTGGTTTATGGTAACGAGCAATTCTTTTTTCCAGTGCAACACGGACGAGCACGAAAGACCGAGAATAAATAAGACACAAACGAGAGATTCTTTCTCGGTCTTTCGTCCTCGTCCGCGTCGCACTGAAAAAAAAAACAACAAAGAAACTTCATGCCGTTTTAGAGTTGCAAGCATCGAAAGGTTTCAATCATACTTGTAAGCGTCGTATATAGTCTATACTATGTGCCTCAGATTAGGCTGGCCGAAGTTTCGATGGTTGACTTGCCTTCGTCAGAGGTGTTTCGATCGTCATCTTTGACGTGTTAGTTTTAAAGAAGACGGGTTGGGGGCGGGGGGTTAGTTGTTGACGTTACGTCACGTGGTGTCGTTGTCGGCCCTTGCCACGTACGAAAGAAGGATCTGGAAAAGAAACCAGCATGTATGTACTGTGGCCTTTTGAGGGTCGTAGCATGTGCAATTAAAATAAGAGGCATCGCACAGAGGCGTAGGCAGAATTTGTTTCGAGGGGTGGGGGGGGCGATGGGGGGACACTCTTTAGAATGGCCATTATTCACTTTGTCAAGGTGAAAAAAAATTGAGTAAGGGGGGAACGGCACGCACTCGGTGTGCCACTCCTGGCTTACGCCATTTGAAGCACACATGGTGGACCCCGGCATGAAACACGAAGGCCGGAGTTCACCACAGTTACACTGACGTACTTCCGTCACGTATGTGACGTTGAAAAATGTTTGCTAAAAGATGACAAAGCAGAAAAAAACAGAAGGCAAGCATTGGTCGCGTGTAATCGAACCAGCAACTTCTCGGTTGTCAGCGCGCGGCGCTAACCACTACACCACAATTAGTAGTACGTCGTCAGGAGAGCTAACACTCAGCTGGTTATATACACCATACACCGTTTAGCAGTCCTCAGTGTTTTTTAAACTTTAGCGCGTTTTTGTTATCAGTAGCGATGTGGCGCGAAAGGCTCGCGGTGGGCGCACTCTAAAGGTCGCCGTCTTCACGAAGCGCCGCCTCCACGGAGCGTGGTCTCTTGCGCGCGCGCGCTTATCAGACTTTTATTTGGGAGAGGACGGAGGTCACTGCGCACGCTCCCACGGCCGCGTTTACAAGAGCAGCACGCTGCTGACACACGACGCAGGAAGAATCGTTCTATGTATACCTGTGCGCTCGTTTCGTGCGTCTCTCTCTCTTTTTTTTTTCCTGTTTGAAAAGCGCGCTTTAGATGTTCAGCTGTGACAGTTGTTAGTCCGCGCTCGTCCTGCGTATGCTAATTTCACGAGTGATTTCTGCTTGACGTGAGCACGGCATGTTCTCAGCTGCTTGGCATACCTAACGTGATATTGCCATTTGTTGCTAGCTATTGCTAAAACAATGCACAATGAACGCTCAACTACCTCTGTAAAGACACGTTTCAATTTTTCGTTACACCGATTTATATATAAGGGGATCAGCTACGGTTTTGCTGTTGTTTGTTTTCTTTCCAACAGCTTGCGTCGACTGTTCTCTGCGGGCGGTTCAGCACGAATGCACGAAGCTTCTCCAGTGGAAGTCGCCACTCCAAACGCTCCTGGTCGTTGCGGTGAGCATCGCTTGCTTGTTTGTATAGTTTTTGTCATATTCATAAAAGCTTAACAACAAAAGAAAGAGAAGCTCGGAGAATCACTTAGAGGAGAATCACAACCTACAGTCGTGCACGGCCACTTCAATGCAAGAACCTTGGGTCGATTACTTGGGACGTCACAGGGAAGGCTGAGAATGATGCCCATTCCAGCAGTCCACACGCAAATTTAACAAACGTTTTTTGGCAGGGTATCATAAAATTTCAGAAGCATTTAAGTCACAGTAATAAAAAAAACTCCCCAAAGAAGTCATTCATCGCCACGCAAAAGTGTGATACGTGTATAGTGCGCCTTCTGTGCATGTCTTTTCTTTGATTACTTTTTGGTTGCTTGTAGAGAAGTATTGCATTGTTGTTAGCCCCCCCCCCCCTCCCTCTCTGAAGTAACGTCATATATGTGTCTGAATGAATGAATGAATGAATGAATGAATGAATGAATGAATGAATGAATGAATGAATGAATAATGGAACAATGCGTGGCTGTCTTTGTTCGCAGGCCATTCTCCACGGTCTCTGGAACGACTGCCTGCTGACTCTCATCTTCGTCGGAGTCGCGTTGGGTCTCGTCAAGAACTACCTGAGCATGAAGTGAGTGTCCCGTTGCCTATATCAACGCTGATTCACCTCCGTATTACTTCGTCGTGCTGTAATCACAGCGTAAGTTCCGGACCGAGTGATGTGATGACTGCTGTACGCCGCGGCAGATCGGTTGTGACGAATTCCGCGAGACAGAGTGTTTATAAGATTGTTATAAATGTGTTTGAATGATATTATTTTGCAAGAGTGTTATGAATGTTATTTTTTTAAACTGACATCAGATCGAGAGCACACTCGTTAGCACCAGAATATTATGGCGGCTAAGACAGGTTGGCACTGTCAACAAAGGCGAACTAAAAACAAAAAAAACACAAAACAACAACTACAAAGATTACAAACACTGCGCTAAGCAAGGAATTTCACATCTGAGTAGAACGCGCCGCTTTATATTAATCGTTTCTAATTGTTCTGTTCACATATCTTATATAAATACTTGCAATGAGCGTTTTTAACTCACAAGAAAAATTTCATTTATTCTTTTACAGAGGCTTTCTGGGCGCGACTTCGGACGACGTCTTCACGGTGAGTTAGGCGCACCCTTGTTTTTAGTGGCTTCATTTTAATGATTTTAAAATAAAGAAAGAACAAAGAAGGAACTGTAAAATAACAGCAGAGCACAAATACTCTAAAGTAGAGCAAACGCTGCAACGCGCACCGTCGTGAGAACTCTCCAGCGAAGTTGCAGACTTCCTTCGCACTCTGCAAGAGCAGAACGTGTACACATAACATCGATCAGTTCCTTCTTTCTCACCTAATTAATCATTTTTTGCTTTCATTTTCACTTCGCAGACTGATCACAAGAAGCTCGGTATCGGCATGGGAATCGACAAAGTGCCGGCGATCATGTCCCTCAACATGAAGATAGCGGTAAGTATACTGTTCGTTTCGGGAACCACGTGGTTCATCACTGTTAACTAGACATATACAGACAGGAAGTTCACGATATTCGTTTCCCTTTTTGCAACCTTTCAGAAAACGTTTCACGTGCTCTCGGACGCTTTCGACAAAGGACTAAGGTGAGTGCCTCTTGCGCGACTCGTGTAATGCAGACTGTCTTTCTGAAATAATTATGTATGATCAAATAGACCAATTTAATACTTATTAAATAATTAATTCGATGTACTAATCTTCGCACGTGCATCTGTCGCAGTTTGTGGACGTGGAGGAATCCGGCGGTGACGGTCAAAGTACTGGGCATCCTCGCTGTACTAGCGCTGTACTCAATGATCAGGCCCACGGCGGAAGTCATCAAAGTACTTGGTGTGTATATCCTGACCGCATGTCTGAGCACACCATTTCGACGTGCTCCGAAATGTGTACCGTCAAAGAGAAGCTGAAATGAAATCGTTTGCGATCATGTGTCGCGTTGTGCGTTTGCATAACAAAGGCGCGCATGACTGCAGAGCAAGTTTCAGGCATAACAACGGATAACTCCTTGCAACAGTATTTCCGAAGCTCTATAGCTTATAACATTCCTACTGATTTATTGTAGGCAGGAAAAATTCGGGGCAGAACTTGAGTGAAATATGAACAAAAATTTTAAAACAGTACCACTAAACGTGTAAAATTCGCACATCTACAGTCCGCTCAGATGCTTAGGGACATCATCATCATCATCAGCCTGACTACGTCCACTGCAGGACAAAGGCCTCTCCCATGCTCCGCCAGTCAACCCGGTCCTGTGCTTGCTGCTGCCAATTTATACCCGCAAACGTCTTAATATCATCTGCCCATCTAACCTTCTGTCTCCCCCTAACCCGCTTCCCTTCTCTGGGAATCCAGTTAGTTACCCTTAATGACCAGCGGTTATCCTGTCTACGCGCTACATGCCCGGCCCATGTCCATTTGCTCTTCTTTATTTCAGCTATGATATCCTTAACCCCCGTTTGTTCCCTAATCCACTCTGCTCTCTTCTTGTCTCTTAAGGTTACACCTACCATTTTTCTTTCCACTGCTCGCTGCGTCGTCCTCAATTTAAGCTGAGTGAGACTCAATAAAAACCTGAATATTCCCGGCTTTTCAGCAGGCTGCCCTGAATTTAGATTTCCGGCCTGTTGCAAAGTATACCCACCGTGGTGGTCTATGGTGGTTGACTGCTATAACCCGAAGGTCATAGGATCGAACGCCAGCCACGTTTCTATAGAATCGATATTCTAGAGGCCCGAATCAAAGCGCACGTTAAAGACCCTCGTGTAGTCAAAAATTCCGAAGCCGTCTTCTGCAACGTCGCTCATAGTGATATCGTGGTTTGGTGACGTCAAATTGAAATCCCACGAATTATTATGTTCTAAAGCCTGCTAGCGACACGTATACTGTGCAGTTCGACCAAATGCAGTTGCTAATTGTTGGAAATTTTTCTCAGACCTGGTGGTCCTCTAACCTCTCACGTCGGCTGAATGTTGTGTATGACTGTATAACACGTAAAATGTGCGGCACATTTTCTACCTCTCTCTTTTGTTGTTAACTGCTACTTCTCTGTTGTGTGTGTTTAGGGTGGCCAAGTTCTCCCAAGTTGTTTGCATCTTTTCCTTCGCTCTCCGACAACATTGTTACAACTGAGAAAACTCATCTGAGCTTTGCTTATTTGTATTCCTTGGGATTATTTGTAGCGTCACAGCTGTATACCTTAGCACTTGAAACACTCCTTTATCCTTAACTTGACGAGACTCATGCATACTAATGTGTCGTTGTCCTGTGCAGGTACGGGCCTGGTTCTGAAGGCCTTCGTCCTGGACTACGTGTTCGTGCGGTTCCCGCGGGTGCGCGCCAAGTACGACCTGGCGTGGATCCTGTGGAACGAGTTACCCACGGGTCCCGAGATCGAGAAGCAGGCGCGCCAGAACAAGAAGAAGGAGAAGCTGTCTAAGAAGAAGTCGGACGTAAGCACAATTCTCACCCAATTGACTCTAAAGGAGGCGCAAACAGAAACGCTGTATCGGTTCCGAACGCCGTCAGATTTCGGCGGCGTTCAGTCCGACGTGAGAACTTCTCAGCTATAGACCTTTTCATTCGAAGCTTTCTGGGTGCCACCGTATAGTCCTCTCTGGGCTGTTGTTAGCGCGCGAGTCCCCCAAAGAAATTCACTGCCGAGGCTGTGACGTTGGCTTTTGTACTCTCGTGCAACAGCCCAGAAAGGGGGAAATCCTCTTCTCCGTTAAAAAGGTCCGGGCATTGGAGCGAAGGCTATATACAGCAGAGCCAAATCGCGGTCATCCTACCGCCAGTGAATGTAGTTCCCCAACAGCGCCCGTATATTATCACCGTGAAATATAGAATTTTCGCCTTTATTTTCTACGTGGAGCTATTTGAGACAAGACGCAGCTGCCACCATTTAGATAGTCGTATTCAATTTTATTTATTCGTTCTGACTTTGGATTTTCACACGCGCCAGGAAGTCCCGCCTTTTTACGTGCACCTCAAACGCTAAGCGGCGTCTTTGAAACGCTGATGCTGCGTCCCCGTCACTTTCCACAGCGTTGCGATATGCGCGCCAAAACGGATCACTTCGCGTAGTGGTATACATGTGCAGAAGCTCCGCCTCCGTAGCTTTCCCTTCAGTGCCAAGAAAAGTAGCCGCCGAGTATAACAATCTAACGGAGGGGAACCAGGAACGCCATATTTACTCCGAACGCCGTCAGATTTTAACGGCCCTTAGTACAGATAATAATCCGAGTGGCAGTCCCGGTATAGATACGACGGTCGTGGTGCGGGATTCCGTAAATGTTGGCGTTTTGAGCCTTTTAAGCTGCCGGAACGCAGCGACAAACATGCTAACGCCATGTTGGCAGGAGCTATAACATCTCCATAAGTAAACAAAAAATTTTTTTTTTATTAGAAGCTAGTCGACTGAAAACAACGAGAATAATAAGATGCGCTCTTTGTGCGAAATTGTGGCGAGAACGGTGCAGCGGCAAGCGCAAAATAAAATTTTCGAAGCTTTCGAAAAGAAAATACGGCTTTCCACTGGCCCACCTCCTCGTTTGCGGTTCCAAAATCGTGCCTGCTATGTGTCAGCCACTCACGAGAAGCTTTGCAACGCGGAATGAATGTATGAAAGCAACTCTTATTTGGTCCAGCAGGGCGCGATGATGTTGCGCGCTCAGATTTAGGCCCACGTCGGAGCAGACAGGCTCAGCCTATCAGCCACATCGCGGACCCGCCGGATGGCCGTGAGTCGAGTCGAACGTGGAACTTGTGAGGAGTTCTCACCACTCCTCCATTGTGATGCTTTGGGTAGAATCTCGGCTGTCGACCGCTGTATATAACGTGGCGAGTTGATCGCATGCGAGGCATCTCTTGTGTTAGGGTAAACGCTAAGAAATACAGGATTGGTGCATGACTCAGCCTTGCAGAAGACGGAGTCGATTAAGCTCGATTAAGCTTAGGAGTATTTTTTTGTTCGTTGGGGTTTGTAATGAGGGCTGATTTTCTGTGCAGCAGCCGCCCCTGATAACGATCAACAACAACGCGAGCGAAAGTCGGTCCCAGTCGCCCCTCTCCTTCCGTGGTGACGACATCGACGAAGTTCTCAGCAGCATCTTCGACATACCCACTTCGGAGATGTGCCTGCCAGGTACGTTATACTGCTGGCGCGTTCGTCGGCTCGCAATTCATTTCCTCTCTTCCTCCTCTCTCTCTGAAATGAGCACGATCACACGCTGCTGTGTCGCTTCACATACAGTGTAAGGCACTGCGCCATGCTCCCGACAGGGTTGCAGAAATTAGGTGCATTTTCTCATTTTCTAACCACTGCCACCACCATACAGTGTATTGTTAAGAGTCAGGAAATACGGCTGGACGAAGTGATAGAACGCGATAATAGAGGAATGAAGCCCAACTGCTTCAGAGTATAGCCAAGGGTATACTAGCTGTCTTCTATGAGTCAATTGATTAGTTGGAGTGTCCATTTCAGCGTGTACTCATTGGACAGGGCTCTATATAACAGCGTTAACGATTGGCTCCAACTCTGTGTATTATATGCGCAATGAACACATTCGAACAATCCAAAGCTTAAGACCAAAAAGGGGGACTCACGGAAAGCTTTAGGCTACGTAAAAAAGTGGTAATACAAATAAAATGTTATTTTTTGGAATAATTAGGGTTCCACCACCCATGTCAACTACCCACTTTCGCCCACTTTTCTGTGTATGAGCCTTTTCGTTTGTCTGTTTCTTTAGGCTACAGTAAGGGGCTTTTTTTTTTCTGCGAGAGGACGCGTTATCAACTCGTTGACTCAATCATGGTCTCGCGAACTAATGAATTATCAACAGGCGTGACGATGTATACATTCAAAGTTATCTCTCTCTCTCGATCTATTTCAGGCTGGGAACAAGGCAGGAAGTGCACGCTGGTCAAGAAGGAGCGTTCTCTCACATCAGCGTTCCGCAACGGTCGCCTCTACTTGACAGACCAGTGAGTATGAAGTTGTGAACTGCGTTAGTGCTACCTGCACTGTTGCGCTGTTAAACCACCAGACAAGCTTACCACTATTTTTGCTGCGAGGTTCTCATTGAATGTAATATCACTAAATAGAGCATCATGTGTTGGGTCACTCGATAGTCTCATATAACTCAAGAATTCTAAAGAGGCCTCGCCCAGACCGCCGAAGCACGGCATGCCTTGGTCACCTCCGCCACTAAATAGTCCCACTCACGGACCCGGCTATGTTCTCCGAAGGCGGGGTCACGGGCCGTCCGGCTCATGACGTAAGCCCGGAGTGCGTTACCCATTAGTGCAAGCTTGTGCGCCTTCGAGGAGGAAATGCCGTGGGTCCATATAAACTTCAAACGCGTCACCGTTCGCAACGTGCAAACACAGATATTAGGGTGCACAGGGTTCAACGTTAACCAACCATAGCCTAGTGCTTTTGGCGACCACAACAAGAGCGAAAAGCTCACCTGCGGAAATTTCACGATTTGTCTTCAGTGAGGAATGTAGTGCATTTAAACTTCAAATAGTTTACGGCAGTAGCAGTACTGTGCAGGAACTGCACGCGCGTCTGTGTTTGTACCAAACATTTGGTCAAACTGCCCCGATGTCACTGATGGTGACCTAAATATTGTAGTTGCGCCCCCCCCCCCTTCCTTCCCACAAAAAAGTAAAAGTGGCCGTAAACATTCTTGCACAATTGTACTAAAAAAAAAAAAAAGTTTCCCTAAGTTTGCTTCTCCGCAACAAGACGTTTTATGAGAAGAAGCCCACTCCTGAGCTTCGTAAGCCGTCAAAGGCGAAAATTAGTACCGGCGGCGTCTTCAATAGCATTGTAGGACTATATGGTATCACATCATCTGGAACGCTTTTGACGGACGCAGCGTCCGGCCAGAACATCGTCTCGCTGGAAAGACGTGATTTTCTTGCGACGAGGAAACAACGGTGATTCAAAATGTGTAGTACCTGCCATAGGCCATTTTTCTTTTCAACCGGCGTATAGCTAATAGTCGGACACTAAACATCATTTTCATCGAAAAAAACAACAACCAGTGGTTCATCACAACAGTGGTTTCATTGAAAAAAGCAACCTCCGGTTATCAGGTGTATGGACAAGCTCCGAAAGCAGCGACGGTGAACAACCTCCTGTCACGAAGTGACCTATGGAGCGCTCGCGGTATGTTGAACGCCCGGTGAACGCAGGGCCCGCAGAGGAACGTGCCAGTGACACTAGCTGCAAAAGAACAGAGTTTGCAGCCGTACGCGTGGCGTACAACGAGGGAAGGCCTCTAGAAGTTACCTAGCGAAGCAAACCGTCAACGTTTACCAAGTGCCCTACCACAACCATGACGTTTCACTAACTGGCACCTCCATCGATGTCACGGCCGAAGCGCATACGTCATACGTACGGCTACACATGGTTTCCAGCCGTTTGTGAAGGAGAGCGCCATGAAAACACCGAGTAGCGTAAATACGAATATGAGGCGTTACAAGAAGTTTGACGAAGGCTAGATCCCGTCTAACAGTGCCTTATCCTCGCGTGCGCCATATATTCCGTTTCAATTTGCTCGGGTGACAGTCAGCTACGCCCCCTGTGTATCACTTAGAACGCAATAATGTTGACTCTAAGAAAAACGGCCGAGTTTTACCATGCCTGCAATGAAGCACGAACTTGAAATATAAAATTTTGAAAAGTTACGTATTTAATACGCGGAAGATTTTTTTTTTTTTGGTGGGGGGTTGGGGCGAGGATAACAGGCAAATTGTCATTTTGCTCTATGTACGCCATGGAAAAAAAACTTTCGTTTTTTTTTTAGGGGGGGAGGGGGTAGTCCTGGTGTGCCACTTCGTAACTATGCCACTGCACGGCTGTCTTTCCTATATTGATTTTCTTTCACCTTTGGAAACAAAAATACATGAAGTGCATAGAATACAAAATAAGTGAGCTTACATGTTGCTCCCGAACAATCTGCAATCACCATGCACAAAGTAATGCAGGCGCGAAACTTACTATATGAAACATTTTAAAACTCAGAGAGTTTGCTAACGTGTCTGCATCTCATTTTTTTTTTTAATGCAGCTACCTGCTTTTCCTGCGGTACAAGACGCAGCATCCCAAGAATCTCACCATTCACCTCTCGCAGATTTCGAAGCTCGAAAAGGTGAGTCGTCCCTACACAAATATGTATTAACCCTCATTCGACAAGATATTGCTGCAATAACCGTGCTCAAATAGACACTTGAGTGCAGTAATGAATACGTCTATACTGAAGAGTTTTTGTACTCTACTGCCACGAGCATCCCGATCATAGGTTCATTGGTAGAAAACAAGGTCCGGTTAGCCTCATTTGCAGTAAATTGTAATGTACCAACAATGTAAAAGTCTCATTTCGGAATTTCACTCCAAACCCCAGCAGATACATATCAGTGTGACGTCACATATTTGAGTTCTTTGTTTTCGCAGTTGATCACCATTAGCCCAATAATGTCACCCTTAAACTTGCCCAGCTATACCCCCAACAGCTGCAGAACTAATTCACTTTGTAACAGGCGTCGTAAAAACCTATGGCATCTCTGCGATCTGACGTCGGAACTTCTAGGCGGCGTCGCCATCAGTAGCTTCCTCTCTCTCCTTTGCGCATTTCACGACATTTGAAGCGTTTCTCGCCGCAGGAGTGACGCTATTTGTATAGTGGAACAGTTCCAGGTTGATGGTAATGAACCTCTGTCCACTGTATTTCAGGGAAAGCCAACATCGTGGATATCCGGCGATGGAACTTCCCTCATCGTGACAATGAAAAGCGGCGAAGTAAGTAGTAGCTTCTCTAAGCACAGTACGTTCTGTCCTGTTAATGTAATGTTTAGCACAACACTGCGCATAAGCAATTAGTCGCGTTGTTCTATCAGTAGGATTTTTAACAGCGGAGCTGTATTCCGGAGGCACGTGTACTTTGATTGAGGTGCACGTTAAAGAACCCCAAAGGGTCAAAATTCCCGGGGTTCTCCACCGAAACGTCTCTTATAATCACATCCTATTTATGGAAGGATAAACACCCGATATGATTATTACATAATCTATCAACGCTAAAAAGAAAATAAAATGGAAGCGTTTCGAATTCGCCACCGTGCATAGCTTAGCAACCGGTTACCAGCTGCGCGCCTGCTTCGCTACCCCCAAGGAAGTTTAAGCTACCCCATACACTACTCCGCCACTAACTAGCCCGCCTGCCTGGACACTGCGCGCAACAGCTCGGTCGCGCCAGACGTGACGTCATAGGCGTGGCGGCGGCGCGCGATGCCAGACGCAGACATGGAGATATCGGAGGAGGTTCGTACCGACGGCGGAAAGCTAGGTGTTCTCTGGGAAAGCCGCTTACCGAGAATGACGGCACGCTGCGAAGCGAGACTGCAGTAAAGGAGCCCTGCAGCACCTTCCGGAGTAATCTTTGAACAGCTTCTTTGCAGAAGTTTATTGTTTCACGAATCGAGTGTCATTCTTTAGAATACATCATGTACCAGCGGAGTTACAGGGATTTGTAGCACGCTGTAATGGTGCATTCAGACGACGGATCGAATCCCGATGTGGCGGGACGGACGGCGCGTCACGTGACCTCACATCAGCGATTCCCCTCGTCCGTGACTCGTCCGCGCGGCTCACGGACGGATGAACCCAACCTGTTTCTCACATCGGGATTCTGGCGGGGGAGAGCCGGTACTTCAGCGGAATAGCTTGGGGTCGGTGGCAACCAGTACACTTTTCGTCTGCTCGCGGCATGTCCTCCATGGCTCGCGGACAGCTGCATGACTGGTCGGCATCATCTACGCTTGAGCATTGTTTACTTAGCTTCCGGAGACTTTGTTCTTGGGTGATTAAATATGCAGAAATCACTTTTAGTGGTTCGGGAAATGTCGCCGCCGTCGCTTAACACGCGAGATTCTTAGCCGTCATGGTGGTGAAATATTCCAACTTCTGCAACCGGCGACGTGCCACTTCTAAAAAAAAAAAAAAAAAAAAAAGGCGGGAGACACGTTTAGAAGTTCTACAAGTGGAGAATAATGTAGTTGAAAGAATATCCTGCTAGCAACTCCCTTTTCTCCTGAAAGAATAACACTACTCGTTCATTTGTCACAACACGACAGACATCGCAGCCAAGCTTCGCTTCTTGCGGGCATCCATGTTGAATACTCTCAAACCGGTCTGCTGCCAGCGGGCGCAGGTGAGCGCCGAATCTGCTGTCGAGGGTAATCCGGTTGTTTTCCCCTAGGACACCGTCCGTCGTGTGGATGCGCCTGCAGGCGGACCATCCGCGGATTAGCTGTCCGCGTCCACGACAAATCCGGATTCGGTCCGTCGTCTGAATGCACCATAAGCGCCTTCTCTTTTTTCTCGTCTTGACGAGCGCGCTAGAAACTAGTTAGTGATGGATGGCACAGGGGACAGAAGTTACGCCATGAGTGATTTACTACCTTAAGCACTTTCTTACTTCGAACGTGCGGCTAACTTTTAGTGGGGACGCGACCGACGGGGCGGACATGCTGCGCCATCTTACGGCGGCAGCGGTAACTATACAGCTCACGACGCTCAAATCTGCCCATAGCCATGAGCATTGGGTTTATAGCGTGGTCATTTGCGCCTGTAGCATCATTTGTAGATAAACGAAAAATATTTCTGGCCAATTTTGAGAATTGTAAATTCCGGGCTACGTGCTGTTCTACGATTGGCTCACATGCTCTCAAAAGCCTTAGCGACCGATTGGCGGAATTTTCCTACCGTGCTCAAAAAGTGGGGCAAGCCTTTTAATGTAGTCCACGACGCAACACTTCCTAAACGGCGAGGGGCGATTGTGCTGGGCTCGATTGGAACTCGGCATCAGCTCCGCTGTGCCTTTAGCCTTGCGCCCTTAGTGAACGCTGTGCCCAGTTTTTTTTTTTTTAATAGCATATCTGACCGAATGCTGATGAGTAGCTAACCAAACAAGCATCAAATTCATCTTTTATAAAGCACAGAAGAAGCTTTATGGCAATTCGTAAATCTATAAGTAGTTACCTAGTTTCAAAACCAAGCTAACATTTATATATATGAAAAGGTTGAATTTGGTAAAAAACCAGGATTTCAATCCTCAGCGGACTAGAAGTTTAAACCAAGTCTGGGGGATCGCCCCGCCGCGGTGGTCTAGTGGTTAAGGTACTCGGCTGTTGACCCGCAGGTCGCGGGATCACATCCCGGCTGCGGCGGCTGCATTTCCGATGGAGGCGGAAATGTTGTAGGCCCGTGTGCTCAGATTCGGGTGCACGTTATAGAACCCCGGGTGGTCGAAATTTCCGGAGCCCTCCACTACGGCGTCTCTTATAATCATATGGTGGTTTTGGGACATTAAACACCACAAATCAATCAATCATTAAACCAAGTCTGGCGTCCTTGATCAAAACATTTATATTATCTTCACCTGGCAGCAAAAGCTTACAGGACACAAAGTTTATCCAGAAAGTGTAATTCCCACTTCTATGAAGGCATATCCAGGTATAAATTATAGTGGTTCCTTCTTGGCGACTGACAGTTATATTACAAACGCTAAAATAAGTCGCCACACGCACCTCGAGGCTTACCTAATTGTGCTTTAAATCCAAAGTAGTCAATCCCATGTTTGTTCAGGGCAGTCATGCATCAAACGTGCTATTAATAACTTGACTACTTGCATGCACTTTATTTTGTTTTTTGTAAAGATTGCAAACCATTCTTCCAATGTTTTTTGCGTATGCCACCGGATGAGATTTGCACAAAGTATGCGTGTGTGTATGTTGAAAATGAGTAAACCGTTTGCTTTGTGTCATTATCGCAGGTGTACACTTTCGGCACCGTCGCAAACCGAGACGAAACATTCAAGAGCATCGTCGAACAGGGGATGCAGAACAACTGCAAGTGGGCGTCCATAGCCGATCTTCTGCAAACTAAGACCAGCTAATCAACTCTCCCCTTCGAGGCCTTGCTCATGCATTCCACGCACGGAATCCATTTGTACATATGGTCATCGCCATAATCAAAAGCTCTGCGACACCACCCACAAGTCTCAGATGCCTTTTTACTTTTCAGCCCGTGCAGAGTTGCGTTTGTAGATTGCCTAGTCAGTTGCTGTTGTAAATAGCTACGAATGTCGTGCCGAGGCGAGTGCCGGCACCGCGTAATGAGCCAACAGAGAGATTATACAATGTACATAAATAACGAGAACCTTCGCCCAGGCAGAAACTATACAAACATGCCAGGTTAGACTCTGCAAAAGCTTGAGACCTTTGCGTTTGTGCAAAGGAATCTACAAGCACATGCACTCACAGATTTCTTTTTTGTGTGTTATTCCTCGCATGTGTTCCGCATTTTTCATAACTGTTGGTTGTGAAATGTTGGCAGACTACCAGAGCAGCCGTTCTTCGTGTAAATGCACAAACTTGCCTTCTCAATTGCGAATGTGAAGAGGATGGCCATCAGTGTTCGGTCTGCAGCCAATGAGTCCTTTAAAAAGAAAAGCGATGTTTACCAGACACGTGCGACAGCGTGAGCAAAACGCAATGTGTGATACGCGAGCCACATCCCTTTTATCTCTTCGTTTACTATAAGAAACAATGGGCATATATGTTTTGAAGCTATTTTACGAGGAAGGAAATGCCTTTACCTCCGTTGTTGAATTTTGAGTCATTTATTTCCTACTGTTGTCTTTTTCTTTTTTTTCCACGATTCAACGCAATAAACTTGTACATCAACATGTGCGTTCTTTTGTCAATGGCAGGTACTCGCCTCCATTCCAAGATCAGTGGTCGCATGCCAAAGCACAGTTTGAATGCAAGCCTTAGTTTGTTATCTGTAACATTCCTGTTGCTGAATATTACGTGGCTGAATCTTATACTGGCATTTTAGAGTCGCCACAGTATCCTTTGGTGCTGAATTGTGCACAAAGAAAATAGGTGAGTGTGTAGGCTGTTTCAAACTTGGAGGAAAACTGGAGTACATTGCAATGCAGTCAAAGAGCTTTCTCCCAAGCGTGAAACAACCTGTCCATGCTCTAACATCAGTTAAAGACAAACAAAAATTAAGCTGATCTTTTGGGCGATTCTAATAGTGCAAAATATTGCACAAGAGAAAGCTTGTAAAAACATTGAATGTGCATACACGATCAGCAAAAAAACTTCCAAGAACAGTTTGCGAGCACATGGAAAAGCTTTTTGCGAAATGAAACTGTCACAGAGACTACAATCGTATTAGTAGTCGGCTTCTGCCACAGCCTCCGACAACTCAAACATATGTACATGCCAATCTCGCTTAGCATTTCTATTCTCTCTGAAACTATTAGCAATAGTTCAAGCTGGTACCGATTTTTCAGTGTGAAAAGATCACTCAAATTGGCCAGTAAACATTGCGCGTTTTACAACAGTTCGTTCGTCAACGCTGCAAAACAGCGGTACCAGTATGTTTGAAACAGTTATGAGCGTTCTTGCTAAGCTCCTAAGTAAAACAACTCTGGAGAAATAGAAACCTTAAGGCTTTCATATGCAACTGTCACAATTTCAAGACACTGCAAGGTCACTTACTTCAAATAAAGCTTTTGGTTAACTGAACATTTTGGCTATCAAAGTACTCACAACCAAAGCTAGGCAACCAGAGAACACTCGCTCAGCGTAAGCAATGAATCAGTGTTCCTCCAAGTGTTAAGCTTGCGAGTAGTAGTGGTATAGTACCAAGTCACTAGCAGGTTACATTGCAAGAATGCACGCAAGCATATACCACAAAATAAAAAACAGCTTTTGCGTGTTTTTGTTTACATTCCTAAAAGATCAATTATCCACTAAATTCTAGGTGAACTCCTTTATGCTGCACATACAATATCCCATTTTTAAAACCTCTACCTCTTTCATTGTTGTTCATAGCCTAATAATATTTGGCGTTTCATGCCCCAAAACTACCATACAACTATGAAAGATGCCATAACCAGTGGAAGGCTCCCGAAATTTCAACAGTCTGGCGTTTTTTACCGTACACTGACATCACACAGTACGTGGGCCTCTATCGAAATGCAACTGCTGTAGCCTGGATCGAACCCGCGACCTTTGGGTAAGCGGCCGAGCACCGTAGCCACTGTTCCACCGGGGCATACTTTTCGATATCCTAGAGTCTGCATTTCACCACAAAGGGTATGCTTAGATCAAAGCAAACATGGTAACTGTCTTTCGAACATTGTATTCAAACTACACACAATCCGACTCAACACTACTATGAAAGTTAGTTCTAAACCAAGGAGAGTCAACCACCATGAAACTACTAAATGTTGCCTTCTCGTTGGCTTGACACCTCAGTAGTTTACAATGACAGTGCAAGCGTGAGTGGCAAAGCACCTGAATTTCTATAACAATTGACATGCAAGATAGCATGTGCGCTAGTGTGTCTTGTTACAAGGTCCTCAACAATACAATTGCTTAAACATGTTTCCAATACGAAACACATTTACTGTAGGACAAAGAAAATAGCAACAACTGATCGCTAGTTATTGTCACTGCAACCAAGCAGCACCTGGAAGATGCGTTTGATGATAGATTGATATGTGGCGTTTAACCTCTCAAAACCACCATATGATTATGAGAGACGCTGTAGTGGAGGGCTCCGGATATTTCGACCACCTGGGGTTCTTTAACGTGCACCTAAATCTGAGCACACGGGCCTACAGCAGTTTCGCCTCCATCGAAAATGCAGCCGCCGCAGCCGGGATTCGATTCTGCAACCGGCAGGTCAGCGGCCGAGTGCCTTAGCCACTAGACCACCGCGGGGGGGCAACTGGAAAATGCGTCATTAAGCCTTTGTGTTACCTTTCCAAGAATGCAACCACAATATCTTTGATGATTTACTAGGTATTCAGATAAACACTTTCACTGCCTCACTCAACGACAGCATGCAATCAAAATGCTTTAGGATGAAATTAAATCAATCATCCTTAGTAAATAAATAAACCCATTTAATCAATCTGCAGTGCACTGAAGTATGCAAAAAAGGGAGGGGGGGCTGAGGGGGTAGCCATTAACTCTGAAGACATCAAACAAGTGTCTGAAAACCAGCACAATATTAGAAACTGTAATCTTCTTATGTAACACCATGTGAGCTCACATAAAACACATAATTTGTGTTTAGCCTATATCTATTGCAAGATTTTAAAAATCAACATGCTCAGAATCAACAAGGCAGTGTCTCAAAACTACAGTGTGGTTAATTTTATGTACTATTCATGAACGTCAAGTAAAGTTAAATGCAATTACGATCACACATGAAGCTTTACATTTTGCATGCCTTGAAAAAAAAAAAAGTGTTGTGCATTCACAAGGCAGAAGAAAGTGCCTTGTTCATAATGATATTACAGATCAAGCCAATATTTTTCATAAAAAATATAAAACTTGCTTGGGTAGACAAACCTCGGTTCTTGATTGCAAATGAGGGAACATTTCGAATAGAGATGTGGAAGCAGGAAAACGGATAGACACCAAGAAAATGACTCCAGAAGTGTTGGACAAGTGTTCTTTTTTATCAGATCAAGACAGACAACAGCCATAACACAGAATTACTGCCGCACACTAAATCAATCGAAAAACAATGCTGAGGCAGGAAAATTTGCAACATGTCCCAAAACTGACTTGACTGCATAAAAAAAAAAAAAGGAGCAAGAAAAAAGCAAACAACATGCATGCAACGAAAGCAAGTACTTCAATGCAGTAAGTGGTACCGTGAAATTACCAATTCCATCGCAAAGTGTCCGTAGTTTAATTAGTGCAGAAGTCTTACTGTCGAGGTCTTTCATGTAGCAAGTGAGAATTACCAAGACAGCGAATGACGCAGAACACTTCACGGCAATTACACACGTCGCACAACAAGGCAGCAAGCAAGGAAAGGTACTGAAATCACATTACACTAACAAAAACGAATGCATAAGCGTGTGGCGAACACGCATAACTTAAAACATAGTCTCTACAAACGTCAACTGTACCGTATTACTTGTTGCATCACAAAATAATAATAAGATTAATAATAATAATAATAAAAAAAGCTACGACTGACTGAATCGAAGCTAGGACTCAACTTTCATGACAGTAGAGCACAACCAAGATATATATGTATATATATCACAGTATTCACAGAATCAACAGCAACAGTTCCAAAAATCACTCAACAATTGCGACAGAAAATTTTTGGCTCGTGAGCTTTTTTTTTCTTTTTTGATTATACAATAACCAATCGCGCGAAACTCTGCAACTGGGTTCAGTGAATGCTGTAAAAATAAGTTAGCACTGATCACTTAAGCGGAGCTTAAGGGTGGTGGAAGTTTACTACAGTGCTGTTGTTAGTAGCAACGATGTGGTGCAGCAACGTGACAAAGGTCTCGAAAAAAATTCTGACATCTTACAGAAAAAATATTTCAGTGGCCTCCCTCAACTAGCACATAAACATTGCAGATAGGTGCACCACAGCTTTGTTGTGCTGTTTAGCACAAATGTTAAAGGAATATTTGTAGATGCAAGACGATAGCACTAACTTTTAAAACCGACCAAAAATGCTAATCATAAGATATTTGGTATCACAACATGTGTGACCCTATCCGAAGCCAAAAATGTTTAAAAAAGACCAAATAAAAAGTAGCACTGCTCTAACAGTGCGTGCACACCTTTACGTCCATTTCCAATTGCAAACAAAGTATATGATAAAAAGGGAAGCATTCTCAGTTGCATGGGTTTCAGAAGACTGAATTGATGTACGTATGAAAAACTGCATCAGCAAAAAAAAAATTTTGAATGAATGTATTTATGAAATTTTTTTACTTTCGGCTACAGTAAGAAACAATTTACCAACATTCCATTCTTTAGCTTATCATCAAGCAGGAGCTGCAAATGAACAGAAAGCAACAGGTATTGCTTTTTCTAAATTCATAGTAACAAACACCACAAATACAATAAAAGCAAGATCACTTCAATGAATAAACACAAAGCAGAAGCTATTAGCCAGCAAGCAAACCTGGAATAACCCAAATGTCACAAAAGTGTTTCACTAAAAGAAAACTCCATGCACATGAATTCTCAGGCATAAAATCGCTATCAGAACTATCAATGCACCAATGGAAAAACTAATATATCCATAATATAACAATAATGATGTATCTATTCGCAAATATTTTCGAAATGTAAAAACTCGAATATCTGAATAATCAGTCTACTGTGTTAAGTGTTCCTAACCACATAAGTACCAAAACATGAATGTATTGCTGGCTAGTGCAATACATCTTAAAAATGGCAAGCATAATATTGCAACACTAACACTTACCATGCTTACAACTTATACGAAATTTTTAAGTATGCACAGACAAGCTTGTATACAGACAGCTTGAATAAAAACTTTAGTGTACTGTTATTCACATAAACACGCTACATTAAACAGTTTTTCAAGCCTACTTATATGGTTTGATTTTGATCAATTGAAAAAAAAAAAAAAGAAATACCTACACAATGAAATAAACAAATTTTATGTCTAAGGTTAATAGCGAAACATCGTATTTATGAAGAGAGACTATATCAACACTCATGTAAAATCCTGAGAGCAGATATTATAAAAAACGGCCAGCTATGAATATGGGTGCATTTTCACAGAATGCAGTTTCTATCTCAATATTACTTTGATAAGAAGTGGGCATGAGAAAAAATTTAACAACGAAATGTGCACTAATAACTTGAGACAACCCGTAACTAATCATATTCACAAAACTAGCCATCTTGAATGAATCCCCCTACCAAAAAAACGTAACAAAGAAAGAAGAAAAAGCCACAGCAGAAGGGCACGTAGATGTAATGGAATAAGTGCATTTCTTACTGTAAAAGGCGTGTGAAAGATTTCAGTGTATTATGCCCTAAAGAATGTCGTAGCCTAACTACGGATGTTTAGATTGCGCAGACACCGACCTGTTTGTACTTTTCAATCAGACACACATTGCAAGTAACACGTAATGGAAAAAGGGAGGAGAAAACAAATGATGCATACGAAATAAGAAAAGTCTCTGTACGAGGCCCAGAATCAATCTATAAAGAGAAAACCGACCGACAATGCTAATTTCAATCTGATCTTCTCGTCCCCTCACTTCAAGAAGAGTGGCCAACGGCCATAAGATCAGAACAATAAGCAAACAACAAATCTCTTCCCTTAACCCGAGTGCCACTCAAGATTTGTCGCCAGCGAACTTCGTTTCAAGCAGCTGTGCAGCTGCCCACAAAACCTTACGCTACCAAACTCTGCCCTACAGCTCGGCACACGCGTTCGCCACGACCAAGGGCTACAGGCGGCGAGTTCTCTCGTCATTCCATTTCTTTATCAGTGCATGGCCTCAGTGGTGGATGTTTAAGAAGGAACCCGTGAAGTGTCGAGGCTTCTTCGCCGCAGTCAGCAGCGCGCACGAGCTAGCCGATGACGACATTCCGACAATGCTAAGACGACGAGGGCAGGCTGAGATGATGTAACGTCTCAGCCTGGGTCTTCAGCTGGCTAAACTCGTCCTGTATGACGTCTGTTATCTTCTTTCTCTGCTCCATCTAAAGAAAGAGGAAAGCGCTGAATGAATGATTGTTCCACCAAAAAATCACACCAGAAAATCAAACACAGCTGAAAATGTGAAGCCAAAATGCATCTGGATCCATGGCTACTGGCGAGCTACCCTGTCCATTACAAAAAGCTGGCCCACATCCCGAGTTATCTTCTCTTGAAGCAGGCCTCCACTATCAGATGCAACTTAGCCACAACTTTATCCATGGTCATGACAACCCAGCTGCTTTCGTAGCCTCCATAGCAGTCCACAGACCATCCCGATTGCTGTTTGCCACAATCTTCCAGTGGTCTTTTTGAGACTATTTTTAACAAACAACAGCATGTTCACAACATACTTCTCAAATCATAAAACACATCTGGCTGTGTTTCGGTAAATGTGTCCCCCTCTCAAAGAATAAACTTTGGGCTAGATAGTTGTGCACCACTGGCAGAGATGTATTTGCACAAAATAAAAACCGTCAAAAAAAGAGCACGTGCCTGTCAGTTTTTATATTGCACTAACATGGCTCAGCCCGTTGTGTTTACCTCTAACAATTTTGTGTCTTGGACCCCTCAGAACATACCACAATTTGCGGTGTACAGGTAGCACCTTTGTATAAGATGCGCCCCTAACTTTTCACAACTTTCACAGGAAAAAAATGACATATAAGACACACCTCTTTTAAACTCGGTCAACATGATAAAACACCATGACGCACACAGAGTACACTCGTGAAACGCGTAGTCCTGCACGTCACAGAATATCCATAAACAAAAATATAAAACTCATAAATAACGCTCTCCCAAGGCGCAGGAAACCAGTGTTTGTTCGTCTTCACTCGAAGACACATCCCCAGTGCACTGTCGTTCTGCCGTCTCGATAGGCAGCCTGCAGTAACTCGGCCTCGTAGCACATCGGTGGTGTTGTTGCCTCTACGGCGATATGATGCTTGAAAGGGACACGTAAACTGTTGTGCCACATGTTTAACATCTAGACACACACATACATAAAGGCAAACGGTGACGGGAAACCAAAAGCTGCAACTACCCTCAAACATCAGTATAGCAAGATCGCATCTTGCATGAAAACAAATTCTTTATATCCAAAAATTTGTTATAAGGGTTATTTCTAACACCCTAATTTATTGCAAGACTACTTTTCACTTATTTCATTATAACCAATATTTCGTTAACCAGGTTTGAGTGTATCAATAAACTGCTGAGAAGCCTTGACTTGACATTTACTACCAACTTCATAATGCAACATAATATGTGCATTGAAGAAAATAACTGCATTGAAATGACAATGCTATATCACTGGTAGAAAATGCAGTTTCCTAGACAGTCAAAGGCAATGTTCAAACTTCCTGAGAGTTGTGAAGTAAGCGTAGGTATGCAGTACATGCAATCAAATGCTCACATGGAAACCTATGAAAATGACAACGAAGTGGTGCTTTTGTTTTCGTAACTGGTAGGTAATCACAACAGGTGGTGTTTGATTAACCAAATTTTATCAATACAGTCGAAGTACAACTTCTGGGACGCCAGCAATTCCGGACATGCCCGATTTCCCGGACTCATAAGTGGCACCGTCAACTTCCCCATAACCAGCACACGCCAATCCGTTGCCAGCCGTAGCCTCTGGCTGTAGCTTTGGCCACAGCCTTAGGCCACATGGTGCTGTGCCGTGACAAGCTACTCTGTTAACCTTTGGTCTGCCGTCGGCATGTTTGCAGATTCGTAAAAGGCGTTTACGCAACAGACCCCTTGGAACAGTTTTCACCCCCGTGAGTTTCATACTAGACGTCGAGACGGCCGTCTCACACGGAGTGGACAGCGTGATGAAATTCCACCCGTGGGCGTTTCCTTCGACGATCTGCACGTTGCTGGTGTTACGATTCCGACCGGGATAACCCTTGAGGGCTTTGCCGATGCTGACAAAAGCCTCGAGCTGTGTGTGGAACTGACCGATGACGAAATCATTTGTCAAGTTATGGAGGATTCCGATGACTTTGACACCAAGATAGAAGAGACAACCTCTGCACAGTCAATGAGCTCGGAGTTGACGCATGGCCGCTGCTCTGGTTTGGAATAGTCTGTGCACCCAAATGAACATTGGGTGAGGGAATGACTTGTGTGTCATGCATTGGCAAAGGACATAACAGGTTGGTGGGACTGCATGCCCACTAAACGACAACTGCAAAAAGCTAAACAGAGATGAAGGCAATTATTTTCTTAGCAACGGCACACATACATGCTATTATGTGTAGTAATAATGTCTGTGTCAATCTTGGAGAAGTGTTTTGGATCTCATTATCAATGAGTAAATATTAATGCACTTAACGGCCTAATGACTGAACACAATATGTCATAACTTCTTTGCAATCTTTGTTGGGATATATGGCCCAAATAGGGGGTTCAGCCAGTCAACACAATTATTTTATTAATGCAAAAATACCGAAAAGCCCTCTAAAATTTGTGATAATCAAAAAACATTGTTAGCATGCAAGTACAAAATTTAAAAAATAAAGACTATTACTTTGTCTACCAATAATGAACCAGTGAGTCATAAATTTACAACAATACCGTTCTTATTGTCCTTTATCATGCCTTAAAATTCAGCACTGAAGAAAAGTGTGGTTACAGCTCTACAACAACCTTCCACCAATAATGCAAAAAAGAACAAAGGTTGAGCAATCGTGTGAGGCTTCAGCAATGTGCTACGTTCTCCAACAAGAAATTCATAGCTAAATCAAAATGCCAGCGCAATAAAGAAACAAAAAGTGTTGTTTCATAAAGTGTGAGAAAACATTTGTATTCCAGCAAGACACACAAACTGTATTTTAAAGAGCTCGTTCTAAGGAATTTCAAAAGTACACAGCACCTGTTAAAACACATCCAAGTCAATCTCGAAGCCTCAACAAGTGACCACCAACTACAGTGAATCGGCACATTTGAATGTCAGTGAACTGCAGGATTATGATCTCGCATTATATGTCATCCTTACCGCACTTTTATTTTCCTTCTTCATGGTACTCCGGAGGCAGGTGAAGTCTATGGGGTTTCCAATTAGAATGGTCACCAGCTATAAATAGAAGCAAGATGGGGCGCTTATTTAGAGAAATAAGTGCCTCTGTTCTGAAGCAAATTGTGGCAATTGAAGCACCCCAAGTGGAACTACAAAGAGTTGGTAAGGAGGTCACCGTAGAATGAAGCATGCAAAGGCAGATATAAGAGAACAATGTAACACAAATGCCAGAGGCAGAACCCACCAACAGCTCCTTGCTATACCAACGCATGAAATAAAAGGTTGTTAATTAAGATTTCACGGGGCCTTAATAAGTGCCATAATTAACCAAATTATCAACTAGTGAGAGTATCAATAAAACAACAAGCAAATATCTATTACAAATATGTACTTTAATTTTCTTTATGAACTTGTAAATCCCTTACCTTGCACAGGAACAGTGGAAAACGCTGCAATTTTGACCACTCGTGATTTCATTCAATGTGATCGCTACTCACGACCTTCCTGTCCTAACTAACCCAAAACATCCTAAGCTGAAATCCCCCCAAACATTGTTACCGACATTATCCCATGGTTGTAGACTGCACCACTTAGTTTCGTTTGTCCGTGAACACCGTTTCCATTTCTCCGCTTTGCACACCTGCAGTGCCCTCCGAGACTCGTCCGAATTAACATGATTGAGTTGGATGCCAATAAGCAATACATGTGCTAGCCAGAACGAGAGAGCAGGTCCAAAAAATCAAATTTTACAAATTAACGAAGGTCAAATCAAGGAGCTTACACTATATCAGGGTGGCTGACCTGATACAGGCATGTTAACTCCCGGAATTTGTTTTCCTTTAGACCTGCAAACCATAACTTTAGAACCAAAGACTGTACTCACCATTACTAATGTTTGTTGCTAATTGCTTTTGCAAGACACAAATATGCCAAATAAAGTGCTCATTCTTCAAACAATTCTTTGGCTACACCATTATTTGATGTCACAACAACAAAACAATGCAGTAATACCTTCCAAGTTGAAAGCTTGATACCAAGCTGAATGACACCCCCTTAGTACTTTAATTACCAATTTTCTCATTATTCCATCCACGTGATGTGGTTGCTCATCTTACATTAATTAAGCAACTCACACATAGCAACAAACTAGCACAACCTACTTTCTTACAATTATTCAACTTTTAACACAAGTGTTATCACCAAATAAAAGAACATACCTGTCCCCACTGTGGAACATAGGGCTCCTTGTTTGGCAAAACATTGTTCATGCCTGAAAGTGAGACGGACAGTTATTACATCCATTTACGACTGAGATGTCGACACGGCCGTATCGACTTGCAGCACTCACCAACATGCCAGAATGGAATGACTATGGGACACTTCTTGCTTTCCGCAATCAGTCTGCCAACGCCTGAAAGTAAACGATTGGGAAGGTTGCCCTCACAAGCGCTGATAACTGCGAGGCAAAAATGCAGTGTAAGACGCTCACTGAACGTAGACGAAGAACAAAATGACAAGACACGTGGGCAAATTTGCACTACCATCCGCGTTCATTACGGTGCACTACCATCGCAGTATTACGGTGAACCAATATGCCATACAAGTATGACGAGTGATCGTTGTCATCAGGTTTGCTATGCCCATAGCAGGGTCAATGCCTTTCTCCCATGCTTATGCAAATAGGTCGTGTGCTTGCCCCATCCACACTATCCCCCCAAGGTTATCAATCTTGTCTATCTGCTGAACTTCCTCGGCAAATAAGAAATGCAAACCAGCAATTATGACGAAAGTTCGCAGTCTTGCAGTCTTTCTTTTACACCACTGACGGCAAAACTCGCATGTGTGGTGAGGTCTTCGCAAGCGTCTTTCACGTGATGAAGATGACCGGGTCATTTCATTTCTGCATGAACTGAATTCATCACGTACGCATGCCTGCTTTTACTAGCACTTGGCACACAGGATGTGCGAGCTCAGTTATTGATTTGGACACAACATGACGACGACAAAAACCAGTCAAGGGTGCCTGTATATAAGAGTGCTTGAGCGCAGTTCAGTTTGAGCGTGAAGAAAAGGTGCTATGCAGTCAAGAAGGGGAAAAAACAGTGCACAGTGAGAGCGCTGTCATCTCTTTAGAATATTTTCTTTGCGCTCAAACTGAGCTAGGCTAAAGCAATATGATTTTATCATGCACCAATTTGCCCAGTCAGCAGTACTTGCCACCGCAATTAAACATGGCTAGTGCAAAGGTTATTATAATACACTGAACCTCACTTTCGTCATTGTGAAAACAATGTGGCAGGAAAAAGAGCAAGTAAACTAGGTTTTAAAGCCAGTATTTTAACAGCACTATTAATGTTTATCCTACATAAAATTCTATAAAACTACATCATGCCTTCTCATTAATAATGAAACATTATATAAGAAATATGAATAACACAATGGGCACTGAGAGCACCTGCCTGCAAACCAATTAATGAACACTTCGTCCCTCGACTACCAGGCACCTGCGGAATGAAATGATTGCAACGACCACGCACCCCATTTGAGTCGCAGGAACTCTTGAGTGACCATGTTGACCTTTCCCTCGGGGAAGATATGGACCCACATGCCGCGGTTGAGCAGTTCGATGCAGTAGTCCATGCCTTTCTGGAAGACACCCTCTCCGCGACACACGGGAACTGTCTTGCCCAGAGCGAAGAATCGTGAATGCAGCTCATTCGTGAAGCAGATGTCATGTGCTGCAACGCTCCAGCGCATGCACTTCTGTCGGAGTATGTGCTTCAGCTCCAGCATTCCTGCAAGACCACACAAGAGCTTAAATTTATCAACACAGGTGTAATGCTGAAATGCAGATGAAGATGCTTATGCCACAATGTCATCTAGTGAGATCAGTTAAAACAATACACATGTGCAATGGTCGAGTGATACTGTTCGGCTTGGAAAGAAAAAAAAAATTGGTTTTGACACAAGGGCGAACCGATGAATGCGATAGCAACATTTCTTTTTCTTCTTTTTTAAATAGGACAGCTACAATGAACTTAGTAACTTCAGTGGGAAGGAGCAGCACTGAAAAATCTAACTACAGGGTCAAAGTTGTGGTGTTTTAAGATGGGTGGCGAGGGGCCTGGTTAAACCCATATCCACCCTCCTTGCACTGTGTATCTGCATGAAGCACATTTTCGTTATGCTTTACAACGAAATATATTGCAGATTAGCAGGTTTAAAAATGACTAAAGGTCTTGTCTGTATCAACATTTCATGTACATTTTTTTATGAACCAATGACAGTACCTGTTAGAAAATCAACCTTAATGAGCCATGTACGTACAATGCATGAGCAATCAACATATGGAAAGCCCAAGAGTCAAATAACAAAGCCACACCAAGAACCCTTTAGATTTAACCATCCAAAGATGTTGGCAATGGTGCTGTGCACATTATGTCACTCTTATCTCACCCCAAATGAAAGGATCATCAAGGCAAGAGTGGTGGTTGCAGACTGTGATCAACGGAACATCTTCCGGTCGGTTTTCAATGGCGTTGATGAGGATCTCCTTGTTGTACACATTCACTGTGTTGAACCAGCCTTGAAACAAAGAAAAGAGAGTATATGTCAAATTCAGCAAGAATGTGAAGTGCCTGAGGATTCACACAGTGTAGAAAAGCCTGCTGTGGGATAGCATGAAAAAAAAAAAAAAAAAGAACAAGCTAAGTAGCAGAGATGGGGCTGCTAACAGAAGTCTGATGCAAAAGCAGCATTTCTTTCTATTCAGGCAAGCTCATTTATAGCTAAAACAAAAGTTACAGATAGCAAATGGCTTCTTGCCTACTTGACTTGGCTACCAACACACACCATTTACGACTCTTAGCAGATGAAATTAGAATGCAATGTCTACGACTTGATTTCACATCAATAACCTTCCTCTGTCGAAATTCAAGCATATTGACATTACACTGATGTGCAGCTCTGCAGTAATTCGCTGTGCCCTACCAGGCAGCCATACAGCGCTTCAACAGAGTGTAGAGCAGTGAAAGTAGTGACAGTGAAAATACCCCTTTTTAATAATTTGCATTGCGAGGAGTTATAAGCCCGCTCTTTTCCGAAACGTTAGTTAGTGCAAGTGAAGGTCACGTGCGAAGGCAGATTACGTGTGCAAAAATGTTCTTAATGCCGAAGCATTTGCATATACTGCAGGACATAGCACAAATAAAAAGACCCCCGTATCCAAATGGTTCCGTAAGCAGGGCGAAAATGGCTCACTAAATAACATCAATACTTCACAACACAGAATAAAGCAGAAGCTTAGATTGCGTATTGTCATGCAAGCGTGCAAAGACTTGACATTTACTACCAACTTCATAATGCAACATAATATGTGCACTGAAGAAAATACCTGCATTGAAATGACAACGCTATATCACTGATAGAAAATGCGGTTTCCTAGACAGTCAAAGCCAATGTTCAAACTTCCTAAGAGATGTGAAGTAAGCGTAAGTATGCAGTACATGCAATCAAATGCTGCACATTGCTTCAAGCTATGTGCACTGTGCATGCTTCCTGCATTGCACGCGCTACACATGCATTGAAAGGTATTGCTCCTAGAAGTCTGTACCTAGACAAGTATTCAATGTTGTTGAAGTCATAATTCAACAAGTTCTTTAAGTTCCAGGACACGCCTTGCATAATAACTAATGGAGCAAAATGTGCCAATAAATTCATAATCTATATAGCCAATGCCAACAAGCTTCTATGTTTGAACAAAGGTTGAACGAATTCTGCAAAAAAAGTTATACAGCGTGCCTCGAACAGTAACCGAAAGCATATGATGCATGCTTCAAGACGATTGCCACACAAACAGCCCGCAGCCAATGTCACCCAAGTTAACCGAGCTCCTAACCAAGCCATGGCCGTGCCAATCAAATAAGGATCGCAGAATGGTGACAAATAAGGAACCCATTCTAAAGCCCTGGACAAAAGCGACATCTCACGGTTATGGCATGAGCTGGATCAGCAGATACTAAAAAATGATCATGTTTTAGGACTTAAGCCAACTTTTGAGATTTTGCAATATCGATCTCTTATTAAATGGGTATGCAAGCCAGTCGGACAATGTCGCATTAGACCACATGTGCCCCGGACTAGCTACACGAGCTATATTGTGAGACAAAAAGAAGGACTGAATGAAACGTAGTGCTCCTAACTGCTACGATACCCACTGCAGACAACATGCCATGCACTAGAAATTAGGCACACAGTGCCATTCGTGTGCAAACTCGTCTGAAGAGCACTGAGATGCAAAGCATAATGCAAACTGTCAGCAAGTCACTGCATAACAGACGTGCACAATACAACAGATCACACAAAACGCATAATGTGCTGCAAGAGAGTGAGGGGGAGACTGCGACATGAAAATATAAACCTAAGCAAAAAATTACGTATCCTAAAAAAAAAAAAACTCTTAAAAAGTGGTCAAAAGACCGAGGCAGAAGTGAGTTCCACGAGGGAAGCTCACCTGTTGTGCGGAATACTCGGGGTCTGTGTGGGTTCTGTGCCCTCTTAAGAAACTGCGGCTCTATTGCGTACACCAAATGAAAGAAAAACAGACAATCATAAGAAAGACAGCCATAAGTTAAATGTACGACTGGGAAAGTAGAAACAAGAGAGGATACTTCTGCACACATTTCTTTCTTTTTTAATGCTTCTATATGAAGAAGTTCTTCTTTGAAGAATGTAAACAGTGTGGGCATCAAGTGCCGGTGACAAAGAACAACATGTGACAAATGTCTTGGAGATTCTTTGACTGCCCTTCATAAAAAAGCAATTGAGTCTTGATTAGCGTGATCCATGTGTCGTCTATTGCACATTCCCCTTTTGCCGATTTGTAGTTTTCTGTCTCTTTGCTTTTAGTTTCTTTAGCTTGCAGTATATGTGTCCAATGTCTCGTCCTACTTAGCCCCCATGCTTCTGAATTGAAATTGCAGTTGAGGGTTTCAATGCCTCTTGTCGTCCACGTCACTTACTTCCTTCAAAGATATCCAGACTCGCCCAGCTATCTCAATACGTCTCTAGCCAAACCTACAGGGGCTCGCAAAAGAGGCTGCCACAGGCCGATTTGCTAGAGAAAACAACCTGGAGCACAAAAGGTTTAGCAGTGTACATAACACCCGGGAAAGCTTTGCAGATGATACAAAAATTTCTCGATGATATTGAAGAACTTTGCCTGAGACAGCTTTCTATATCGTACTTATACAGTTACTTGAAAAGCAACACATAGGTCTTTTGCATTTCCCAAAAATGCCAGGCTCTGAAAACTCTTCCCATCCCGTTTCTAAAATGTCCAGAACAGAGAAATAGCACAGAGAACTTGTTTCACTAAATTTCAGTGCAGCTTATTCCTTTTAGCAAGTGATGGCAGCAAGAAAGCCCTTCAATGAGGTCTACTCTTTCTAGTGCTGCTCTCATTCAAACACACGGCCAAGCAAGCACTAAAAACTGCCAATGTACACCTTTTAACTGAAAAAAAAAAAAAAAGGTGCCATCCCCGAGAATCTGATGTGCATATAGTTAGACTATCAGAACGGAAGGGACCCTATGTCCCACGTCCCAGAAAAGCCATTTAAATAGGCTGTGAACGTTCATGAAACATATCAATAAATAGACAGCTGTAGCCATCAAAGAAAACTGACGGAACAGGAAAAAGCATGTGCGTCAATCAAATTCCTCTCCCGTCATACCTGTTGGCCAGTTTCCTGAAATGCAAGCTGCAGCCACTTGTCATTCTTTTTGCAGCTGTGGGAACTCATTCATGACCCTGATAACCACAGTTACTTTCGCACCATGCAAATAATGATGGAATGTGAAGTGCTCCGACATAGCACAAACGCGAAAAGCTCATGTAAAGTAAAACACCGATTTTGTTGACTGATAAAAAGAGTTCTATCACTAGTTAAAGAACGTAGATCCAAATGTGCCCCTCATTTATTTTAATGAGCAATGTCTCTAAGGCTTAAAGATTTAAGGTAGGTTAATCAGGATAAAACAGCCAACACGCAATAGATTAAAGAGTCTCTACGTATGTAATACGTAGAGACCCTTAGCGAAGCTCACCAGGTCTTTACATATGTAACATGCTTTCTCCAAGCATGAAATTCTAGACATGTTTCATCTGTTCTGGTTTATATTGTTGCCAAGGTTCTCGCGTTATGAACTGTCAATACAGACGGCTTACCGCCCTGCCAAAGTGCAGTTTACAATCTACAACACTATGAATCATCCTACATTATCATCCAAACAGCTATCTCCAAATGATTAAAAGTGGATATATATAAACCAAAGAAACAAACGCTTCTTTACATACCCAACATTGTTTGTCCATTAAAATCATATCAGGGCACGAAGCAAGGCCTATATTTGCATTCATTCATGCGACATATTTCTAATTGAAGTTCCCTGTTGCCATAAATGGGGAAATTCCTATATTACTTTCCTTCTTACAATAGGAAATATAATAAAAACAGCCATATATTAAGTATTTATTTGCTTTAGATAAAGGTGTAAAGACGATTTTCATTGGGGAACCACTTGGTGAAAATTGCGTTTTTGAAGTTTCACCTGGAAAGAAGTGGCACGGCACTACACATTGTCACTTTGGGTCCAGAAGATTTAAGAGAGTTGTAAGGTTAACAAGTTGGCCTACACATATGTATGAAATACGCTAGCTCAGTCTTGTTTGGTTAGAGATATCCTGGAGCTGCGATTGTCCTTTTAATGCCGTATTGTGCTGCCAGGCAAGTCTTGCACTTTGCTGTGTCTGAACACAGTGTTGCATAACAGTGATATGTATTTCAATACACAACAGTTAAAGGCAAGCTGCTCGATTATGCGTTCAGATTTATTGGCTGTTCCACTTTGTCAACCTTATCATAACACACTTGTTCAGATGATATATGATATAGGACAGTTAGACAAGTTGCGAGGGTGATGTGTAGCGTGTTTTAAATACTCCCAGCACATGCCCTCCACACTGGAAAGAAACTACGTAACGTTATCACCTTGATACAGACAGTCCACCATAATAGCCGAGCTAATTATTTTGCAAATGTAGTTTCAATACGTCTGACCAGTAAGTATTGAGAGAGGGATCATGAAAACTGGAGCAAGTCTTGCCATTTCTAAGTGGGCATTCCTCAAGCTTCAAATAGCTTCAACATTGCTACTGTAACACAATAAACAATGCAATTACTAAAGAACCAGCCAGTGAGCATAAACTAATTACAAAACCAATACGTCACATTTTCCTTAAATCTCAAAAGAAAAGACTCAGCCACAACATAAAAAAAATCTACATTCTTACCTTGAAGCAAGTTATACACATGCAACATCATTTAGAACAGAAAAATATTTGATGTTCCTCGCAATAAAAACAAGAGAAAACTTTATAACACTTAATACTGAAAGTTTCTCAACATAGCACACAACAAGCCCTGTTCATTGGGCTTTCATGGTTAATGTATGTTTCAGACAACATATTATAACCAGAAGTCAAGGAATGGCCAATTTGTGAGCACTTTCTAGGCTTACGGTGAGCAGCAGAGAACAACATTTACAGTTTGCAAGTGGAGGCAATATGCCAAGTGTAAGTAACTTAACACTTCCGCAGAAAAAGCGATGCCACCTTTTTTATGGTAATGAGTATGGTTTCACTTGTTCCTGTGATCTTTATATTCTTTTTTTTTATTTGTTTAAGACCACACCACAAAAAATGGTAACTGACAAAGCTGTCTGAAAATCTACTTGCCTGGCAACTTCTTTATGACTCTCTTTCCCTGCAAGTATACGCTAACTAACGATTTCTCTCGAACGATGCCCACAAGACCTTGCTAATTTGTTTTGTTGCATTGCACATAATAGAAACCTTGCTCCGAAGCGTTATTAATGTGTAAACCTTTTACAAAAGTCACGAGCCTTAGTCAAAAGTCACGAACCTTAGTTTTAGGACTGACAACATAACTTTTGAAATTTGTGGACTACTAACAACGATGCAATAAAGATAAACATCATCACGTTTTTTTTTTTTTTGGCTGTGATGTAGTGTACTAACCATAACAGCTGGAGTTCGACCCATAAACCTTCTTTCCATTTGTGTAGGTTTCCACTGTGGGCAGAACGGCTCTGTCAACTGAATTCCTTATGTGTGTAATGCAATTAGATTATGAAGAAAATAAATCTTGATGAGCAAGTGGTAATAAAATGGGCATGTATTATTAACAAGCAGTTATAATGAATAATCTTACATCAATAATTCTGAATGAGATATGAGCAGTAGACAGGAACACTGAACATATTAATTACATTAACACTGCAATGTGTGTCAGAGCCCTGTAGCCTTCGCTACCTGAATAGATGCGACAGCAGTGAATCGCATGACACTTTCCGAGCCTGCAGTGTTGTATTGTACTATGGCCTCTACTTGTATAAATGCGACAGTGACAGTGGCGCATTGCATCATCCCTCAAAAGCATAACGCTCGTGTGACGAGATATCAGCCCGCATAAATATCTCATTGTAATGTGATGAAGCTTCAAATAAAAACAGATTGACACACTTCCTGGGAACGCATCTAAAAAGTTGGACGCATCGCTGCAACAGTAAGCAAGGGGTTACTAACACATATGGCGTGAACACGTGTTTGCGTGTTAGCAGTGTTGGCTTACGTTTCACATCCCAGATGCAAGACATTGCGCTTTACATACATGGAATGCCAGAACACTTATCTAGAGTAACACTAGGTATGGGTCAGACATTTCTAGAGTTCTGGAAACACTTGCATCAGGTGGCACAAATTCTTACTGCAAAAAGCAGACATGAGAAAGGATATAGGAAAGGGAGACTAGCCAAGCCATTTACATGAAGTTTATTTTCGAAAAATGGAGAACTGTGCTGATTCACAACATCAAAAAACAATGTTTTTGGCTTCGAGTCACACAATCAAATTAAGCAGGTTAGGGCCGTTAGGATTGGGTCTACCTTGCAAGCTCATAGGCAGCTAGAAAAGGCAAATGATACAATAGCTAATCTGCATTGAAAAAAAATGAACATAAGTACAAAATGTAACTTCTGTGAGCTGAGGGGCAACTATAATGTTAAAAATAATGTTTAAATGAAAAATCCCAGATTTTTCTATCAGCTGTATGTATGTCGGAAAATGTCCTTGCTCTGAACTGTGTCAACTAAAACAGATGCTGCATTTAAAGTCATGTATAAAATATTGGGAAATTCTTCAAAAGTGGCCTACAAAAGCAAAATGCTGGCATTATCCTACACAGCTGGAAAAATGTTTAATAGATCAGTCTAACTTAGGCACAGCCTTCATAAACCAGTCAGAACAATGTAAAGTAAAAAAAGAAATCCCAATGTCCCATTTCAACTAGCCGTACCAAAGCATACGCTGTGAACTTTGTGTCGGTGCATCTGCCTCTCCAACGATTAACCAGCAATCCCTGGTAATGCCCTAGCTAGCTGAATTCTAGCATAGAGTGTCAGTTAAGCAGTGCACCTTCACTTAAGGTAGAACAGGACCGTACTCCTGTCCTACGAGATCGCAGTACTGCCCACGATAACGCTAGTAGTTATTTGCCCAACTTGGTTTCCAATTCTCCTACGCCAATTGCTTTGCGTGTGGGTTGCCAACAATATGTCAGTGAGAACAAACAAGCACCATCATGCGATAGACTGAAAAATAAGCCACAGCTGCTCGCATTAAAAACAAAATGCTTTCAAACAGAAAAAACAGAGGGTACACAAATGCCCAATAAGTGTGTGTAAAACCAAGCTTTGCATAGGTGCTCGGCAATACGCTTCTCACACCTGATAAGATATCAGTCTTCCAAAACAGGGTTCACAGCAGTAAGCTCTAGTTTGCTAATCATTGTTTCCAACTATTCGAGTTTAGTAATTAGTCACTCTTAGTTAAAGGGGTGGGGCACCAGGTAGCATTCGTAAAAAAAAAAAGTGGGGAGGGGATGAACTGCTGATATGTACAGCGGTGAGCGCTGTTAGGGTGAACAAGCGCGTGGCCGATGGCACTATCAGCGCCCCGTTACGGTCATCACTGGAAACGCGCATGCGCATCACGCCTTCTGCGAAATAATTATTCCACCGCACGCATGACGTCATGAATGCACTTGTTCGTCGTCGTGTGGGGTGCTTTTCAAGATATGGTTTAGCGCCCCTGCAACGTATACATGGACACTTATCGTCAGAACAATACTGCAACATTTTGAACAATGTGCTGTTGCTATATGCGAGCAGTTTATTTCCAGACGGTGATTACCCGTTCCAACAGGACCGGTCATCGTTACACACGGGGCGGGCTGTCAAGGAGTTCCAGGCGGACCAGTACATGCAGCTACTGGAATGGCCTCCGAAATGAGCGGACCTGAATGTGATAGAAAACGTGTGGGGCCGCCTGAAAGCTTCTTTGACAAGGAAGCCCCTTTATTCCGCGACTTCGGGCTAGTTGTGGGCGCAAGTCAGCAACGAGTGGGAAAGGCCGAAAGCCGATCGGAAATATGTTCGATCACTTTACGACTCGTTACCGTCCAGAATAGCTGCAGTCGTTGCTGTAAGTGGTCACATGACTCGCTATTAGATTTGCTCATGTTTTTATATTCGTTCTCATGGTCTTGTTTAACTTGAATTGCAAAAGTGCAAATTTCTTGGATAAAGAGTTTAATAATTATCCCTCTTACACTCACTTTTTTCCTTCACGTGCCAATCTTCAATCCAGATGGACCTTGAAATGCAGAAGGTATCAGCTCAGCGAACAAAAAATGCGGCTAGCAGATGACGAACAAGCGTATCGATGACGTGACGCACGCAATGAAAAGAGTGTTTCGCAAAGCATATGCTGCGCATGTACAATGTTTCCAACGATGGATGTTACTTGGCGTTGATAGTGCCGTCGGCCACGTGCTCATGTGTTCACCCAAACGGTGCTCACCACTGCACGTGAGAGGGTCCATGTGTACGGGCACATGCCTCATCCTACACTGATTTTGGTGGGAAAACCTAGATAGATCTTCCCAAGTTAAATTTGTCTCTGCTACTGCTCTAATGTTAGTGACAAAAATGATATTTCTTTTATGCAGTAAGAAAACACAATGTTTGAAGTTCTTTTTTAGTCATACTTTGCCATACCCCATTATAGATGTTCGCATGTGTACGCACTACAGTACCTAGCACAGTTAGACAGATAAGGCAGAGACAGGAACTCTTATAAGGTCAAGGGTTTTTCGATCTTGAAACTACTACAGCACACTCATTCCATTGTTCGGGTTGGTGATACTGCACTGTTTATTTGAGCTAGGATTTTAGATTGACGTTTGGCTTAGATAATCGCTCAACGTTGCTGATATGCCTATCAAAGGGCAGCTATACGTGTCACACGGAGCATCACTAATCAAAGATCTGCGCAATATTCCGAATGGAACCTATCACGATCGACGGCAGCTGTGTGTCGTGTAACTATAGGTCTCACAAATGTCTGATTTACCACCATTGCTGCCAAAAGAAGAGTTTTTATTATTCTCTTGAATAAATCTTCACCCCTGTATCAATGGCATGATGAATTTCTAGCCTCGGCTCGCGTTTGCAATCGTTCCGTGCGTCACGCGCCAACAGCTCAAAATCACACTGCGCAAAACACCAAACTGTTATAAGCGCGCGTGAGAAGTTTGATGCCCTCAGAACCGGTCATCACTGCTTTTCGTGAGGTTAAAACTACGTCAAAAAGATCGGTGCACTCGAAGTGGGGGCAATCACTTCGATCACCTCGCTCGGCCTTGGTTTATCTCACCTTCGAATCACCGATACGGCATGCCATGCTAATTAGGAGGCACGCGGGTGCATCGCCTTGGCGGTTACCTTGGTAGCAAGGAAAGATCTTTTGAGCGGTGCCCACAGAGGTTGCAACGTTTATCCAAGTGTAGAAGGGCTCTGGCGCCCCTAAATAGGACGGAAGTATAGCCGACTACTTCCCAGAGGGAAATCCTTTCGCTGTTCGCTTCGGACAACCGTCGCCTGGGGTAGCATATCCATAAGAGAACGTAGATGGGACAACAGATTGCACCACCGAATCGGCGTAACAAGGATTACGTCGATGTTCGCAAAATCATGCGGCGTGTACAAATCGGATATATTTAATTGAAAGCAAGTAGGCGGTGCAGCTACGTGTTTGCGTAACGAGCGTACACACAAGCAAGTTGTTGAACCTAAAACAACCTTCGGCTTTTTGGCAAACCGTAATGGTTGATCGTTGGCTTACCGTGAAACAGTTTGGCGAGCAGGCCAACGGCAGGAACGACCACGGAGCTTCCGAGCTGCCATAATTTGCTGGGCTGGCTGAGGTTCGGAAGGGGCCACTGTACTTCGAGAGGCATGTTGGCGTGGTGCGAAAGGCTAGTCGCTGCTCGGTGGTCGGAAGATGCGTGCCTCGAGTCGAACACAAAACATCAACGCTGGGCGCACATAGCGTAGAAGAGAAACGTCGCGGTGCTACACGAAGAAGGCGTCTTCCAGCAATGCCCCAACCGCAGGCAAACAACCGGATGAAACGAATAGGAGGAGGAAGCAAGATGGAGAGAGTAGCGTGTTAAAACTAAAAGCGCCAGAAGAACGCGCGAAAGCATAAAAGAGAGAAAGGACGGGAAGGACGGCAACAAATTTGCAAACGCACGATGGCGCCCATTTGCGAATAGCAGCCAATAAAAACGCTGCCTGCGGCACACGTGCCTTAGTTTGACTTACGTCATAAGAAGTGTTCAATAAAAAAATAAAAAGTCATGTTTTCATGTCGCATACGTAGTGACGTAGCAAACCAAAGTAACAACAAAACTAACATAACCGATAATAACCGAATACCATTAATACCATGCATGGTACCATTATGGTATTCTAAGGACCATGCAGGAAGGAATCTATATCGACGATATGGCGGCCCATGGCGACGACGTGTCTTGCAGTATGGCCCCTAAAAACCATATTTCCAGTTAACAAAAGCATAGCCTTTGAGATTTGCAGCTGGTACAACACTAGTATTCAGAAGTAACAAATGATTGAGTCTTTTAGGTGATGTTTGCAAAAGACCTAATAAAATACAAATAAAACATGCCAACTTATATTTTCAAATTACGGGCATGTTTACAACGCAATCGGGAGTGATTGCTTGCGAAAGCATGTCAATGGGCTCCAATGACCATTCTAAAAATTGCGCTGGCAACCACTTCAACGCGCAATCCGCAATGATGGCTGAAGCGTCGTCTGATCAAGGTTTACACGACTCATTAGAAACATCGCCTCTATCGCTAATTCGTGATCAACCTACTCCATTGGATCGGTGCAGTTTCGCGGTCGCGATGTGTCGTTCATGTCCGGGTGTTCAGGTTTCGTGAGACGCGCTTCACGTCTTCGCGCCGGCTCGATATGTGACCCGACCTGAAAGTGTGTGAGCCCCCTCCGGCTTTGGCATGAATCAGAATGAGAAACCTACGCTTTGCCATCCGCGTCGCTTTTTACGGCGTAACCGTCTATTCCGCCCTGTCCACGGCCGTCATCTACATCTTCATTCAATGGTTCGGTCGTTTGCGCGCGGACCTTTACGACGTCGACGGACTCGCGAACCTCTCCACGACGCTGCATGGGCGGCCGTGCGGCGACCACGCATCTGACGACTCGGCCAACGTCCTCTCTCGCGACGTCATCGGCAGGGGACAGATCGACGTCCACGGATGGTGGCAGGACCAGGCGGCCGTCACTACGGACGTGCAGTGCTTTAACGAGCCGTGGGCTCTGTGTTCCAAAGCGTTCTCCATAACATGCAAGCGGAATGCCATTCGCGCCATTTACCAGCACCTCTCGTTCCGACGTAACCTCACGCTGCGCAGCTTTAGCTTGTCCCTGCGCGTCGCAGCCGAGCAACTCGAATCACAGACCGCAGACTCCTTTCTGGGTGCTCTCGTTCTGGTCAGACTCAGCGACGGCAGCGAGGAGTTCCTGCGCGTGCCGTTCCCCGCGAGCACGAGCACCCTGTCTCGACGAGAAGGGCTCTACGCGGCTTCACACTCTGATCGTACCGTAGCCACGGCGACGGTGATGCTCGGCTGCTACGGTTACGCAGGCGTGGCGCACTTCACGGACGTCAGGCTCGCGCCTTTAGTCGAGCCCGCGGCTGCAGGCCACGCATGCAGAGCCCGCGATCTGCTGGAGGACTGTCCGACGTCTACGGCGCGCAGCCTGCCCTCAACGCACCGCAGGCAGAAGCTAAAGTTTGAGCTCATTCTGGGCAAAGTGCGCGCGTCGTCCTCGAAGAAGCGCCATCTGAACAAGGACGTTGCGCTGGTCACGCAGCTGTCGATGGACCGATTGCCCGTCCTGGAACACACGCTGCAGCTGTGGGAAGGGCCCGTATCGCTGGTCATTTATGTTCCCTTGAAGGTATAGCGCCCATTTCCGAGAGATATACACCGTTATTGATTAAACATCCATCTGCGTAAAATTAGAGTTCTACGTGTGCATCGGCGCTTACATGTGAAGCCTACACATTAAAAACCTTTAGGTTTTGCCCGCCAAATGTTAGAGGACGTGAAACCCCTGGGCATACAAATCAATGCATGCACTAGGGTGGGCGGCTTTCAAGTTGCAAAAATTGTTAGATCCCAAATGATGATTGGGTGCACAAAATCTGAAAAGTTTGTTGTTTTTAACGAGGAAAGATCATGTATCGCCATCTATGGCTACTACGTCAACTCGACAGGGGTGCATAGGTTGAGTGGGCTAGTACTCAGGCACAGACAGCTAGAATTTGAGATTTTCATCAACATGCATGTAATGGGCTGATGTTGTTGCAACAACACGATTGTGCACTAAGGAAATAGAACGAATAATGCACATCTACCAAGAAAGGAAGCAAGATAAATGCTGTTGTATTAACAGACCTAGGGTTACCACATGTATATTTTTAGACCAGCTCAGCCGGTTTTTAGAAGAGCAGGCCAGTTGCTGGTACCCACCCGACGTCACTGGCTGGTTTTTGTTTGAGCAGTAAACAAAGCCTCGCTGTATTCACAGGTATTTTTGCGCCAGAAATTAGGCTATAGTGCGTTAGCTCAGTGTGACATTTTTGTTTGTACATCAGGTTTATTTGGCTCAAGGAAGCAATGTTACAATAAATGGCACCACATACTTAAGACCTGACATGGCATCTATTGTTCAACACTAACTTATCCTGATAGCTTATGTTCCCCCCTCCGCATCAGAGGGTCAGTTCATTTTTTCGAGAAAAGATGGCAACCCTAAACAGACCAGAGATAAGATAATGTGTTAAACAAATGCTGGCTGGAGACCACTGATAGTCCAGCTTATCTAGTACTTACATAAGCACAATAGCCAAGTTTTGTTCCTACAAGCAAACTCAACCAGATTTGTTGTAATCATGTAAACAACCTATATATTTCAGTGGAGGACACTTGCTGCTCTATGAGAGTTGTAGCTTATGCAGGGCTTTGCTTCTCTTGAATGTGGCTTGACTTAAAGCTCGGAGGAAGGAAGGGTTCTTTTCTTTTCTACTTCATTGTACCAGCCACACAATTAAAGCTATTTATTTTTATTTTTAAATTTGCTCTAAAGGATCTATAACAAACCCCAGTTCACACACGGCATCGCTCACATTGACGTTTCTTCACTTATACCCAGTAACAAAACAATCAAAACAAAACGGTGTAACAAGAACATGCATGCAAACACATCTTAACTTTCATAGAAATTTAGTGACCCTCCAGGAAGTGTGATATAGCTAAACATCCTGCTTCAGGCATTTATGTTTTTGTACTTAGGCCAAGGCCTACATGCACTAACGAACCTCATCCTTATCTCATGTTATCCGTAAGTGTCTGTACGCTCTACATGTGTTATAAGGTCGCAAAAATGGTAATATCAAATCGCTTTTCAAATACCAGCTTACTTTGTTTGAGACGTGATAAAAGCAAGAAGCCTACAAGGAAAACATGAAATAAAGATAAGGTTGGCTAGTGAATATGGGCTTACTTGTGATGGTTTAGCAAGAGCATTGCCGTAAAAGTTGTTTCGTACAATATTTGTAAGGGAACACCGATGATATAGTCTTTGGGAGCCATAATCATAGTGGTCCAGCAGGCGAGCATACAAAAAATAGCGCACACACTTGTCTAAGCTTTGTCCTGCACACTTTAAATGGCTTTTTAACTTTGCAGATTCACCATCCTCAAGCAAATATTGTGTGATACTTCGTGCAATCTTTAGCAGCATTATTTTGACCTTCTACAAAAACTTGATGCCTTCATGCTCTTATGAAAGTACAATTTCTCAGAAATTTATAAAGGCGATGCATAATAATGCCAAACGAATATCTCAATGCAGCTGTAATAAGAATCGGCTTATTTGCATTTTCGTTTCCACAGTAAAATTGTGAAATGAATTCATTAGTTCAAAATTGAGACACCTTTGGTCGAATTGTTAGTTACCATATAAAATATTTTAACGCAGCTTACTTGACATAATTGGCACATAACTTCAGTAATAAAGAGCCTTCAATCAGAAAACCGACATTGTAACATCTTGCCTGTATGCTTAATTTTTGTGTTAACTAGATATAAAAATAAGTAACTTTTCATATCTGTAGATGGTTGTGCATTCAGGCACGATTATACTGTTGAGCCCACATATATCGAATCCCAAGAGAATTAGAAAAATTTCTGTATATAGATGACTCTATATGTAAAATATATTATATATCAAAAATATATTCAAGAATTTTAAAATGCTTGATATCAGCAATAAGTAGATAACTTGATATATTCACGCTCGACTGATATGCATATGTATGTCTATATATGCTTCACAAACACCTATAACCTTTTCAGGGAGGAAAAGTGGACGGAGACTGGCAAAAGCTCTACGTTCAGAAAAAGCTGCAGAACTTGAAGCTGCACCCAGACAGCCACGTGTCACTTGCGTACGGTGTGTCAGGCTCCGGAGATTACCCAATCAATGCTCTCCGGAATGCTGCCATCAAACAGACAAACTGTGAATACCTGCTCACCGCCGATGCTGACTTCCAGCCATCACCCGATTTCCACAAACACTTCCTCCTGTCCACTAGGTAAGCTCCCTTCTTAATCCACTATTTTACCTGAAGTTTCTGCTCTGCAAAATTTTCATATTAATCGTCACCCCTATCATTTTCAGCTAATTTCAGTCCACTGCAGGACAAAGGCCTCTTCCAATAATCTCCAGTTTACCGTGTCCTGTGCTACCCGGTTTCATTTTGTCCCTGCAAACTTCTCAATTTTGACACTCTATATAACTCTCTGCTTTTCTCAACTGTGTTTTCCGTCCCTTCGTAACCGTTCTGTGTTTCTTACTCTCTGCCGGTTGTTTTTCCTGTGCATTATGGGGGCCAGCCCTAGTCAATCTTTTTTTTTGCTTCATGTCGACCAGAATGTCCACTACCCCTGTTTGTTCCCTGTCCTTACAGAACATTACTAACACTCTAAAGTAGAACTTGCATTAATTGATGAGGTGTTTATTGGCAGCACAGTTCTGACAAAGCTGCTTCAAGTTGCAACATAATAGTGTGAAACAATATCTCAAAACATTACACTATCTCTCTGAACGGTGATGCTCCGCATCACGGTTATGCAGAGCGAGCAGTCGGTTTTTTTTTTTTTTTTTTTTTCAATCAAGAAACTCGCTAGCAGACGCTGCCTCCGTCGGCTTTGCGAGACGCCGCAGGGAGGAACGCTTAGAAGAGAGGAGGGGGAGAGCGAGTGTGGTTTAGCAGATGCTCCCTGTGTCGGCTTTGCAAAGCAGGGGAGGGGAGTGTATATGAGAAGCGAGAGTGGAGGGCACGCTCATGTGCAATGGGAGAGCGAGTGCAAGCAGGTGGTGGGAGAGAAGTGGAGAGAGTAATGTGCAGGTGTTGGAGAGAGGAAGGGAGGAGGGTCGCACATGTGTAGTGTGAGCGCAGACTATGGACGGGCGACATCCCCACAAGCAAGAGATGCTCCGCATCTAAAAGATGCCAACTGCAGCAACCAACAGCAGCAGTGAAGTGTTGACAATGCTGCTAGAAGGATGCACGCCTTTTTTACTTACACTGCATCTATGTGGGATCCCAATTTCAACAAAACTTGCTTACTTCCTGGTAACTTTTCCAAAATTTCTATGTTTGCTTTACCTTCTCAAATTATAACAAAACAGCTACCATTGTACCAATGAAAACTGATGTAAGCCTCCATTAATTAACGCTCATCATCTTAAGATTGGACATCTAGCACTTATCGTCACAGGCTTTATCGTCTTCCTAAAGATACATATTGTACCTTTCATGGTACCAGGACCGTACCCAGAAATTTTTTTAAGGGGTGTTTATATGTGGAAGGGCAAACTTTGGCAACTGGTGGTCGATGTGAAGGCATGTAAATATTTTAGTATCACCCGAAAAATTAAAGCACGACAAGATTTTGGGGGGTGTCAGAACCCCCGCAACTCTCCCCTAGTTACGGCCCTGCATGGTACTATGGGTACCATGAAAGGTATGATGAAAGGTATCATGAAAGCCGTGTACTTCCACACTCTACGAGGCTTTGTTACGTATTTGCAAACCTGTGATATTGCACAGATCCTCCATTCATATATAGTGAACTGTAATGTGACTATTTCTCTTGTCTCCTAGGTCAGTGGCCAACACAGACAAGGTAGCATTTGTGGTTCCGGCCTTTGAATACCTGGAGCTACCTCAAAAATCTGATGGTGTTGCCCAAACTAAGGAGGAGTTGATGCAGCTGCTGCACCGGCAGGATCCCTTTGTGCAGCCGTTTCGGCACGACGTCAGCCCCGAGTCGCACCAGAGCACTGACTACTGGAAGTGGTACCGCACTGACAAGCCGTACGTGGTGCAAACGTTCAGTGACAAGTACGAGCCATACCTGGTGCTCAAAAACACTGCCCAGCTTCCGCCGTACGACGAGCGTTTCACAGGATACGGCATGAACAAAATCACCCACGTGACCGAGCTCTTCGCGGCTGGCTACGTCTTTCTCGTGCTTCCCCACGTGTGGCTGGTGCACGTGCCGCACAAGCCGTCGTCGTATTTTGCAGACCACGTGCAAAACCCGCAACACAGACTGCGCAACAGGGTGCAGAGGTTTGAATTCCTCGTTGATGTCATGCGCAAGTACAAGCTCGGAAGATGCAGGTGAAATCGGCGCACGACTCGGTTTGTGTATTGAATCTCTGTGTGTATAGTACACATGGAACGAAAGGCAACAGTGAGCCTTCGAGTAGAACACCTAATCAGCACAATTGCTCGAGAGCACTGTGCCGGCCACTGCTGTTCTGATTGCTAAAAGGTGACGTGAACTCTGGCCTGAGCATGTGAGCCAAAACTTTGACGACGTAGTAAAGACAGCGAAAGCATGTTTCGTATGCCTAGATTGATGCGTTTCGTTCCATGGTGATAATAGTACTCTCATGCACTTTATAGAGTGCTCTGCCAGGCAGTACATGGACTCAAGAAGCTGAGCTGCCACGATTCCTTGCCATTTATGGCAAGCTGAACCCGCCTCCTGCACCATCATCACCACCATCATGAATTGACCTCATACATGGCAGCTAGATAACATAGCGCTGCGGGTGCAATAGCTTCTTGTACAGAAACGTTCCCATCGTGTATCAAACTTTCTTCCAAATGCCACCTGCTCACAGCAATAATAATTTGGATAACTGAAAAAGCTCTTTTCACACACTGTTGGACATTAGAACATAAACTTGTGCATTTTATGCGTTTCTCAAGTCACTTTATTTAAGTGAGCAGTCAGATTATTTTGGTCAAAGCAAAGTTCTTGGTCTTCCGAAAGCTGACCAGCACGGCTTAAGAGCAGCTGAATGTAGGATGTTTTTAAGCCACGAGTAGTTAAAACCTGCCCCTGTCCGACACTCAAGTTAATGTTATATTCACAGGTGTGAAATGTGCACAACGGCGCATAATTGACCCGACTACGTGCTTCAGGCACAGATACTTGAAATGTTCATTGGAGCTCTTCTTTCTTTTCCTTCACTTCAAAAAGGTTAATTGACTGAGTGAGCTAATTAGGCTCTTATCATCTTCTGGACTATGGACCATCCACGGTTGGTGACTCCAGGTGAATTATGGCCATATTTGGCTATTATTTTTAACATGCAGCTGAATTTCTGTATGCTGATGTGTTTGGATACTGCCCTATACAAACATTCCTGCTGCAATATGGTATCCAATTGGTGATATTATGCTCAATGGGAGTTTTAGTGTCAAGGACCCCTACCACCTTGTATATGTACGCTATTGCATTCTTCTGAACTCCCAGCTGCACATAAAGAGAATACAAATGAACACGAGAGCCTGCGTACACGAGCTACTTTGGAGATCCGGCACTAAAGCTATCTAATGTATACGGACGGCACATCGACTCAGACATCACTACATATTTTTTATTTTTTCGAACCAGCCGGTGCCTGTTTATCTGCTTTTATACCTGTGTATATGCTTTTATGCAAATTCTGATTGTTTTGTATCATACAATGTTTAATCTTGAGTACTGTTTTAAAACCTGAGATGCTTTTTGGATATATGTACACAAATTGATTTTGTATGATATGTTATTTAATTCTGAGTACTACTTTAATTATTATATGCTTTTTGGATATACGCAAATTGGGAGGAAACTTTTCGCGAACAATGTTTTGTCCTTGGGATTAAAGTTAGTGCAAGTTAAACTGCTTTTTGAAGGAGCAATATGCTGCCAAGACCATATTGTAATCCACAGTCGTTTGCTTTTGTCATGTATACTAGTGTTGCATGTACATCTATCATCTATAATACGTGGACCGAGATTTTCAAAGATAAAAAAAAAAAAACTAGATGCTTTGGCATGTAACTCAGCATTGAAGAATAATATGCTATGCAAAAACACTGCATACATTGCAGTGCATGCAGCAGTTTCAGGTTGTTTGATTTGTCGGGTAGTTGACATTTGATTAGTTAATTTTCATTATTTGTGTTATGCATGTTGGCCGTGTTCCACATACTTTTGATCTTAGATGTACAGTTCTGTCGGCCACTCAAGAGTGCGATTGTGTTTAAATCAACAAGGCATGCTTTACTTAAGTATTGCTCACCTTCATGTACAGAAATAAAATAATTATCATTGAGCCATTTTAAAGGTAATTAAGGACAAATGAATCATCATGCTCAAAAGTAGTATCAGCATTTGGTCTTTATGAATTGGTCTCAAAAGACTTCCAACAGCCATAACTTTCGAGACCATTGACAGCACTTGTTTTTGTGCAAGTGTAAATCAAGCCAAGCAGGTCCAACATTTTACTTTTTGCATCCTTTTAATACATCGCTTTTGTGATGTTCTGACATTATTATGGCTTATATTTTATTTATATATCTAGTTGCAATATTTCTAGCGAAAGCTGGTGTTTGAATTTTGACTTGTAATTTGCAGTCATCTCCGATGACATGTCACCCGAAAGATGGCCCTGTGGGTTCGATCAGGTAGTTTCACCACGCATGTGCTTTCAACAACACGGTAGGGGCTTTCATATTTGGGCAGTAGTTTTGAAGATATACCAAATGCAGTGGCATGAACTAAAAACCATTCGAGCGATCTAGGTAGGTACGTGGGCGCAGAAGTGGTGTTGTCACCGTGAATGCTCTTTTGCCGCTCTTGTTCATGCATTGTAAAGCTCTTGGCAAGCTTGCAACTTAAATTGATGCACTTGTGAACTGTATGCGCTTCATTTGGTAGTTTTGAAAGTTTTGATGGCATTTCGCCGCTCATTCAAATGTTGGTTCATCATAACATTGCCCCCAAGCTAATGAGTGAATGTGCATGTTCCCTTGGCCAATATTTGCTTTTATTTTCGCTAGGTAGCGTTTTACTGGCAAAATGTCTCATATCTCAACAGCTGCATGTGTAGGGCAGTAAATAAGCTCTCAGGTTGTACGCACAGGCCGTTCTAAGCATAAATTTGTCTCGTAGGATCTTCGACAGTGAATTGCAATAAGTATTCCTATTTAATAGATGCATGAAAATTTACACAATGTTGTGTAAGTATCAGGCGTGGCGATTCTTCAGTAATATGTTTTTAGGCAATAGCCACTACATCGGTGAGCGGAGATGCTGTTAGAAAATTCAGAAAAGGACACTTAATAAGCCTTGGCTCAGCAAGTTGATGTCAGATGCATGGGTCTCCAAGAGCGCAGAATTACAAGCAAAGCCATCACGCCAAAACCTTGAAATAGCTGCTAGGCTACCAAACTCTCGATATCTGCTAAAGCAGAGCTGTCATATGAACTATTGGTTGAAACCGAAGTAGTGAGCTGGTTTATTGTTTAATATAGTGAATGAATTTACAGGCAATGTAGTGTTGTTAAAGATTTACCATCTCTTCTGGTCAACTACTATGTTTCTATGGGAGACAATATGCTAAGTGGGCAAGTTCATGCCATTCCTTATTCGTCATGTACTGCACTCCAATCCTTATTTGCACTTTGCCACTCAAAGCAAGCAGCGCTTTGCATATTTTTCATGTTCAGTGTTGTCAACTGCTTCATTAGTATCAATAGCCACAAAAATTTACATGTTCATTCTTTACTAACAGGCATGTGTCTTGGCATCCACTACTTTTAATTACACTGGGTGTTCAAGTTACATTGGATATGGTACGAAAAGAGTTCTTTAAGTTGACAACCATGATGGCAGCTTGAAATTGTTTGAACACTCTCCTATGGTGTCTGTCCGTTGGCTAAAAATGCCTGCAGACTAATTTTTGCATAATTACACTGAATGTTTCATTGTGAATTTTAAACCTAAATAAATGTGCAGGAGTGAATGTCAGTGACATGTTGCTACCAAGAGCGCACGACTCAGTACACCATGAGCCGACACAAAATGGAAGAGAGTGCCGGGTTTGCATTTGAAGCCAGTCATTTTTTTCGTTTCTGGGCTAAACTGGAGTTGAAAGAAATGTTATATGTGAACAATATGGTAAATATAGTGGGCAACACTCTAACATACACCCTTGCAAAAATAACTGTTTCAATGCTAATAAAATTTTCCCATTTCATGTTGGTGCATAGTGCTCACATAATGTACACTGAGCAATATTTGAAAATTCCTCATCACTCCCTTTACCCATCTGTACCTGCAAAATCTATCTACAGGGTGCTCTTTGCAGAGACATTTATGCAGCTTTGTGTGGTTTGCAAGCTTTCAAGATTTGTAGGAAGTTCTTGTACGTAGTGTTTGTTACTATTACATATCAGTGTAGGAGCGAGGCATTTCGAAATGTCAAAATGTGTGATGCCTGTTCTAGAGAAGGCGATGGATATAGTAACTCAATACTAATGGGGTCCTTCAGTACATCTTTGATGAGCAATGGCTTACAGTTTAACCAGTTTAAAAAGGTTGCCACAGTGGCTACATTCTTGTATGAACAGGCGATTCTAGGTGGTGCATGTTGAAATTCATGGAATGACCTTTTTTTTTCACAGAAGGGCTGTTTGAAATGTGAAGCAACTACCCTAGCGCAGAATGCTTGTGCGATGCTTACATACAGTGAAGTGACAGAAAACTTGAGGGAAATTTGGTCAACTTTTCTCAATTACAAAGTATAATTAGTCATCACTTATATTTATGAGACTGTTTAAATACTGAATGAGAGACAATAAAGTTCGAAGAAAAAAAAAGTTCTTGCTGTTAGTAGGAGCCAAGCCCACAGCTCCCTCACAATGCGCAAGATTCTCTACTATATAGGCTATGGAGATACAGCTCGTCTCCGCTTTCAGTTTGAACTTGACATCCTTTGAAATGCATATTCCACATAGTACTATGCGATTTTGGACACAAGCAAGCGGCCAATAATGACAGCTTTTAACAAAAAGAAAGAAAAATGATACTTTGAAATATTGGTGTCTATACTTCGATCACATGTATCTGTACTTTTCATTTGCCGTACTTGCACGTTGATAATGGTTTTTTTTCTTAGTGGCCTCATTACTTCCATCACGTAACATTCTCTGTGCCATCCCGATCGACAACAGTACATAGCCTGCAACGCTCTGCACTAAATGTGTTGCGATTTATGGTTTTAAATTCTATTGTGATATGTATCTTCTTTCCTAAGTTCTTTCTTGAAATACTTGTAATACCTTGTTCTACTCTAGTGTTCATTCTACTATGCTCACAACTTTGAATTTTTTTTGCAATTTTCACAATTATTGAGCTTGTGTTAAGTGTTTTCTTGACTTTGGAGATAAGAATAATTAAAAACAAGGTACTGCTATGACTAAATGCCAAAATGCTTCAGCTCAGTGCCATATTGTCTTGTATTTTTTTGTTATTATAATCCTGATAGCATTTCTGCAGAAAACTATCCCAGTGCCATCGCAATGTTTTAAGGTACCATACAAGAACTGGCCAAAAATGTCTGCGACATTTGCGTTGTTGTTTTTTTCACTGTGTCCGCACAGTAAAAGTACTTTTTACGCCAACCAAACGTCGAGCTTCATGGCACATATTTGAAAGTCTATAGTACTGTCACCGCTTTGTTGATGTGTTGCGACTGTTTTCGCATAGGGTCATCAATAGTTTCAATGCACAAGTTCTACAAAAAAAGCTTTTCCTTGCAGAGGCTACATTGGCTGACAGAAAAACAGTACACATCTCAGTCGCACGAAGTACTAACACCATTTGTAAACATGAGCTTGTATTTTCAAATACTCTGCTATATAAGGACACGTCATCATATTCTGGGTGCTAGAAGACCCGCCACCCATGGTGGCTGTTGACGTGGCAATGGTTTCAACGGTAATGGCCACTTACAGACAGTGCCGATGTATGAGAAGTTTTGTGGACCCGAGGCTGGTAATTTTAGAAGTGCATGCAGGCTGTGCAAGTGTTCACAACTTTCACAGCTTATTTCTCAGTGTAAGCTCCGGATATCAGTAACACGCATGTTGCTCAAGCGGCTAATACTTTAAGGTATGTTAACTCTTACTGGGAACAAAAAGAAAACTTGTTTTTGACAGTAGAAAGGAGCAATTTTGTTGGCTGCATTGAAAACTGCAAAACGGCTATACTAAAGCTAAATGAAAATGAAGTTGTATCACCATGCATAAGATTTTCCGTTACGAATGTTATGTGACAGTAACCAAACGTTTTGTGATAGTGCTTTTTTGGGAGTCTGGGACTGTTTTAAATCTTGAATGCAAATAAAATACTTCTTTCATATCAATGTATTTGATTGTGGCTGAGGGTAAATGGCAGCTGTGAACTTCAAAATTTTTTTCTTGAAGAGGTTGAACTGGTACATGCACAACGAAAAATTAGCATGGAAAAATAAATCAAACGACAAATGGAGCATAGCACTCAAGTTCGGACACTGCTCAGATGGGCTAGGGTTCATTTGACACGCTTCCTTTAATGTCAGTCATGAACTGTAAAGGCTTTTCCTTTTTCTGTGTGTGTAAAAAGTCATCTAAAGGAGACGAGCAATCTATAAAACATGGTTGTGCACAGTGATAGAAATAAGCAGTATTGTTCCTTTCTCTTTCACACTCTTCCTTAGAAGCAGAGCAACGTGCAGAGCCATATTTAATATATACTGATATTCTTTAAATGTCCAATTTAAAATATTTATATTCTTTTTATTTCTTCATGTACTGAAAGTTTATCTTCAATTTTGTCTGCATTAAGGCTTAAAGATTTAAAATATACAACTGTGGAAACGAAGCTGTAAACCTGATGTATGAATAAAAAAAAGTGCTTTCTATAACACTTCCTCAGTATGCAATAGAAAATTTGCCCAAGGCAGCATTTAGAGACCACCATATTTCATTAAAATCATACTAGATCTACCTCTAACAGCATCACTTGATGTTTTTAAGATGTATCTACAAAATAGGAAGTAAAGGAGCTTTTTGCAAAAACTCTTCACCGAGTTTATAAATGCCGCTTGTAATGCAGAGGCCATGTGACCTAGCCATATAGTTACAATGATAAAATGGCAATATTTCCACAAAAGAGGCTACGCTGCAGTCGCTATGCTCCGTTGAACTCTCTCAGTTTGCAGTTTTGCACAGGGCGTCATCTGTTGAAATGAACTCAATTTGATCCAATTTCATAGAGTTTGTATGTCTCGCACTACTCTTGGGTGGCTAAGTAACATAAAACATCACTGATATGGTCCTGTACTAAATTATTTCACAAATTGTGTCTTTTATGGCCAAGTTAAACAGATGTTACTTGAATGGGATGTCATAAAATTTGTCTGTATTCGTTTAACCGTATCAACCTTTTTCACGGGATGCGATGACTACTGGTGGACACATATTTTACAAGTGGCATGTGTAGTTTGTAAAAGACATTCAGAACTGTTTGATTTCGTAGGATCTGTGGATGGAGACTCATTAATTTTGCGGCAAAAAAAATGGGGGGCGTTTTATCCGAGTATGTACATACAGATTCACGATTTCACAGCCAGAAAAAGTCAAGGCAACAATGCGAGATTCAAATTCAATCAACATTAACCGACAAACGCCAACAATGTCGAGCTGACTGAAGGCACAACTGTTTCAGGCAAGTGTGCTTCCAGTAGGTTCACGACTTCATCACATTGCACCAGCGGCAACAAAGGCACTCTGTACAGCTGTCGGAACCACGTGACAAAGCGATCACAAATGATGATCTACTGGCAAGAGCCCGGCTTCCTCAATCACAGCATGAGCTCGAGAAAAAAGCTACTAGTTGCAAACAGTGGGGCGAGCGACACATCTGTCAGGTACATACATGGCAAGCGTATATTTTTACAATTCAGTGCACATAACCAGAGCTATGAGCACAATCTCATTCTTGCATCACTTTATCTGTTCTAGAAGGCATTTCACTGTAGTCGACCGTTTTCACTTGTGGGGGAGGTAGTTGTCGATTATTTAAAAGGGGCGTGAAACTACGCAGAAGAAAACTCACGTGGTTTTCTCGAAACGAAAACGTCCCATCCGAAGGAACATTTGTTCTGGTCTCAGAAATAAACCAAGCACTAATACCCTTTCCGAAGAAGCTGTTCAATCAAATGAATCGAAGGGTTAGCAGATGCTGCATGTTCCTTTAGAGATGGCACCTCCCAATTCCCCCACAAACATGCCTACCATCTCCCCGAAGATTCCTGCATGTCTCATTTGAAATAACAAATGCTATTTGTACCACCTCTAAACTTTGATGTTTTGGCTTAGCATAAAAAAATGATAACAATAATTGCTGGGGTTTCATGTCCCAAAACCACAATATAAATATGATGGACGACGTAGTGGAGGGCTCTGCAAATTTTGACCGTCTGGTGTTCATTACTGTGCACTTAAGTCAAAGTACACGGACCTCTGGCGTTTCGCTAAATAAAATATGTTTCAATATGAAAGAATGCTCACACTTCTGTCAACTACCTTACGAACTAAAGAAACCATAAACACTTTTGAACAATTATATAAAGGGCACTGATTTCATCTATTGAACACAATTGAACACTTTGACACCTCTGGTACTATTAGAACCTAATAATGTTAATCAGCACAAAACATACTGTGACAGTTTAAAATTTCACACCAATATTAGCTTGTCAGGAATTCATTGTCACAACAAACATTGCATGTGTACTCTTGTGTCGTACAAGTTTTTTTTTTTTTTCGCAATAACAAAGTCTGACTGTGGTACACCAACAATTTTGTATATGACAAAAAAACATAACAGTGTTTTAGGAAACAGTGAACAAAACAGCACAAAGTGATACTACTTTGGCACATTTGGCACATCTCAAGTACTATAATAGAGAATTCAAAACAATTGAGCGTAAATGGACAGCTTCATTATAACACTAAAGAGACTGGTTGCAGCACACAAGGCAGTAAGTAGCCAAGCAAAAATAAGGCAACAATGTGATCTCCGGTTGACAGCATGAACACAGCTTATGATCGAAATTACGAGCATTAATTCTCTTGAGCAAAGACAGTGCAGTATTAGTTAACAATACCTAGTATCGAAGACAAAGCTTTCATTTCCATGATACTACGCAGCTTGTAATCGCAGAGGCCACAGTCGATAGCCTTGGCTCTATGCTGAGTGATGGCTTGATTGATTGACATATGGGGTTCAACATCCCAAAACCACCATATGATTATGAGAGACGCCGTAGTGAAGGGCTCCGGAAGTTTATACCACCTGGGATTCCTTAACGTGCACCCAAATCTGAGCACACAGGCCTACAATATTTCCGCCTCTATCGGAAATGGAGCCGCCGCAGCCGGGATTCGATCCCGCGACCTGCAGGTCAGCAGCCGAGTACCTTAGCCACTAGACCACCGCGGCAGGGCCTGAGTGATGGCATGTGGTGCAGCAACGGAGTTTTCCGCCGCGATGCGCTGCAGATAACGCAAACTTTTGCCGCCGACACTACATGTCTTTACTCGACATTTTTGCTGCTTACAAGTTTCCAGAACCCAAGTCAAACTCTTTAGTGAGAGACTTGAACCTGCAATTTACTTGGCGTTACATGAAGTTTTTGCAAGTTATTTGCACATGTGACGCAGCCTTTCTTTTTGTCTTGCAAGCAGTCAATGCTACAGGGGTGGTAAGGACATGGGATGTACACACTGTTAACGAGAACATGTTGCTGCAAAAAATGCATCAAAAATACATTCTACTATCTGAAAATAGAGCTAATATACCAACATCTATACCTGACTTTTGCTACAGCTGTGAACAGTGGCAGATAAAAAAAAACACGACGGGAGATCATTGCATCATGTGAAGCTCGATATTGGGACTTGTTGCAAGAACGTAACAACCATCAAGTGCCACGCAACCGAAACAGGCCGAAGCAGTCATGCAGCGTTTGACTGCCCTCAACAAGTATTAATAAAAAAAAAGTTGCGTGCCATAACATTTCAAAGACATCACCGTTCGAAACGCAGCACTATGTAAACATTGGTTGGCAATAACATATTCTGATAACAAATGAACATTCCTTTTCCGTTCTACCTAGAAAATGTACAAGAAGAAAAGAACTGTTGATTAGGGCATATACATATCACTAGCAATCTTTACATTACAGGCATAGCATAAACTGCCTATCACATAAGTTACAACATTTCGCCAAGCAACAGTTCATGCACGAGCAAGGGAATATGCATGAGGGGAACGAAAACCACTATGATGAATTGAGAACATTCGTGCACATTCCTGGCAGCCCCATGGAACGCATCTCATTTGCAACTTGGCTGCATCATCGATGCATTCCCGTGTTCATGCTTCAAGGCAAAGTCTGTTTCAAATCCCAGCCATGATAATCTTTCTAAATGTTACTGCATAAAAGAGGCATATCAAAGGAGCAATGTTATGTCATGCTGTGTAGGAGAACCTTAACATAGGTGCAAACACACATAAAATGAAGGACGAAGTGGTGTCTGATAACTTGCAGTCTCTTTGTTATAACCAATTGATTGATTGATATGTGGGGTTTAACGTCCCAAAACCACCATATGATTATGAGAGATGCCGTAGTGGAGGGCTCCGGAAATTTTGACCGCCTGGGATTCTTTAATGTGCACCCAAATCTGAGCACACAGGCCTACAACATTTCCGCCTCCATCAAAAATGCAGCCGCCGCAGCCGGGATTCGATCCCGCGACCTGCGGGTTTTATTACAACCAAAGTTCAGGTCTATTTGTATATACAGTTTCTGGACTACCTGAGGTGCGTCCTACTATTACCAAGACTGACTCACCTACTTCAGCCCTACATTACTTGACAAGCAAAAGGCGGGCTTAAAGTTCCCAGCGCTATCTGCTCACGATTTCACAAGGCTTAGGCAGTGCCGTCTTGGCCACAGTTGATTGCATGTCATTAAGCAGGCCACTACAGCCTAGGACTAGTGATTCAACCTGCGGAGTTCTTGTAGTTCTTTCCTTTAGCAGTGGTGCCAGAAAGAGCAGACGTGCACTGAAATCTGTGTTGGCATATCAGTGCATCGTAGTCACAGTCCTAGCACAAAAATGCACAAAGAGCTATTTTACCCATCACACCTCTCGCCCAATGAACACCGGCGTGCAGCACTTGCACACAAAATGCCACCCATGCAGTTGCCACGGAAGTGTGCACAAACAGATAATGAAGGTTAATAAGTTAAGATTTAAAACATATATTACAGGAAAAACGGTGTCACGTTTGAGTGCTTGCATAAATTAAAAGCCATGCTACAAGCAGTGATTTCACTCACTAGGAACTATCATGGTAAGAACGCTCGGCGCTTCTCAAGGAGAAGATGAAAAACACTTCTTAAGTGAGACCATAGGCGAGTATGGCAATGCTGCCTAAGAGCATCAAAGAATTGCAGAAGTGAGAAATCAGAAGTGAGAAGCCGTCAACATTCAGCTAAAGGTCGGAGGTTTGACTCCCAGCCGCAACAAGATGACAGCAACAAAATGCATGCGACAATCTCACCTCTACAAATGTTCAATCCAAAAACAGGCACCGTTCCCAAAAGCAATAAAAGTGGAACATAAAACGAGGATTTTAAATAAAGTTGGCATAAATATTAAAAATGAAATGAGGGAAATGACACCAGCGAGAAAAAAAAAAGAATGCAACGCCCTTATGCAAATAAAAACACGATATAACCCCCCTTCGGTACTCACCGAAACTGACTCGGCAACACAGAAACGATTCAAGAATCTGTTCTTCTCGTCAACTACACAGTGATAGTTGCACATGAGTTCGTCAGCTTGAAAAGCTAACGTATTAAGTAGCAATGCCGGTGAACAAAATCAGGCTTACTAGCGCGGCAAAAGTGAAGACCTTTACGCTAGTGCATTCGCCTTACAATGCACTAGAGGGGACAGCAGCAGCATGGAATTGTGCTAAAATAGTTAACTCATTCGAGCAAAACCATTAGAGAGTTAATTGGTAGCTATACATTTCAGCATTACAGTTTTGACAGAATTTCAGGAGAAAAAAAAAAGCCAGCGAACGAAAGTATCAGTAACAACATCAAGTGATGCTGCTCACAACTAGTTTGCACTGGGTTCTAAGGCTCAGTGCTATTGCTGGATGGTGAACAGCTTTTCAAAAGAACAAGAATTTCGTGATACGATACAATTTTTCACCAGAGAAATGTTGCGCAATAAGACAACGCTGCAGCGCATTATCATTTCACTACAGAACTATATGCCGCCGCTGGCACGGACGTTCGAATTTGCATCTGAATCTTCTGGCAAAACGGTAACGCTAAGACGTACACGCAGCATTACCAGGAGCATTACACTGCACAGCAAGAGTGTTGCACCTACCTCAACAAGATCATCTGCAGGCCACACTAAACACCTGCACATACCACAGTTTTGCTACATAACAAGTGATGTCCTTTGAGAACAAGCACGACGGTTGTTTTCAGACCTGAGTCCAATGTTCGGATCCTGATAAGTCATTCGGGCCCTGTGAAAGAGGGCGATCAGAAAAGTCCGGAGCCTTGGATACTTTCGGCTGCGGTGCAGGCCGTTTCTTGGACATTCGCAGCATGGCAATGTTGTTTGGTTTCTTAGGAATGTCAGGTTTCTTTAAGCCAGTCCCAGCTGTAAACAATATTACACAACAATAGGTCAACGGAAAAAAAATGGGTACAAGGCTTTCCCGAAGAGACAAGTAGTGAAGACAAGCACAGTGTGTTAAAGATACAGGATGGCTGCTACCATTTTTTGCAACGACCACATGTCAGAAACGTTGCCATAACCTGCCTGACATTATATTTGCCACTGCTATAGAAGATAACACAGATGCGAGTAACAAGTATGGCTAGCACATTCTGCTTGCATGCGTAAATAATACACATGTTACGAATGCTCTTAAAACCTATTGATTTCCTCAATTAATGCTGCTTTATACAGTGCGACACATATAAATTCCAGGTGTTTTGTGCATCTGTAACCAAGCATTTTAAAAATTCTTTGTCTTGAGTAACCCCAATAGCAAATCTTTTGTTAAGCTGAGTTTGGTAAAGATAACATACGTTTATATACACAGATTTCAACTATTAGTTCACATTAGTTCAGGGTGTATTTTGTAATAGATGAAAGTTTGGTACAGATAACATACCTTTATGTACACAGATTTCAACGATTAGTTCAGATTAGTTCAGGGTATATTTTCTAATAGATGAAAGTTTGCTACAGATAACATACCTTTATATACACAGATTTCAACGATTAGTTCAGATTATTTCAGAGTGTATTTTGTAATAGATGAACCATACAGTGTCTTCAGGGACACCAATGAAGTTGTTTCCAAAACATTACCCTTAGCATAGCCATTTTAATAACAGATTTCTGCTTATTTTCATTTTTTATGTTCTTGCTTTTTCATGTCAACTTTGCCATGCTAAAAGAATAGCTGGGAATTTCTCGAAGAACAAGGTATCGTGAAAGGTCCAATGCGAAAAGCCAATCAGTACCCCAACTATAAGTCATAGCAAAAGGGACAAAAATAATTAATGATTCTAGTTATGTGAAACTATTAAATTAACACTATGTTGTAAGGACCAGTGACACAGAAAAGCACAAAACTAAACGGTGCTTACCTGTAGGCTGCACGGGGGGCGTCTTTTTCTTTGCTTCTTCCGATGTTCCAGAGTTCCCCTATAGAAAGCAAATAATAATATTAATAGTAATAAAAACATTAGAACTTGCAATCATGGGACAGCATATTTCATTACTGAAAAAGAACAATCAATTACAAATCAAAAAGAAAGCAAAAATGCAATTATTTGAACAAATTAACAATAATTCTGTTCCTTTTGCTGGAAGTCTTTTTAGAAACAGCACAAGATGCTTATTCAGAGTTTATGCATACGATAGTGAAATTTCATTTTGAATAGAGTGTGATGCTGCCTATTGCAACTTTTCTTAAGGTTATGTAGCATTCACAAATTTTCTTTAAATTAAAAGTGACTGAAGATTATACATCTAGAATTGAGAAAAACAAGCCTGCAAAAGTACACTTTGTTCAGGAAATTCGCGACGATGCTCAATAGGACAACTGTGACGAAATTTCGATGTTGACCAAGCAGCTGTCAGTGCAAAGTGATTTAACTAAAGCGAGTGCTTCTCATTATGCTATAGTGTATTGTGACATTATACACCCAATCATCATCATAACAAAATTGCATCTTACATGAAAATAAGTTCGTTATATCTAGAAGCTCGTTATAAAAATTGCAAGACTACGTTATTTTTCATTACCTTCGTTATAAAAATATTTCATTATATCCAGGTTCATTATATCGAGGTTTGAGTGTATATGTTAGCTTATGATAATATCTAATATTCCAATAAAAAAGAAATAAAGGAAAAAATACCTCACTTTAATGGCCTTTCTACTTTAGGAGCACATATGAAAGAACACTGGAGTTTGCTCAATGTGTCCGTAAAAGGTTGAAACTGGGCTTGCAATGATTGGCATTTGTGTCGTTTCAGTGTGAGTGACCTCAAGAACCAGACCGACCATGACAAGGCATTACTGAGGCTTGGAAACAGTCAATAAAAAATAGCCGACTGACTTGCATTGCTTACCTTGTAGAAAGGATTCAGCCTTCCAAAGGCCTTGCTTAGTGTGCCCGAGATAAAACTACTGCCCTCACTGCCGCTTGAGCTTCCTTCCTTGGACTGGCCTAAAGAACACTGGAGTTTGCTCAATGTGTCCGTAAAAGGTTGAAACTGGGCTTGCAATGATTGGCATTTGTGTCGTTTCAGTGTGAGTGACCTCAAGAACCAGACCGACCATGACAAGGCATTACTGAGGCTTGGAAACAGTCAATAAAAAATAGCCGACTGACTTGCATTGCTTACCTTGTAGAAAGGATTCAGCCTTCCAAAGGCCTTGCTTAGTGTGCCCGAGATAAAACTACTGCCCTCACTGCCGCTTGAGCTTCCTTCCTTGGACTGGCCTACATCCAGAGTTAGGAGCAACAGTCAGACACTTCTAGAAAACTCGAAGGATGACAAACGTAGCAGTGACAAATGATCTGTAATCTAACCTAGCCTGACAAAAGCCTGACTTGCCCTAACCAATACATTCCCTCTTTCCTCCCACAAGCGCTGATAAAAAGACAACACATTTCAGATGCTTTAGTCGTGGCGGGAATAGAGGACAGCAGGAATTATAATAGCATCAGCCCACAAGTTGAAAACTTAAGCACAACATTCGTGGGAGGAACACCACCTTGTTTACAAATAAGTGTAAGAGAAAGGGGAACAGCAGGTTTCGTATAACAACTGCGCGGTACACATCAAACATCATCATAGCACACATTCCAAGTTTCGTTCAATATAAACACAGAATAGCATTAGTAGCTGCATTACCAAATGTGCTCATGTGGCCTAGTAACAGGAAGTGGATTTGTCAAGCATAAGAAAAAAACTTGAAGGTATTGTGATAAAGAGATACATAAAGCAAGGTCTTGCTCATGTAGAATGCCACTTGTTCAGCCTCTACAGGTGCTGAAATCGGTGCACGCTGTAGTGTACATGTATGCCGAAGGAGTACAGCCACTAACGTGGGTCCAGCCTTAGCGAGCCGCAGGGCACGCGTTAACCGTCGCCGTGGCGAGAACACGGTCGTGCTTAAGGTCGCAACACTTTATTGTCTGCCACAACACCAAGAACGCAGTACAAAGCCCGTTGCAAAAGGGGTGGCGGAAAAGCAGATGGGCTTATCCACACCCCGGGCGAGATGCACTACACGGGGTGTCGCGAGCAGGGCTCCGTGGGCAAAGGTGATTCAAGGGGACACCGTGACAAAAGGGCCTAGTCGCTCTAGCGAGGGTAAAACTCTGCTCGCGCCGACTTCCGAGAGGTACGGGTTGGCATAGTATGACCACGCACTAGAACACCGCACTGCTATTCAGCCGAGAGTTTAAAGGGGGGCCGACAAAGAGTAAACATTCGACGCGAGCACAAGGCGGCGTTGACGAAGTCTGAACGAGCCCCAAACAAAGGGAGCCGACGGACAGAAAAGAAATGTGTGCTTAGCCCATGTCATCCCGGAGAGGTTCTCTCTCACTCCCGACGCGCGCACACGAATCGTCTTGAGAGACTCCATGCACGGCGCCGCAGTCGACATCCGCTACCAGGTGAAAGGGGTTAAACGTCACTCCCCACTCCCCCAGCGTGGCAAACTCCGGAGGAGGGGAGTCATGTCAGGTCATGAGAACACAGAAAGAGGTGGCAAAGCCTGCGCAAAGGCAGTGGGCTAGCCTGAATTTTCACAACGCTTACTTTTGCTTCCGGAAGCTGCTCCTTTTTTGCTCGGTTTCACGTGAACTTGCGCAACGTCATCAGGAGTGCCTTGTTTCTCCAGCTGAAAAATGCCAAGAGTGGCACATTTTTTAAACAACTACATTACCAGGTTTCAACATCATGGTGGGTAGCTTTTCATAGTGGCACGTGCAAACAGGTCCAATATGATGCTAACTACCTTAATAATAATTTCCAAGGTTTTCCATGCCAAAACACAATAGAATTTTAGGGCACGCCATAGTGGAGGGCTCTAGAAATTTCAACAACCCGCAGTTCTTCAAAGGGCTCCCAAACTAGCTTCGATAGTTTTACAATATTTCGAATAAATACACGCATTGAGTTCAGAATGCCATCACGATCAACAATAACATACATGGCAGCACTACGAGTCGTGAGCACCCAGTAAGTTTCAAGATGTCCCTCTCCTCTCCCGGCCTTTTGGTAGTCTTCAGACCCTCAGCATTCACCGTGACGTGAACAATGCTGGCTGCTCACGCCATCCACAAACAGAACCTGCTTGTAATGAAGGTACGTCCGCTCGTCAATATTTCTCCTCTCACGATGAGGCGCAGCACTCAGCCAGGAGGAGAGACAAGTCGACGAACAGAGCACAGCAAAAGAGAGGAATGAGCAACAGCTTTTTTTGTGTGATAGATTGCGTACAACTTCGCTATTACGGCACTGTTACGAAAAATTCTCACGGCTAAGAGTTCGCTGTAGGCTCATGCGCACCTGCAACACTACAAGTAAATTTTGACTCCTGAGTGGTTTAGGGTCCCTTTAAAGTGTACCTAAATCTATGTACACAGGCCTCTAGCGTTTCGCATCCAATGAAATGCAGCCGCTGTGGCTAAAATATAGACAGCTACCTTAGTGAAAGCGCTGGCTTCTCTTTAGGACAGTAATTGATTGCTTGATTGATCGACGTCCAAAAGCAACACATACATGTCTAGAATACAGCTTTTGAAGCCGTCAGGTGAAGAACCACTCACACATCGCTAAGAATGCAATACCCGGTTCATATATAAAAATTTCAGTTTGGTTCCTGCATTTGAGACTTTATGCACTGAAAAATTTATTTACGAGGGATGATTAACGAGTAGAGGTTCCTACTTGCAGACAAGACTGTCGTTCTTACATTATGCTTTCTATTTAGAGTCATAACAGTATCTTTATGACATTAAGAAAAAAAAGTGAATGTGATATACACTTACTTTGCTGCCAACACCATCTGACGAATCTGGAAAAAAGGGGTACAGGAACCGTGTAGGTGAAATTGCAGCACTTTGCCGGGCTAACAACTCAGTCTTAATTTGCCAACATTTTCCAGGTTTCCTCCAACTATTTAAACCAATGCATTTTGAATTAAATATAACCACAAACACACAGACATGCTTCCTGCTAAGCTACAGAAGCTTTCCGAAAAGGTAGCGAAAGGCGAGGGTATTAAAGCAAACTTCTAGCTTGGCTAGTTGGTGGATGTGTTATGTAGGAGATGATGTGCAAAGAACGAACAAACTGAGAAAAAGAAGACAGAAAAAGAGCAAGTTTTATGTCCACATTTTTTTTTGCTGTGTTTGTCTGTTCTTTACACAAGATATTCTACATAACAGGTTATCAAGGCTATGTAACTTTCATCAGTGTTCCAATTGAGCTATTTCTCAATTGTATGTATTATAAATGCAACACACTAATTGAATCCTGGAGTGAGTTACAGCTCTAAGAAAATGAAAATTTTTTACATTCCTTGTCATTTTGACCAGTTGTTTTAGCTTTTGCCACTGTACATGACAAATGCCAGAGGAAGTTTGCCTTTTGACTGGATTAGCAATTTCACACAAAGTAGACACTTTTTGTGTGTAGCCATTTCAGTGGATACATTTCCTAAATCATCAGTTTTTTTTTTATTATTTACAACTTTTGCAACATTTCTACAGGAATTTTCTTAAGTGCTTGAGAGTTCTTACAACAAGTTCAGTATTCAAGGAAGCAAGTACCAGAGCAAATAGACACCCATCACCCAAAAAAGAAAAGTCACATACACACAAGCACCGGGTGCCTGTTTGCAAAGCTACTTTTTCCCTCTATCATGAACCAACTCGCCCAAAATGTATGACGAAGTTTAGTGAGGGCTATTTCATTTTTATATACTGCCAGCCAAACAAGTATAAGTGCATAAAACTAACCAGCAGAATCCGGCAGCGGCGGACGCCGACACCGCGGGGGGGCAGACGGTCCCAATGGTCCGAGAAGCGCACTTTCCGAGACCACAGTTTTGCTCTTTTGAAGTCCGGACTTCTTCGGTTTCACTACAACCGCGTACTGCGCTTGAATTTCCGCCAGCCTCTGTTGCTCCTGTTGCTGGTTGGTCAGCGAACCACGAAGTGCTTCGTAAATACTGGCGTCCGAGAACGAGTGTTGTAGCGGCATCTTGCCAACGGGCATAGAGCTGGCCGGTTTCGAGACTTCAACGGGCTCCGGCTGAGGAACCCTGATCTGTGCACGGTACTCTGAGTGATGCTTTACGAGGCGCGTCCCTTGCTGCCTCGTTGCACCCTGCGCGTCTGCTACGGCAGAGGGGCAGGCATACACGTTTTCGTAGTCTGGACTTCTGATGGCCGACACACCTTGGCGTGGGTGGTACACGGGAGCAAAGGGTACTGAGCCAAAAGTTGGCACGGACGTCGCCAAGTGGGCCATCGGATCGCAGGAAGATGGCAGTCGGTGCAGTGGTCTAGATATCATATGCGGTGTTGTTCTTGGCTGTGGTGGCACTTGGTAAATGCTCTCAAATGGTTTTTTTGGGGATCCAGCGGTCACATTGCTAGCACGCCCAGATTCATACTTGGTGCCAAAGCCGTAAGTGCGTGGTGGCTTTGGAGGTGGGTTGCTGGCCAAATAATGGGCCCTGCCACTATTGCTGATAAAGCCCGGTTGCACTGGATATATGGTCTCGTACGGTGGCAGAGGGCGCTTCACGTCGGTCTCTGTTCTGCCCTGCTGATGCTGCTCGGCATGGGAACCTGAAACATTTTTATTTTTCGTCACGTGTGCAGGTCCTGATTGCATTTGTCTGGGCTGGACAGCTAGAAAGCCCTTCCATCTGGCATCCTTTTCACAAGGTGCGTCGGTCTCCGTAGCATCACTAGATTCTGCAAACAGGGTGTCGTACTCTGTGCCCGATCGTTCGTCATGTGTCGTGTAAATGTCGGAGGTGTCCATCTCCGACGAAGATGCGGCTAACGGATCTTGCCTCACATTTTGGCGAGGCAACTCCTTCTGGTTTGCGTGCGTACGAAACGCGAATGGAAGGGTTGCTGACTTTTCCTTGTTAGCAGAGGTGGCATCGTCCGCAGGGGTGCTGCTCTCACAGCCGTCTCTTCGTGTGCCAGCCGGAGAGTCCCCTTCAATCTTGAGAGGCCGACTAGCGATTGAACTCTTGCCCATCTTCACCTCATTGCTGTTCACATCTTTCTTCACAAATGTCTTCCCATCCCATACCTGTTCGTACTTGGACACGGAGCCGGAAGCGATGCGGTCATTGAATGACTTCCTCGAAGTGAGATCAATAATGGCTCCCCGAGGATGTTGCCTTATCACATTTTCGATCCGATTCATATTCTCTTTTGCTTCCAAGTTTACGTTCATATAACGGCCATCAGACAAACGAGACATGAGTTCATTCCTGGCCAAGACCATGTCTGAAACATTCACGTAAGTGTTGTTCAAAGCTGATATGGGTACGACGCGAGATTGTGGCTTCGTCAGTTTTGTCTTTGGCGGAAGCCGGGGAGGTGCATCTTCCTTCCGCGGCAGGAAATCGTAAATGCTGCTTTCTCGTGGTTCACACTTCTGGGGCTGCACACTGTCACCACCGCAAGCCAAGGCAGGAAGTGTATGAGATTTTCTCGATACGTCGACTGTGTAAAAAGGAATAGGGGCATACAGGGTCTGCACCGTTCGTTTTTTTGTAGGTAGCTGCGGCGGAGGATCGCACTTCTGACCCAGTTTGGACGAAACACTACTGGAGATCGAGTTTCTTGATGTTTCTGAGAGAGGCTTTGAGCCTGGTGCGCTGTTGCCACCATGCGAATTGAGGCCTGCAAGGTTGGAGCTGCTCAAAGACTTGTAGAGAACGTTCTTCTCCCATATGTCACCACTGTCACCATACCAACTCGCTGCAAGGCACTGTGCTTTAGCGGCCGCTTCGCTCGACGAGCTCACCATCTGCATGGGTGTACTCGTGACCTTCGTTGTTGTAGCAGTCTCAGGCACACACTGTTCAACTTGGCTTGTTTGGTTCTCCTTCTTCGAAGCAGTGCCCGAACTCGCTCCCACTTGCTTCTGGCTTTTCTCTTGGTCTCGGAACTCCTTCGCCTTTCGAGCAGATGGACCAAGGCTCTTGCGCTTTAACAACAACGGCTTGAACTTCGACACGGATGGTGTTTCGACGGCGTCAGGAACTTGCGCCATCGATGGTCTTCGCGGCGCGACTCTCTGGCTGTAGCTCCTGAACACAGGCCGCCTTCTGTTTGCCTCTCCACCACTGACGTCGTCAGAGTCGGACTTTTCGAAGAGAGCTTTGAGCCTTGCTATGCTGGGACGGCGGATAACAGTTGCCTTTCCAACGATCTTTCCTCCGCTGTCCGCTGCTTCCGGCTTGCCAGGTGGCTCCTCCAGGCAGATGTTCGTTGCGGAGAGGCTTCGAACCTGGCTAAGAGTTGCAGCTTTGCTTTGTTCTTCGTTTGTTTTCTTTTTACCGAGGCTCTTTTTTACTTGCACGGGGTCGTCTTTGCAGGACTGGCTATCTTCGTCATCTGTAATAACCGAACTACGTGAACCTCCCCTTGCGTCGGAGGATGATAATGCGGATGACGATGTCGCCGCAGAGTTGGGCTCGGGACTCCACGACATGGAGCGATTGGCCCGAGCCTGCCTCTGCGAAGCATCGTCGGCACCAGTTGACTCGGGTACAGGTTCTTGCGACGGTGCTGCCTTCGACTCTTCACTGCCTACAGCCACTTCTTTTTCTTTATCGCACTTTTCATCTGTAAAGGCAACAAACAATTAAATTAGGTAGGTCACAGCTAATCGGATCACACTAAATCTTCAAATACAAGCACAAGAACAGGCACAAATTTCTAATTTTACTGATGTGCCAAGCCACGCCATTTTACACGACAGTCTCGACATACAGGAAGAAAGAACTTGCCGTTTTCCGCATTTTCCTTTTCCCTGCTCCTGTTTTCCAGACCGAGGTCGTCAAGGTTTTCGTAGATCTTTTCGTTGCTCTGAATGTTTTCGCCAGACCCCAGAAGTGGTTCCCCGTCCTCGTCAAGGTTTTCGTAAGTGTGACTGTCTATTATCCTGAGCTGTTGCTCGAAGAGAGCAGCTACTACACGATGAACCAGCACATACTGCTCCTAGAATATACACAAAAGAAGTGACACAATTTGAGCACTTGCCTGTCTGGGCAACACTTGTTCAACTACAAAATCTATTTTAGAAATTCACTCTGGAAAGCTTATCAAGAACAAGATTACGACACTTGTCAGTTAGTGCAACCTTTACTGCCATGTGCACTTTGAAGAATGCTTTAAAAATAATGAATATAAGAAATGTGCAACCAACAAAGACTGATTAAGGTAGGATACACAGTGTCAACTTTCAACAAATTGTCGAGCAACTTGCAACAGGTTGCTGAAAGTCAGTGTTGTGAGTGTTGTTATTATCAGTCCTTGTCTGTTGCACTGTTCCCGCATTTTTTATGCGCTACCAGCATGCCCAAGCTCCCACCCTTCATAAAAATAGAGAGCGCTGTTTGCAAGTGCCACAGTACAAGTCTCACAGCAATATCATCACATTGTGATCTAAATAAACTAAGCATTTAGGTGTAAAAAACAATAACCTTTTTTCCCTGCAACGCTTCAGTTACAGCTGCCACGACTATGTTATTTGCATGCTGGCAAGGCTGTGTAGCACTTCTATTTAACAGGAAAAACAAAGTTTAACACGTGTGCAGCTATCGAAATAAACTTCACAAAACATTTTGTCGCTACATTTCACACCAAAGGCATGAGAACTTTAAAAAAAAAATTTGCAGACATCAACAGCTGCTACATACCTTTGTCTGTACCATAGCAATCCTCTGCAATCTCATCTCCCGGATTATCTGGTACAAGCTGAAAGAATCGCTCAACTTCTGAAATGGAATGAAAAAAAAAAAAAAAAGGATTTGCACAACTGGTCAACAAGCTCTTAAGGTTTCAAGACTAACTCAATTAGCACCTCAACCTGAAAAAAAAAAAGGATTTCTTTCAATTACCCATATTGACACGAGCATGTAATGGGTTTCTGGCTGTTGCGTGGCTAGTGTAATCATTACTTGTGCGTGTCGAAGGATTTGGTTGGCAGAAAGATGATCCCGAACTCGCGCTTCTCCATCGAAGCTGTTCCGCTGTTTGCTACACTGTTACTTGCACTGATTTTAATACCGTGACAAACTGTGGAGCGGCTGGGTACAATCCCAATTCGCTAGTTTTAACTCAAGCCGCTTCTAGCTTCTGCCACCATTTCAACAATTCCGGGGTAAAACCTGGCACTTCGCCTCAGCCTCCGCTTGCTAGGACTACCTCCTTAATTTGGTCCCTTGAGCTCGGCAAGAATGACCACCACAACGGCAACGACAAGAGAGCAACGTAGACCAACTCGCATCCACCCCAAGCGTCGTCTACACAACACGCACCCCGAAGCCGTTTCATGGTGATGTATTAGAGGACGTAGATGACTGGCTAGACCACTTCAATCGGGTCGCAGCCGCCAACAAATCGAACGAGAACAAGAAGCTTCGCTACGTCTATTTCGCGCTTGAAGACTATGCTCACATGTGGTATGAGAACCATGAGCCGTCTATCACCAACTGGAAAGAATTTCAGCGACAGCTATGTTAGGCATTCAGAAATCCCCCCAAAAAAAGGCCGAGTAGGCTCCGTAGAGCCGGGTTCAGAAACCCACTACATGCTCGTGTCAATATGATTGAAAGGTCATGGTAAGATATGGGGAAATCGCATCCGTACGCCTACTGCATTAATTAGGCTCTATTATTACCAATATCTGCAATTGTACGCCACTACTTCGTCACATCCAATTGTGGTTGCAGCACTTGGGTGGGGTGTTAATCGCGTAAAAGTGACGAGACATTCTTTAACATACGGTTCAGCAGCATGGCGAAAAATGAGAGACGAAGCGCCTGTGCCTCACTGCTAGATATAAAGTATTGCGTAACACATGGAAGATGCTGAATTTAGAAACAAGCAACTCACCCCAACTCTCATTAGGCCCCACACGTAGTCAATGGCACAAATCGTTCCCGTCCTTCCGCATCCAGCACTGTGTAAATAGCACAAAGGAAAGAATAAGCGACATTAAAAATAAACACATTCGAGGCAGCTCCGTGAGGGCACGGATGACATCCACACCACTAGTCATTCAGCATTGTAGTTGGAGCAAACGCAAGGCTTTCACTGTTCTTTTTGTCAACTTTTTTTGTCACAATTATATTGTAATTTCTAATAATACATACCTTATGCTTTTCTTGGCATTGTTGTCTGTTAGTTCTCATTATTGTGTCTAACAAAGAAATACGAGCCATTAGATTTTTCCCTTCGTTCCTTCGTTGTTAGGGCACAGGCATTCTGGTATGTGATGGAGCCACACAATAAGATCATTTTTTCACATGGGCTTTTTAAGTGCTAGTCACATGACCACCGAAGCAGGAACAGCAAAATGATATCACAGTTTGCCAGAAGTTATCAGCAACCTGACAGTACTACTCAACATGATACGCTGCTGGAGAAGAAAGAAGAAGGCCTTTATTTTGCAGTGATTACATGTAGGCTGATGACGACTACAGTGACGACACATCGCTCAGTTAGACATTAAAAAAAGACATTTTACCCTTTAAGAATCAATGAAGTACACATCCTTTGTGAAAATCTTCAAAATGGTAAATGACGTACATTTACATCATCGCTTGTATGTTTAAAAATCATGCCTTTTTTGATCATTTCTCTAGCTTGGCATTTCCTGCCACATTATAGAAACACATGGAATTTTTCTCTAGTGCCGATGTTTCTCAGTGTTTTTTTTTATGCTTTGCTACAGCGGTGCGCTCATCTGGTCACAAGCAGGCTTGCAGCGGCTGGTTTAGATATCGTGGATTTCGTCCATCGGTTGGTTTCCACTTTTTGCGCCCATAGAAGTGATGATTGTCTGGCTTATAGCCTCTCAAAAGGTGACCGCTTTGCACTGTATAATTCATTGCTCCTTGGTGCGCGATTACACCTGCTTCCGTGTAAGAACTGACACAAATGATGCCGCCGTGACTACATTTTCCGTTTTGGGGGCTCACAGAAACCAACTACATCTCATTGGCGATAAGATGTAGGATATAGGTTTCTCGCTAATTTTTGCTTTTCGAATGCGTGTACAACCATCCAGTTTTCAGTACAAGGGAGTCTAGCGACAATTCCTGCGAATTGACACTTGATTGCCTATTAAGAATAATTGGATTTCATTGTACATCAGTCATCATACGAGGAATTACTAACGAGGCAAGACGGATGTTTATAAATGTGAGACATTTCGAACGTTAAGGGAAGACGATACTGGTTGGACCAAAGGAGACTTTTCTCTCGCCCAGTTTCATTTGACGACGATTTGTGAACTTGGTTTTGATGTCTGTGAATTACGTTTATTGCCCCGCATCAGTTTTTAACACTCATATAAGCTTTCCCATATTACTGCTATTCATGAGTAAACCATGCATACGTAACAACACAATCTTTTTGTCACTTTACATTCACCCCCAAAAAAAGTTCCAACAACTTTTTTCTGAAATAGATTCACCTAAACAATTTAAATCAGAAATAAAAAAAATCAACCTTGAGGGCTGCATTTGGCAAAAATTTAGAGTCTCAAAAGGTTAAAGCTGCCCCAAGTTTGTGCACAGCAATAAATAATATGACAAAAACAGCTGGTAAGAAAATATTGGTAAAAACTGCTAAATGCACGCTATAAGCCCTTTTAAGCGGAAATTATGACGGACTGTTTCTAAGTGTGTCAAATTTATGCAGGCTTATTTTCAGGCACTCGATATTCTACAGCAAGAAAGAGAATATGGTAATGAGTAGTATATGATAACTAGGGTATTTATATATTCTGAAGTCAGTGATGTTGTATTTTTGTATGAAAATAATCAAACCTTAGCTTCATTATCTATAAGCAACTTCTTAATGGTTATGTTCATTCCGAGAAAATAAAAATCATAGTTTTGGGATTACTCTCCTAACACAGCACGTCAAGAATTATAGAGTGTGGTGCAGTATCTTTATCAAATTGATCCTCTGTAGCAACATGTGTCGCGACTAAGTTAGGTTATATTGAAAATACCTGGGGTTTCAGGCTCAAAACCATATGGTAATGAAGCACACAACAGTGGAGGCCCTCGAGGGCTCCGGAAATTTCGACCATCTGGTATTAACATGCACCGACATCGTGCAGCACATGGGCCCATTGCTTTTCACCTCTATTAAAATGTGACCGCCACGGCAAAGATTGACCCCGTGAATTTCGGGTCAGCAACCGAGCTCCGTAACCACTGTGCTACATCAGCAATGGAGTTAAATGAACGCTGGTTGTCCACTCGGAAAGTGTGTGCAAACACGCACATCGTGTTTCAAGCCCTTAGAAGTAAAACACCATGTATGACAAACCTATTTACTGTAGTCTCTCAGTAAATGGAAATCTGTTAAACGGAACTACTGCCTCTGCAAAGCTTGTTTTCGGGCTTGTATCTTGCACCCATGTTCACCTCCCAGTAAACAACTCCTGTTAAATGAAACATTTTTCCAGTCCCTTCAGGTTCCCTTTACTTACTGTAGTTTATGTGTACAATTCACCACTGGAGTGTGTGTAAATACAATAGATTCCTGCTAAATGGAACCTGAAAAGGCAAAGAAAATGTTTCATTTACGTCGTAAATGTAGCGCAAAAAAGACACGGACAAGAAAGTGTACACCACAAGTGCTTACTCACAACTGAAAGCTTTAATGCTTTAGCCAAAAATGTATAACACTTACATTTGGTGCTCGACTGAATGCTGCGCATGCGCGTCGTGGGCGAAACAGAAGGCAATAGATGAATCCAAGAACGTACCTCCTGCATCCCCCTCCCCACCAGTCTACCCCTTTCCATGAGTAGTGCAACTTCCTTGTCCGATAGGGCCAAAGAAGGATTGCTGACAACACACACGAGCACTCGAATTATTATGGTAAACCTCGGCAAGCTCTTGCGTTGTGCGATCGTGATGTCTAAACAAGATCTCTGTGGTGGAGAATTTCGTTTCGCACTGGCACTCGGCGCGGCCAGGTGCGTGGCCAGGTGCGTTAGGGGTCTGCCCTGCTAGGAAGACTGACGTTCTCTAAGACGTATGTTTGAACACCGGCTTGTCTGGCCCTTGTTGACACGACTACACGACAGAGGGATGCAAGAGACGACGCTAGCCCTATACGACACAAATCTAACCTTGTGGTTAATGGAGCAACCGCGGGTCCCGACATTATCGAGCGTTTAACAGGAGTTTCATCTACTGAGAGTTGACTCTATATATTGCATAAATACATTGCGAGCATGGTGAAATGAAATTTTTGAACACTAGCGCCAGGTTATCCCACGCACCTGCAGTGGACTAGCACAGGCAGGGCTTCCGAGGCCTGGCAGTCTCGCACCAGCCGCACCAGGTCCACGATGGGGCCCACAGAGGTCGGCACACCGTGGTCTGGCCACGACCAGTAGTGGAACTGGCACAGCGTGCGCTCCTCGGTGCCGCAGCGGGCGCGCAGCGTGCGGAGCAAAAAGTCCGGGCACACCTGCTTCCATTTGACCTGTGTCACGGGCGAAAAAGTGTATGCTGCGTTCAAGCAATGACTGACTAGGCGTAGTGAGCGATTGATAAGACTGGTTGATCAAGGCTATTAGAAGCACTTTTCTATATACTTATGACAATATGCGAGTTTAATGACTGTCGTGGTGCTGGAACTAAAGGCTAAGACACCTGACCTGGTTCCTAGTGCCTTAGTAACACAAGAACAGCCATGCAATGTACACGTTGTCCAAGCACGAACAAGTGCCTCAGTCGGGCTTACCGAAGTTTTCATAGGTGGACCTAGTATCTCCATCAAAGGAGCGTGTTAGTTGCACAAGTGTTAGTGACGTCTCATCCCGTGGCAGTTGTCATCCAGAAATACGGTAGAAATTACCGGCAGTGTCCAATTCATTCCGGTACTGTGCATGAATACGGTAGCGTCCGATGCTCTACCGAATGAGCTACCATGGCGGCCATCCCCCCGTCCACTTTATGGGGCATATGTGTGCATTTAAATGTGAGAGCATGCATGAGTGCCCCCAGTAGCCATGACGACAACCATGATCCCTGAAATTCTAGATAAATTACTACAAAGGGCACACAGTAATCTGCACACAACACCACATCAAACACCACATTGTACAGCACAAACAATCAATTACACTTTATTGCAACATGCAAAACTATGAGCTAGTAAATTACAATGTACACGTCAAAATCAGGAGTGTACAATGTAGGTAAAACCACAAACAATTTTGAAAAGTACAGTTTCGCAACTCGCAAGCACAAATAGATGTCATAATTATTCAGTAAACTTCGAACAGGCATTTTGAGAAGTGAGAACCACAATTTCTTGTCTTTATTGAGACAAAATAATTGCACCTAAAAGATTTTTTTTTTTCTTACACAGGCAGAATGGCAGTGAGTGACAGAATGGTTGATGGAGTAACTTACTGAATTATTTATCAAGTCTGCCATCTGAAAGCAAAAACACAAGGCTGTGGAAGACAGCAATTTTAATTACAACAATTAAGCTGTAATTAAAATCTATTTATCCTGAAGTCATTGATGCCCACTTTTGGCATACGCAGAATGAAATCTCAGGCTAAAGATACAGTGCAAGTGCATTTTTTCTTACGTTTATTTTGATCAAAGAAAAATTATACTTTTCACATAGCTCGCAGCAAGCAGCATTTGAAACAACTTAAAGATGGTCATGCCTTCAGAACAGTGATTATATACGACAGTACACTACAAAATAAAGTTAAATCGAGACAAATTTATTTTGTTAGAGGTTCAATTCATTCAAAGCTCATTATATCCTGCTCTTTCTTAGTGCCTGGTTGATAGAAATAGCAAAAACAAATGGTGTACACAAATGGGTACATGAAGTGTCAAAGGGTTAAATTATTCAAGACTCTTTAGGATGAATGTATTTCAGTTTTTTTTTTCTGGGTGGAGGTGGGTCATTTTTTTTTATGACATACTTAGGAATCACAACCAAACATTCAATCTGTGGTTAACAGCTTAACGACAAATGAGAGAAAAACAGGAAATACATTAGAAAAATCTTTCCTGCTAAGAAAACCACACTGCACTTAAAGCTGTCACTCCCACAGCAAAAGTGAAGCAATGCACCTCTTGTTTGTCTTTTGTGCAGTGCAGATATAGCCTTTACGATTGAAGTTGACCATAATTTTTTGTTGCTAATGTTTAGGGCTAGAGACGTACCATAGTTAGTCATGACAGGTCCACCTTTTTGCAGGGCACATGTACATCTCCAAATCTCCAAACAAATAGCTAATATGCCAAAGAATTGATGATAGACAACAAGATAAGATAAAATGAGAGCAACAGCAAAAAAATAAAAATAAATAAATAAAAAAGGAACTCTGATCGAAATGAAGTCAGAGGGTCGTTTTTGTTCAGGCATCACAAAGTACTTGGTGTCAATAGATACAAACTGAGCAGATCTAAAACCTTCGCCTCAGCCAAGATTTCAGAAGAAGCTCTGAGGATCTTACACTAGCAGATACAATGAGATGCGATGCAACCGTGCGATTTGGCTGTCTTCGCTACTTACGAGTTCAACTGTGATATTGCCGTACTGTTTCTTCTCTCCTTCGTTAGGCCAGTATCGTTCACATTTATACTGAAATAAAAAGACATGTCATAGGTAAATACAGAAAGCTGGCCAGACATAGAAATATTTAAAAGAAGCCACAGAAAGTTTGCAAAAAGACTTCAAAACCTCTCGGTATTTATTTACACCAACTTCAAATAAGGCCTTTGAAATGGCTCTGTTACTTCGGAAGGAAAGGGGCGAGGTACAAATACAAAGAGTGGGTTACCATAGCGCAAAATTAAAATAACACACATATAGTGAGGGGCTGACTTCGAAACACAGCTGAACTCACTTTACAAGAGACCTGCACCAGAAAGCAATTATTGTCTTTTATACGAGATGCCTCTTATAAGCAGAATACCACGTATGCATTTTCTCATCAACATATTTCAATGTAGGCACATTAGTGTCTCTCATAAAGGGGTTCGGCTGTATAACTGTTTAAGCAACATTTCAGTCAAACCCCTTCATAAGAGATACTGATGTAAGAGACAAGCTGGTATAAGGGACACTAATGTGCCTGCACTGAAATAGGTGTTGATAAAGAAAAATTTACTTGGCACACTGCTTTTAAAAGGCATCGCATACAATAAGGCAAGATTGCTCCCTGGTGCAAGCCTCTCATAAAGAAGTTCAGCTGTACATGCTAACCAATCAAAAATCCACGATTGCACCACTCTGCTGCAAGGTGGGATGGCGTTTGCTACACAATATTTTCACATGGCGACAAATCAGCATCAATTCATAGAGGGAATTACCATCCTGTGCCACAGCTGGTCTAAACCTGAAATGGGCGGAACTAGCTCCTCGCCAATTAGGAGGCAAACGAAGTTCAATGTACCCGATGAGAGTCACTAATGGGGGATCACATTAGTACTGTTCAACAATGCATGCTCTACTGATGAACCGAGACAATGACAATAAGAAGAAGGTTGTACAAGGCTTTTTATGTGTGGGAAAACACGTGCGCCCACGTTTCTTTCCTATGACTAGAGCTACGGGAAGGGGACGTTAACGATTAACGTCCCCTTCCCGTAGGTCAAGTCATCCCTTCTTGGCTCCTCGTTGGGGAGAGGGTCTCTCTTGTGCCGGCCACCAGATGGAGAAAAACCTCCAGAAACCCCCTGTGAGCCAAGGACATTGACGACCAAAGGGGTAATCATCTACCATTTATTATCCTCCTAGAGCGGACAGTCCCTCTACGCGACATTTACGCATTTCTGCTAACGTAGCAATAAAGTGTTGTTTAGTTGACCTAGCCTGTTGCCTTATTCGCCCGTACCCATGTAGCTGCGATGACTCGAGCTACAAGAAGGGGATGTCAATCGTGCACAATACGACTTTGTGCGGCTGAAACATCAGCTAGGCTACTGCCTCAGCCATACGTAGGGCGGATCCCCTTCATAGTACGTTCATTGTGTACAACCAACTCGCTCAAGCTTTCATGTTATTATGCATGCTTTAATATGGAAATGGTGCACGCACCTTTCCGGATTCCTTTTCATTGCAGGCCATGATAATTACTTGCACTTCACACTCCCAGATCATCCTCCAAAAGTCCATGACTGTCGTTGGCAGAGGCCCCTGCGATGCTATGTAGGCTCTGGAACCACTTGCGCCCTGTTTTTCGTAGCAAAAGCAAATTTTCACCCTTCTTGTATCATGTCACATTAGAAAATAATGACAAGCACTCCTGAATTTGTGTGTAAAATGAATCAAACAATGCGGAACATAAGCCATAGAGCACACTGCAGACCTAAACAAACTTTAATGTGCTTTATTTACTCATGGTTTACATAAAGTAAACGGCACACAAATCAATCAAGCAATGATAAAGAAAAGAATGACTGATATACCGCAAAATTTGCTATGACAGTTCTGCATCGCTTTGTTATGAGTCATTCGCCTTTATCAACGTGCATTCTAGCAAGTTTAACGTCGTGAACGCTGGTTTTTTATGATTCCCATACCTTGATTAAGTTGGCATTAATGTAGTCCGAACCAGGCACTCCGGGATACTCGGATAAAATAACCCTTGAGAGATCATCTGTAATGTGAAGGCAACAAGCATCAATACCTTACACTGACAATCAGTGAGGTTTCACATACTGAGCGAGAGATACAACAAACCATAAAGATATACATTGAAAGCAAGCCCACTATGCAGCTTTTAAAAACAAACAGGCAACCTCTTCTACGCCAAGGAAACTTGCAGTACAAATGGCAATAGAATATAAGCGTGGAGACAGCTTTGCGACTACTATAGTACAACTCTCTTTTGAGAAGATCATCAATTGGAAACTCATCACAAGGCACATAATTTAAGTTTACAATTAATATGCATAAGCATGGAATATATTCTGAGTTGTCAAGACTATTGTCATGCTTTGCTGATTCAGAAATCATCAGCACCAGGGCCGTAACTAGAGGGGGGTTCCGACACCCACCGAAAATTTTTAATGCTTTAGCTTTTCGAGTGATATTAAAGTATTTCCACGACTTCACATCGACCACTAGTTGCCAAGTTAGCTTTCTACACAAAAACACAACCCGAAAAAATTTCCTGGGTATGGCCCTGATTAGCACTGCACATTTTAGAATGTGATGAAAGTTGCCAAACCTCAAGTAGACAGAAGCAATAAATTTTAAAAAATAATGTGCTATCGACACTTGAGACAAGCATGCTTCTCCAAATGCACATCCGATATCAGGTGTGACATCAAGTCGCATATATCGTATATGAGCGCACAATAGGCTGTGAGCACAGCATAAGCACACCGTAGTATCCTAAGGGGAGTCTTACGGAATCGATGAGTTTGTTGCTACACATGCAATTTTCATCTAAGCGAAATATATGTGACAGATGTGTGAGAACAAAACAAGCAAGAGAATTTGACATGCCGTGCTCTTGAACTTCTCTATTCATCATGCCGTTCAGCTGCTCCTAGACAGTAACTCTTTTTGCAACGCAGAGACGATTTCTCGCGCACATATATTCAGCGTTAGCTTGGTGTCACCATGTTGCTGAATAGAACAAATACTTCATAAAAACTTGTGATATGCCTACATGGTAGAATGTCTTTGTATCTGTTCTTCTTTCTGTTGACTTCCTTCTGACCTTCGGTACACGCATATTCTGGATCATGCTTGAGGCGTTCTGTAAGTTCTTTCAAACTCTGAAATAAAAGTGAAGAAAAGTTCAATCTGAGCTGTTTGTCAAATTATGGGAGGCAAGGACATCATCGTCTCCACAGCAAGGCGCAATAGCAGCTTATCACTTAATGTGCCATAGGATATGCGCAGTATATTAGGTATAAACGGCAAACTATTCGAGTAAAGTGGTATTCCTTGCAATCTGAAAGAGGTCATAAACTTCGTTATGTAGAATTAAAAAAAAAAGAAGGAGGAAGCAGCCACAGCACAGACAGCGGCATCACGAATGAAAGGCAGAGGAATTGGGCCATGGCGCTATTTTTGTATCAAACAAGTCAACGACCCGGTGTCCGGGCTTACTATTAAGCGTAAAACTATCCGCAAACATTATCAGTGCATATCTTATCCTTCAGAAAGCCTCATGCACTGCGCGGGACGCGAAAGAAACCGCAGCGCACGTACCTGAAACTCGGCTTCGAAGAGGTCGTCCCCAAGTTTCTTGCGGGCCTCCAAAGTTTCAAAGTGGTTCAGAAAGTTCTTCAGCACGACTTTTAGAGGCATGACGCAGTTAGGCTGACACGAATACATGTGAGCCGGATAGAGTGGGCTCCGAATCTACGCTCACAAAGTAAAGTTCCGATGAATGAGCGATACGCTACGAGTGAATACGGCCGCCCGTCGTGGACAAAGCCACGCGAACACCGCAGCAGGCTGGGGCCGACATCGGACGCACTCGGTGCACGATGCGTGAAAGAAATGGGTCACTGGTTTCTCGACGTACGACTTGATGAACGCCAAACGTCCGTAGTACACGCAACGTCCTTCAACGCATTGGGAAGCGCTAGGAGTGACAAATATTCTCGTCCGCAAAACACAAGTAGCGAAAGCACAACGCCAAGTTTTTACATTTTTTTAGCAGAAGGCCCCCGCTTGACAATGGCGATGCCGCTGCACTCAAGCGCGTCCCACATCCGGTTCTTTCATTCCGCGCACAGCGTGACGCCCTGACGTAGTACGCTGCATCCAAATAAATTGCATTGCGTTGAAACACATGTCGCTGCAATAAAACTCTAGAAATTGTATCTTACCTTCTAATAGGTTTGAAAAACTAAGTGGTATGTGATTGCGCTGCCTTCTTCTCAACGCCGCACCCCGCCAAAAGTTTTGCGCGAAACTAAAATTAGTCGACCTTAAGCCTCAAGTCAACCAACATTGGCCACTTGTTTGCTGTTCTTGTATTGTTTGCATTTATCGCCTTATCTGCTGGCGTTTGCGTGCGGACATTCGGTTCGCGACGGGAATTACAGGCTTGTCGAGTGTTGCTTCGGAGACTGCGATCGTTCAGGAAGCAGCGACATTATTGAGTGACCATGTGTTCGTTTTTGTGACTCACTCTGACCCGCGGGCTGGGGGCGTCGTCGCGTCGAAATATGTGAGCCGTCGCCACAGCCGCCTCTGCGCGCGTCTATCGGGGGTGACGATGAAAAATGCACTACTGGTCGTGGTAGCCGTTCTGGGCGCGCTGGGGGTACTGTTCATATCAATCTACCTCCTGCGGAGAGCGAGGAACATGGGCGCCGCGGACGGTGCGAAAAGCTTTCGCTACGTCAAGCTCAGCCAGAACGGCGAGCGAGTGACAGAGAGCCAGTGTCTGGTCGACGTATCAACCGACGAAGAGGACGACGAAGACGATGACGACGACGAGAGCTCTCCGGCTACCATCGACGTGGAGTCGCGCACGGCAGGTGTTGTGAGGATGAACGGACAGGCAGCCGGCTACAGGAAGTCGGCGCTAGCCGAAAACGAAACCGACGAAGAGCTGCTGCAGTGAACACGACCGACAATCAAGTCGCCTCACAAACATGCACACACTACGCTCATCGAGCGCTTTTTTTTTTCTTTTCACCTTCTTCGTGCTGGCTGGTTCCGCGCGCAAGTTTTATCGTGATCCCAACTCCCTCGAGCTTGTTTATTTCTTGGTGGTTACCGAGTACTCTTACTAATTTCGTGTTATTTATTTTGTGGGTGCGTTTCATTTGCGCGTTATTTATGTACGACTGTTCCCTGGACATGTGAAATTCACATATCCCAACGACGAGCTCGTTGAAGCCGTCCCCAACTGCGGTTGTCGAGTGCACGTAGTTTGATGCTGTGATTTGTGTTTACTAGTACGGTTGTTTTTTTTTCATCGACGTTTCTTCGTACATTTTGTTTTTATTTTCCTAGTTATTGTGCTACAGTTCAGTATATAGAGAGTTGCAGAGGTTCAGAAGCCGTATTTGTGCAATCATATCCTGTTCTATAAGTAAGTACTGTTACAAGTTTAAGGGGAGGTAACAACACAAGAGCGACGAGACGGACTATTGTAAGCACACAAATTGCCAATTTGGAGCGACTACGTTTACACGCTCGCTTTTATTGATCATTGTAAGTAAAGATGACTGAACATTGCAGGAGGCATGGCTCAGCACCCATTCACTCTGGTTTCACAGAACCCTAGCTAGCATGCAGCTGCAAAATTTTGCTGTAATCTGAATTTTCAGGGCTATTTCGGTACACCATCTTGCTTATGAATAATGATCGCTGCTACAGCGGAACATTTTAGGTGTGTTTGCCTTCCATGTTGCGTTAACCATATCTCCAGTTAATCGTCAGTTCTCACATTTAATCAGCCATAGCACTGAAACATCAGTGAAGTACAAATACATGATAATAGGGCGAGCTATCATAATCTGGGGGCAAATATTCTGGAAGGGGACAGAAGCCAAAAGTGTTGGTTGGCGCTATTCCATCTCATCAAGTAGAATACTGTAGAGGCCAACATTTTCTTGCATGCCAAATTGCAGTTTGACTGCCTGCCAAATGTCAGCATTGCTCCAATTGACTCTAGTTACCATTGTCAATGCAGATGTCCCAGTCGCAGCATTGACGCACAGCAATAAGTCGTATCCGTTTAGCATAACTCCTGTGCATGCCAAATACATCCCTGTGAAATTGCGGCAGATTTTGCAGTTGAAACCTTAATAGCAGTTTAAAAGAACATCTACTTCCACTTGCAAGCAGTTGCCACATTTTATGATGTAGTTTTACCGCTTACCGTGAAGTCGCCCGCTAGTCCAAGAGACGTTTGTGCTTAAACCACTTGAGCACGAGGTTCAAAAGAACACTTGATGCGAATGAATCCACTCGAACGAGCAATTTACACTTCCATAATGCCGAAGACACCATTCTCGCTGCAAGATGCGCAAAAAAAAAATGGGCGAAAAAAGAAATTCTTTCTAAAAACGTCACTCTTGATTTGAGGTTTATGCACCAACTCTCCGTGACTTCTCAGATTTCAAGGATGTATGCTATAGCCTATATATGTAACATTTAAATCAGTAAAAATTGTGCTGTCTAAGGGAGCCAGCGGCTTCACATGGCAAGTGTAGAAAGAATATTATTGAATATTGAGCCAGTGTAGGAAAAATACGGAAGAGTACATTCGAAATGTGTAGTGACGTCTTAGCGAGATGTCAGGGGAATGTCCCTGGTTGATGATTTCTCATCACTTTGAGTCTTCGCCTTCTCCCATCCTATTGCGATGCTACATTAACACTTGGGTGCTACAGCTCGAAACAAAATTTAGAAATGAGAAGACCTTCATTTTGTGTTCTAATGAACCCATGATTGTGAAATTTAACAATAGTTTTCAAATGATTTAGAAGCATAGACCGACTTGCATGTCCCTTTGAATGTTTTTTCCTTGGTATGTTGCGACGCTAGGGCAATTGGAAAATATGACTGCCCTGTTGGTGTATGGCACAGGTCCTTGTGTTCATACTTCTCGCTGGTAGTACAGATATTCGTGTTCCACTGTTGTAACTGTAAAATACGTTTGTGCAATTAAAAGTCGTGAACAGGTTTCAGGAGTTCCTTGTCTTGATAAGGGCCTGCAGTGCCTTCCTGTCCTTTTTCATGCACAGAGCGCGACAGATGCCAGCACAGCGTCTCGCAAGCAGTTTCAATAATCCATGACAGAATGACGTACAGTCACCTCGAGTGGCACAATAAACAAGCTCAATGTTGTGGTTGATGACATAAGAAAAACCATTATTCGATACATACTAAAATGTTGCAAGACATCCAGCATTACATTGTCCCCATTTCCCATGCTACCAAGATAAAACATTCAGTAGTATTTTTCACTCGAGGCAGATGGGTGCGCATCCAACTACAGGTTATCTACATAAGTGACATTTAAAAGAAGCGCCGATACATTTTTGTGGTTTTAGTCACGAAACAGTTTCTCCCTTTGGGCTCAGCTATCTGCCACACTCACATAAAAAAGGCACCTCGCTTTCCCACATTTTCTTAAACACTCTGGGCTTGCTACTTTTGTACTAAAGAAGTAATGTTAGGCATATTATGCAGGCATTGTTTGTGATGTGATAGCAAGAGGCACACAACCTTAAAGCAAGAGCCATGCAAGATTGAAGACTCTTGTAATGTGCCAGAAGTGCAACACTAAAAAAAATAGAGTAAAAAGGGTATTTTTTGTCCCACAACAATCGTCAATTTGCTAGTGCTTCCTTTCTTGAAATCTCGGGTGATGGCCACTTTCCAATCAAGAAAGCCATGCCACGCTGATAACACGCATGTTGTGGCATGGCAGTGCCAGGCACATGGTGATAGTGCAAGGAAAGGAATGCAAGATTGTGGAACAAAAAGATGCCCTTTTTACGCTCTGAAGGGTGCACCACGGACGGGCACAGCCTTGTACACATTCCGGGATCAAATGTTTATCCTTGCCATGCACAATTAGTTGAGGCTCGCACAAAAGTCACTAACAGGGATCTGCGCAAAAGCGTCAACCCATCATGTGCGTTGAGAGAAAATGTGCTGCTATAGAGTGCATGCAAAATTGCACCCGTTCTTTGAGTGAAATAATGCTTCTCACGCTTAAGAAGATTAGGTACTCAAAGGAAGTTTGAGAACTACAAGATATTATGCTGATGCTAACATTGCTTTAAATACAGCCTGGCAGAGCTTGTGCCTCTTCTGTACCAAAACTGTTTGGTAGAAGCATCTTATTCAGACGCTCCTACACTCCAAGGCTGCTTGTCATGTTTTCTGTGGTTTCGAAGGTTGATATAGATTGTGCCCCCTCCGAAAGCTTTCTGCAAATAATGTGGTGTAGAAATGCCTACAGGATCAGAGGCATTTGAATTTGTGAACCTCGCCTTCTTTTGCACTGCCTCTGGCATCGGCCAACCTTTGACTATGCAATCATGTCGTCGCAATGTTACGTTGTGCGACGTCGCACATCTCGGCGATCCGTGATGTCAGGGTGACGTCATCAAGTGGCTATTTTTTGCATCACTCGCTCGTTCACACTGCCGATGCAAGACGCCAGGCAATTTTCACGTTTGATGAGGCTTTGCAGTTGACATGCAGTGTTCATTGCAACATGATCATTGAGCAGAACAGGGGAGAAAAGGTACCAAGAGGGGTGCCAAGCTGGGCTGGTCAGCATAGCCAGAACACTGAATTGCCTCAAAATATTTGGCACCGTAAAGGGAACATCATCAACATCCAAAAAATGGTATGATGGCGAAGATGGAAGCTTGCGACGAAAAATCCGTAAACAGGGGTTGTGTCGAGCCGACATTTCGACAAACGGATTTGTCGAAATGACGGCTCGACACAAACCCCTGTTTATGATTTTTTCGTCGCGACATCAACATAGACGTTCAGCGTTTAAGTGTGTTACTGTTTGTTGCAGTTCAGCAAACTAATCAACCAGTTGGACCGACAAAAATCTTTTCAAGTGCAAACATACCGCATGATCTCTCACACGTGTTGCACTTTGAAAATCGTTAACTTCAGTCTGTGCGATGTAATAATATTGATCGAAGCTGCGAAGTGACTCCACATGTGCACGTATACAAAATAAGTGCTGACAGCAATGAGTCTCGTCGTGAGAAAGTGTGATATGCTGCTGTACTTCCAGTTTGAGGAGACCAGAAGAATGCACTGCAACTCATGATTGCAGGTGGATCATGCCCGCTAAAGGGCCTGTAACAGTGGTCACTATTAAAAAGAAGCAATACTTATAGCTGGTTTCGGTATCCCGTAAATGGTTTCCGTGACTGTGTTGCATACGTGAGAATGCAGTTATGGACACTACATATGTAGCACTAAAACTCTCTACTTGCGGTTCTACTTCATTCATTAACAGGGACAAAAACATACTGTGCATACTGAGTTTTATTACAACTCTTTATATTGCCACTGCATATTGCAACAAACAAACAATGCTAGACATATCTTTGAGTCTTTAAAAACGTGTCACCATCAATTATGGCAAAAGTAAAAGTGTGAAACGGGAAAAAAAAAAGCATTAACATCAACAAAGCTGATAAATTTGGCAAAATGGTGAATTCAGGAAATAACAAATGCAATGTGTCCACAGCACGAGTAAAAACAAGAATTTGCACACTTTCTCTGATCTGACAGAGACTGTCTGTAAAAACCGTTGTGGGCTTTAATTTGCAATCTACAGAACAACGTAAATGAGCTCAGACAAACTGAGAACATATATGGCACAACTGAGAGATAAAAAAAAAAAAAGAGGACTGGTTTAGACCGTTGACATATTGCAGTGGCACTATATCCATCACTTCTCTTTCTCGACGAAAAAAAAAATTAAAAATGTACATGTAGTCTTAAATACACTTAATTACAATTTGCTATCTACAATACCAAATATGTATATTATATATCGACACCAAAGAAACAATCGTCCCTTTGGAAGCTTCGGGGAGAAAGTAGGTGGCGGACCCTGACACACGGTGATTGGCACTGGGGCATTGAAGCTTGCAAGAAAACAGATTTTAAAAATTATAGAAAGTATAAACCATGCGGATGGGGAATGTTTTCCTCAGTCTTCATTTATGTATTTTTTTTTTTCTTCCTGGCAATAAAACTGACGGCAATGCCTTCCTGAGTGAAAATGTGCAAAAAAAAAAAAAAAAAAACATTACTTCGTGTCAAAGCAACAGAGCCTTGCAATGTCTTCAGATGAAGCAATTAGATAACAATGACGTGGGAAGCAATGGTACAACCTTGAACTCCAATATTTTTATGGGCTGATCGTTCCCCTCCCCCTTTCCGAAAAAAAAAATTCTTTAAAATCTTAAGACTCTTGAAAAAAGCTTTTGCAGAGAATTCACAGCCGCGCAAATTCACTAAGAAACGCACTTTATAGGTAACCTCTTTTAGTGGCTGTGAAATAACTGGTAAGAAAAGAAAAAGCAATCCAGCAGCTTTCTTTTAATTTCCTTCCTAACACACCGGCGGAGCAGTCGTCCTTCTATGCTGCCAAAACAAACGTTCGCGCGCTTCCTCGCTGCCCAAACGAAAACGCTCTCCCTGCGAGTGTGGGCCATCGATTTTTTAAATAAAACTATATATTCTCTGCACATTGACTAAGGCTAAAATGAAATCTCGCTGTTGTCGCGAGGACTATACAGCTATGTACAATGACGTATTTACACCTGACTGCGATGATTATGAAACACTGACCACGACGCTTGAGCCAACGCTCTTCGAAGGCTAATAGTGGTCTCCATCGACTTCCGAATGCACACGGAAAGTAGAGAAGCACCGGCAAGATTTGTACACACGCGCTATCAAGTTCAGTCGAACGAGGCGCATGGCAGGCGAAATTCTAAACCTAGAATTCGACCCATTCCAGAATTCGGTTAATGCCCTCACGTGCAATGCGAGCTGCTAAACAAATTGACAGCAAGTGACGTTCCGAAGAAAACAAAGGGGAATAAAAAAAAAAAAGGGCGGAAGGTTGAGCGCGGCCACGACGAGACTGCGACGCTTTTCTTTTAAAAAGATACAGGTACTTTGTGTTGTATGTAGTGGTATTTTGTCGATAACTATTCACAACCCACAGAGAATGCTTGCTTTTGCACCGGAAGAAACAAAACATGTCGAGAGTAGTCACTCTCCCGTGGCCACACGCACGTCCCTGCACTGATGGCAAGCTCGAACGATTGCTACAGCTTTTTCCGACTGTTAAGTAAGGGCCATTATAAAGCCGCAAACAATGTGTTCTACTCATTCTTTAGTTTTTCTTCCCGCAATAGTTCGTAAAAAAACAACATTTTTGTAGCTGCTGCAGGTATTTTTGTTAATCACGAAAAGCCGGAGCCTAAAATCTAGGTGCAGAAAGAAGCTAATGCCTTTGCCACAGAAACAGCCAATTGGTCAGTCTTGCACCATTATCGGTCTTCCTGCAGCAACGATTACAGCGCTTCTCCATTTCATTTGGCACCTTCCTATTTCGAAACCACTTCGAAACAAGATGCCCGACTTGCGCTATATACGCAAGACTCGTGGAAAGAAGCGGGACTGTAGTTTTAGTTTACCGCATGGGTCGCAGTGGCACTAATGCGTTCTTGCTGACGCCGTGCGAAGAGGCGGCTTCTACAGCACTTTTTTACACAAACTCGTGCACGGCGATCCTGCAGACTATTTTCCCGGCAGCCGGCAACGAAACGGAATTGTACGTGGCGGACTAACGTGAGGCACGAAATGTTAAAAACACGCTCGACACCAGCGACGTGACTATGTTACAAAGCGCTTGTAACCCTCTAGGAACGGTTGGGTTTAGGACGAGCAAATTCCACAGATATGTAATACAACCACAGAGACAACCATTCATACATGATGACTTGATTCTTACTTCCTTAAATTAAGAGAGGTGGTGGTGTTTTCGGTGCTCTGCTATGTACATTATGTAGCTAAAAATCTCTCCCCGAACATCATCCCCCCCCCCTCTGACGATCACATCTGGCACTACACTATGTACACAAACATGGAGAAAATATACATGTGCACGCATGAGAACACGACGACAGGTAACAGTTTTTTTCTTCTCTTCTAAAACATGGCACAGAATAGCACATCTCTCATAGCATGGAAACGACAGGCGCGAGCGCCGCATTTGTAACCCCCCCCCCACACACACATTTTTCGTCACTCGGGATTTTTTCGTAATATTACATCTTTGGCTGCTCTTCATGTGAGCGAAGTGCCGCCGCCACAGCCTTGCATCAACAGGGGAGTGTTTCCGTCTCGGTCACAAAATGACGTAGCTCGTACGGAGCAACCACAATTCGGAAAAGTTATATTATTGCCGAAGTAGGCGTGCCTTTATTTATAACCCAACCTCGCTGCCGCTACCCCTCAAACTATATGCACTTTTTGCAAAATGAGAGAAAGTCCACAAAATGATACATCACAGGGAAGAAAAATGGCCTGAACGCAGAAAAATGTTACACGAGTTTGAGCACACCTGCACCAAATTCAGCCACATCGGTAAAAAATATATATATATATATATATATATATATTAAGTCGTCTGCAACATACTCTTTCACTGCAGGCAAACAGTGTTTAATAGTTAACGATACCCGAAAAAGTGCCTCCATTAGTGCAATGAACAGGTTTCTCCACGCGTTCTCCCCCAAATGATGCAAGACTAGTATCCAGCACATTTCAAAAAAGAAATGCATTTCTACGGTTTTTGCACTCATGTTCAAGTTCGTGTGCAGGGAGTGAACACTTCAGGATAACGGTGGCCGGCCAAACCCCGTTTCTACAAATACTTAGCCACCGGGCAAAGCCAATCGTGTATGGCTCTTGGAGCGCATAGGAATCGGTATTCTAAACACCTCTTCCGTCAGCCATTCTGTCAAACCGCATTCATCCCATGTATGTGATCATTAACGTAGCCGATAAAAAGTTTCCTACTGAGAACCAACCCGACCACCTCTGTTTCTTCTACTTCAGCACAACGTGGCACAGGGAGCCAATGGTATTTCTTTGCCTGTTTCAAGGGCCAGTGCAGTCAATCGACTGCTTACCTCGGCCTAAGGGTTGGAGTTGAAGTAACATATAACAAAAGAAAGACACAAAATGACGAGCAGAGTGCTTATCTTCAACTAGAGGTCAGTCGAAAAATGGCACTTTTATAGGTCATTTTGCACCTTTCTTACGTGACTTGCCAATTTAGTGCTACCCCTCAAGATCACCACCAGCAGCCAAATCGCTTGGTCTGCTACTCTTTTTAACGCTTGTCATGCCATCCGTTCTTCAAAAAGTGGCATCACAAGTGGCACTGGCTCTGCAAGCCAAATGCGCTCACAAAACGGGCTGGCCACCGAAAGCTCAAGTGTTCACTTTGCCCCATATGCTAGAACGGAGCATTGCTCCGTTTGTGCTGGATACATTGAGGCGGCAAGCATCGCCGCTGCTGCTACACCACCGAAGCCATTGTGGCTGGTGCGTGACGAGCGGGGGACGACGGTTGCGGAGGCCTCTTGCTGCCGACGATGGCAAGGGTCGCTCGGCTGCGCCGCCTGCCTGGCGAAAGATGGACGTCTGTCACGACGGGCTGCTGTGTGGCAGCTGCGGCAGACGACACGTCCTGTTGACTGACGGAGGCTGGTGTGAGGCAGCACGACTGCTGGGAACCTGCCCCGCTGACTGTTGCTATGCTGCCTCCGTTGGGGACAACCTCTGCACAAAGGAACGATTTAAATGAGCGCATTAATTACAGACTTTAACATGAAACGCTGATCAGTTTATATTTACATTTGTTAAAAGGAAGCTAGAAAGACCAGTAAAATATATTCCGTTTAACAGGAGTTTCATTAACAGAGAACTGAACAGGGGTGCAAAATTCAAGTACAAATATAATAATATTAAAGGCAGTTGTTCCAATTAAGGAGCAGTTGTCTTTAAGAAAGTTCTATTTAGTGAAGGTCTACTGTATACGATTATTTTTTGAGGAGTCCAATTGCACTTTTTCTAATCGTGGCTTCGTTATTAGAAGAGCAAATGAAGACAAGTTTCATCCCCAAACTTTCTGCTAAAACTCTAATCCATGACATCACACAGTCATTTTTGTGTTTTACTTTCTCTTTACTTTGAACACATTGACTCAATGAAATTTCTCAGATCTTGCTACGTTGAATCTCTGGCTCTCCTGAAGCACAACATTACTAGTTTTCAGTGATAAAGTATTGTGCAAGCCACAGCATAAGCCACCAGAATTTCCATGTTCGAGTACCGACATGCCCAACACAGAGCACCACTAGGGTGCACTTTGAAGCCACAAGGACTTACAAAGATTATGAATACCCATGCCCTTGCTATATTTCTCATGCCAGCTTGACTACCATACTCTTAGCTACCACAATTGGCGGAACTTGAGCAATTTTTATGGGAAACTTTACAAGTTGACCAATTGTTTCAGGAACGTACCTCTGGGCTGCAGCCGACAGTGTAGGGATGCCGAACTCCAGCTCCGTACACTTCGAGGAAAAGTAGAAAAGCCAGAGTCCCGCTCGTCGCTGCTGCCGCCACGCCCACCACTAGCGCCGCTGCTTTCACTGCTCGCACTAGAACCGCGGCGTACTCGCACGTGCCGGCGTGCGAGGGGCACGGTGGCTGCCCGTGACGGCACCAGGTGGCTTTCCGAAAGGGACCGGGCCTGCCCAGTCGCGGACGCTGTTCGCGAGTGGACTGGCGAGGGAGAGCCGCCAGGAAGGCAGGGCCGTCCGGGTGCGATGAGATGCCTCGTCAAATGCCGTAACGTGGTCTGCTCCGACAGGGTGCCGGTTGCTGCCCCCGCTGACCGAGGCTGGAAACTTGTCAGTGTTGCCCGCACATGCAGAGGGCTCGGGTGACTGCTGCTGCTGCCGCTTCTGGAGCTTAGGCTGCCTTCTCCCCGACCTGTAGAGGAGAAAACCAGCCGCGAATGAGAGATTTTATCAACTTCCAGAGTATTTTGTACCTAAAATAGAACTCTAGTACTAGAATAGCGAGGAATAAACAGCGCGAAAACGGGACAAAGTGAGAATGACAACACAATTCATTCTTACTTCATCCCGTTTTTGCGCTGTTCCCCCCTTAGTATCACGTACCAGCTGGCCCTTGAAGACACCCGTCTACAAAAATCGAGTTACTGGGACTTTCTGGTGCACTTGCTTAACAAGCACTCTTAAGCTAACTGCACAAGCACTCGCGCATTTCGACCTCCACCGAAACGTGGCAGCTACATCCTTGACCAAACCTTACATCCACAGTTCGGCGACACAACAGCACAGCCACTGCACTACCACAGCAAACAATGGGCTGTAGCAACCATATTGCAATGGGAGTTGAAATGCACAAGGGCACGTGTTATTAGCTGAAAGTGGTATGACCCCTTTCAGCTGTTACAGTGGTATGACGGCAAGCTAAAGATAAAATGCTGGTCTCTGGAAAAGTTCGCAAGGGCCCATTCCAAGGTACAGTGGCTGTTTCAGTTGCATAACGGGTGTCAAGTCAAAATGCACCGGGCTTGATCTCTTGCTAATCTTACAGGGTAAGTCGAGCAACAGCACTAGCATATTCACAAAAGAGCGCTACAGAAATCATATGGCACGCTAGACCAGTTTTATTTTTTAACAAGCGTAGCAATAACCATAGAACATACAAATCACGCCCAATGAAATGTTGGCTTCTCCAACACAGTATGGTCGGGTGCTACTATGCAACGAAAGGATGTTGGATGAAAGACCAAGCAAAATGTTGAAACTGTAGTTTTTATGTCAGTTTATTCAATATCTGCCAACTCTGTTCTTCTTAAATATATATATTGCCATAAAGAATTGTAATAATAATTCTTGTCATCATGTACAGGAGGTCCCGTTTTAGTTTCAAGCTACGGGACCTCCTTACAAGTATATCAAAAAGTACACTCAAACCTCGATATAACGAACCTGGATATAACAAAATATCGGTTATAGCAAAGTAAATTAAAAATTGTCTTGCAATAGATATAGCGTTAGGAGTTACCTTCATAACAAGTTTTCAGACATAACGAACTTATTTTTTTTGTTTGATGCAACTTCATTATGATAAGGTCCGAGTGTAATTGTCACCATTTATCAACATGAATGCACTGATTCTGAAAGCACTGACCTCGTGCGAAGAAAGGCATTCTGCTTGCCCCCAGAATGAATGTCTGACTGCTCGTGTCCACCTGGGAGCCCAAGTCATCACAACTTTGGTGGCCACTCTCCTTGCTTGAATGGTCTGTGAAGACAAAACACAGAAACGACTGTAAAGGCACGCCTCACTTGACACGTATTTGGCACCACTGCAGGCAAGCTCTATGGCAGGAACCTCAGACATGCGGCCCGCAAACCTCTTGCATGCAACCCGTGGCCCACACATGACTGTCTTCGTCTTAAATTTTTTAAAAATTCTCTTAATAAGTATGATGGTGAGCTACACAGGCATGATTAGTCCAAAGCAGGGGTCCGACATGCGGCTCACAATGCAGTACACTCAAGCCTCAATATAGCAAACACGAAAATAAGCGATATTTTAGTTATAACGAAATAAATGAAAAATAGTCTTATAATCAATACAATGTTAGGAATAACTTCATCACGAAGTCTCGGATATAACAAGCTTATTTTCGAGTAAGATGCAACTTTGTTATAATGAGGTTTGAGTGTACTATGCAGCCCATGGCACAATACAGAACTCATCCCTTCCCTTGTCACTTCTTACATGAAGGCCCACATAACATTTTTGACTTCAATAAGGTTTTGCACTTGTAATCTTATGTTTTTAAATTGCAACCAGGTGACATGCATGCAAGAAATAAGGACGATTTCTATTCTAGTTTTATACAGTATTGCCAATGCGCAAACTTTCTAACTTGATCCTCTTTGCAGCCGCACCCACCCACCACCCCCCCTTTCCAGGGGGTTTGTTGTGTGTGCCCCATTGTGTCGGCTTCATGCAAGGTGGCCCTCCCCTGAAGGAGGTTGCCGAACCATAGTCTGAAGCACTGTTTTTGCAAGCCATCTGATGCAGTCGGCATGTGTTGAAACACGACCATGAAACAAAAGGTAATTAGAGTTGGCATCTAGTATTTAGATGATCGGTCTCGATATATTGTTGGAATCCTGGCACCAAATCTCCTTCATAAATGACCCGTATATTACAAATTGTACAGGCTTCCTATCACATCGTAATGTTTACTGACAATCTGTACAAGCTACACCCCACCCATTGCTCCTGCTTCCTTCCTTGTCCCAGCCCTTGAGGAACTGAATCGCATGACTGCAGCTCGCTGGCTTAGAGTTGTGCTTTGCAAGAACAAATAGTACAGTGCTCAAATTTTGCTCTTCCACAAAAACAGTTTTTTTAACAAAAAAAAAACGAGGGGGGAGAGAGTAAAGAGAGGGAAAAAAATTGGGAAACCCTTTTCGTCTTTAATCAAGAGTTGATTGCGATAGCAAAATGCGGCCCCTAGTGCGCCCTTCAACCGCTAAGTGCATACTTATTGATATGTTTTGTTGCACACACACAGTAGATTGTACCAGCACGCGCACATGGATGGTACATACAGATTTTTGAACTAAAGCAAGAATAGCATGGCCTCCATGATATACGCCGTGCGCTCGCCATAAAGAGTCTCACAATGCCTTACAGATGGCAGCACATTATCTAGCGTTTGCTGTTTGCTTGATCAATGCTTCTGGAAAGGCATATGCTTTCTGCTAAATGGGCATAGTTGTTCATTTTTAAGAGCTGTTTGAAAGTTCCTGTGTGTTTTTAGCGGCGATGGCTGCACTATCTTGGCTTTTTTCGACGTAGTTTCATGGCCTCCCAAATCCACCAACAAATTGCCGAATGAGCTCGTTTTCGTCGTTGCACCAGTCAAACGAAATGCGTTAAGTAGACTCCTTCCACTACATGGCATTTATGTAGTGTTTTTTCCCAAAGCAGCTGCAAGTAGCATAGTGTTTTTACGGTAGAACATCTGCTTGCCATGCATACGGCCCGGGTTGGATCCGCAATGGGACCGAAAATTTTATTCTTTATTTTATCTGCTTCTTTCTCGATTTTTCGCTCACACCCAACAGTGCCGATGCAGACGGCAGAATTTCTGCGACACAAGCTTTCTAACGTTATCACATTAATAGTAAGCTAGTGATAGTAGGGTAGTGGACAGTGCAAACCTTTGCAACTCGACAATGATGATTAATGCTGCGGGTCAAATTCCAAAAACCTTCATGCCACACGAGCATTGAGCACAAAGCAACACTCCCGACGCATATTTCGTTCCAAGAGATTGTTAAATGCATTTGCTGGAAGATTTCACGTGCACGAAACATTGTGTAGATAGTTGAACACTTAGCAGGGCATCAACGAAAGGCACTGACAAATAGAAGTGGTATACAGGCCAGGTGTAAACTTTCGACTTTATTTGGGAACGCCAAAGCAAGCCGACATGAATGCACGTCAGCGGATTGAGGGCCAACATTACATCTATATTGCGCTCTGCTTTGGTGTTTCCAAATAAAGCTGGAAGTTTGTGCCTGTCCTGTGCAACACTCTTTTTTGCCAGTGTATTTCGGCACTTACCTGCTAAGTGTTATAGAATGCACTAACTAGCCCAAGCTACAGCATTACTACAGGGTAGATAGTACCATATTTCAATGTATATTTCAAGAGTAATTTCAATTACTTGACATGTACTTCAACATGTAAGTTACTTTCTTTTCATCCCATTCCCTCACAATGAGGTTCAGCCTAAACCAGCACTTGTTGCATAGAATCGAGCACCCACCGGAACCCGAGTCGGCACACATGTCCCGCCTCACGTGGATGTCACCGGCGTCGGCCTCAGTCGTGAGGAACGGCTCCTGCTCCGGAGGCCTTCGCAGAGGCTCTATCAGAGGCGGGGCCTCGGGGAGTGCGCTGCAGGGCGGGCGTTGCCTCTTGCGTGTCTTGTAGATGATAAACACCCAGACCAGGGAAGTCCCCACGATGCAGACGACAACCACAATCACCACAATGCCCGTGGTCATGCCTTCTGCGTCAGGACCCAGGGGACCCAGGGAGGACTTGGCTGCGAGTTGCAAAAAAACGAAGTCATGTCAGTGAGGATCAGTTACAAAGAAAACAATTCATACTATGACTAAGCTATCACCAGCATCAATGGTACACTGAGCTGCTTTGCACGAACAATATTCTGACAGTGACTAAAATACTGAAATCAATGATATTTCTACTACTACTGAAGTTAACAAAAGAAGGCGAATGAACTGAGGGACCCTATTTTCATTAGACATGCCTGAGTGAAGGTACTAGATATCAGAAACTACTTATATCCCCTCCTATGCTTTTCCTGGCTTCATTATCTCTTAGCATGAAACTCATTATTTATTAGCATGAAACTGTCGATGGTATCTATAGCACTACAATTAGTTCTTGTACAACTGATACCCGGATAATGACTAAACAATCACTACTACACTATCTATGATACCATCGATGGTTTGGCACCACTACGAGATACCCACCTGGCACCACTTTGAGGAGTGAGAGCCCTCTCTCAATGCCCAGGGTGTTGGTCATCTCGCACGCATACTGGCCCGAATCTGACGTCCTGGTGTCGGTGATAACCAGAAGCTGTGCCTCGGCTACCAGGAAGTGGCGTTCGGTGGCAACCAGGGGCACCCCGTCCTTGAGCCAGGTGAGCCGGGGCTTGGGGCTGCCAGACGACAGACACTCCAGCACCGCCGTGTCGCCGACTGCCACCAGCTTGCTTCGCATGGGACGTACAAATGCCGGGGCCTCTGTGGACAGGCAAAAGAAAATTTGTCGGGTGGGGCGGCGCATGTGTACGGGGGGCAGACATTGATATGGGAGAACGGCCTTCACCATAGGCCCAAGTTGAGCAGTTTTCTTTGGGATTATCGATGAAATGATTGCCCCATGCTAACGATTGAAGTACAGTAGACTTCCTTTAAGACGAACTTGAAGAAACCACGATCATTTGTAGGGCTTATAAAAAGTGCCGCAAAAAACCAAAAGCTAGCATGCCAAGTATGCCCAAATATGTTGCTTGAAAGTACTGAATGGAGTATACCTACAATGGGAAGAAAAGAAACAAGAAAAGCATATATTTTGCTCAGCTTGACAAAAACTACGCTGTCAAGTAGAGTACTTACAATGATCTAACGAGCACTCGATTTTGCAAGTTCACAATAAATAAGCTCATGACTAAATTGCCACCACATTTTAACATTAAGATTTTAGCATGAACATATTTTGAAGACTACAAAAAGATAAAAAGGAAGAGACAAGCACAATTTCCCTTTAAAGAATGAAAAACTTAATTTTGTAGCTGTTCACGTACTTAGAGGCTCTTATTGTGGCTTTGTTATGACTTTTGTGCGTGCCTCAAGTGCATACCGCTAGCTTGACATAGCTAATATATGCCAACTTGATTATGAAAGTCCACAAGTTTTTCTTTGAGGTTAAGATATTTTGTTATTTTCAATCAGCAGTAACAACGTTCAGCTGAAGATGTCCATTTACACTACTCACAATCATAAACATTGGGCACACACATAAGACGCATCGCAATTTGCTTTCAATTTGCTTTGAGTCTTTGCGGAAAACAGCTAAAAGTTTAGCGCCTACCTTTTTTTACGCCTGTGTCGTCTTTCCTTCTTCTATATACCAAGCTAATACAAGGTAAGTCCATGGAAGACCAAGTCGCCCGAGCTACAACACTTCAGAAAGAAAGAGTATAGGGCACTCACCGAGCACTGTGAGAGTGGCGTTGGCACGAACCACACCAGCTCGGCTGCGGGCGGTGCAGGTGTAGACACCCGAGTCGGCTGCCTTGAGGCCCACCACGAAGAATACGACGTCAGTGGGCATGACATGCATCCGGCGCTCCCTGGCGGCTGGGAAGTCGTCGCCTCCGTCCTTCTGCCACGACACCGTGGGTTTCGGCTGGCCCGTGGCACCACACTCCAGACGTGCTGTGCCTCCAGCGCGCACCGTCAAGTTTGAAGGGGTTTTCACAAACGAGGGCAGCACTGCAATTTGGAAGAGTGAAGAGAAAAATAAGCGCTCCTTCATTCCTCACAATCTCGTCCGATGTTTTCTTGTCCTTTTCTATACATTTCCATGCCTACTGTCTGTAAGCACCTTAGGACGATACTTAGCATAGCACATCCCATTTTGTTTACTGTGCAACTTGTATACGAGTCTCCCCAACGTAGGAACGCAATGCAATCATTTCTTGACGATCTACAGTACTGACAGATAGAAACGTGAAATGTAAGGCTTAGTAACGCACACACCTTTCTTTACAGCGTCCACACTTCGGGTCATATCTACACAACTTTTACTCAAAAACTTACATCATAGCCAGCATTACCTTTAGCAGTCAGATTTGAAGCAACATGATACGATTGTCATGAGAAACTACTCAAAGCCATCGTAACAAAGAAAAAAAAAACCACAATGCAACATTTCAATATGCGAGTACTGCACATTGCCCGGCTACAGTAAACCACCCTTGCAGTTAAGGCAATGTCATGTTTAGTGACGCTGACTGTGTGAATAATATTAGGTTTTAGTGTTAGCCACAAGCGCACTTGCCTGTGGTGCTAACAGCGCACGAGTGATGAAACTATATAGATGAGAGAGAGAGAAAGAGAGAAAGGCGCTCACCGTAGACGCTGATGTTGGACTGATTGGAGTAGACGGATCCAAACTGGTTTCGGATCACGCACTGGTAACGGCCCTCGTCTTTATTCTGAATGTTTCTCAGGTGGAGGTAGCTCGTGAATACCACCACATCATTGGCCTCCATTTGCTCAGAGACCTCGGTTTCAACGTCGGACAGGAACTGTTTGGAAAGAACAATAAGAAAGTGTGTTGGCAAAAAGACACTTCACTTGGAATGTTTTGATGAAAATCTCAAACTTTCCAAGCACAACAGCAGACCCAACTGTATTAAGTGATTTTTACAATAAATACGGCTCTTTTCACCTGATTACATGCCAATCAAGTTCGCTTTTTTCTCATTCAAATGAAATCGTTCCGAAATTCTATGGTAATTCTGTAGGATCATGCATAGCGCGCCAAACATGTATTATTGTTTAAAACGGTCTGTGATAAGCTTAAACACAGGACGGTATTTTTTGCTGAAGTCTTCACCGTATTACTTCCTCAGATTCACTAGTCCCCAGTAAACTTGAACGGCATGATGATTGGAGCATGGGTGAAAACAGTTAACAGATGAAGTCGTCCAAATAGTGACTGGATTAGGAATAGGTCGTTGTAGGTAGCCGGCAGATCTAGCCTTGCATAATTTGCAGCCAAATGCCCTGCCCGGTTTCCTCTTTTTTTAATTGTATCTAATGTTCTTTTGCTTGGCATTTCCTTCTTATAAGAGCCTGCCTGTGCTTAGTTAAAAAACAAATGGTAACTGTACGCAAGGTAACTATGAATTGGCAGCAATTTAGAAGTGCCAAATAAATCTAAGAGAGGTAACAATCTGTTCCAATTACCTTCTGTTCTTTCCTCCACTGAAACTCCAGCCTGGAAGAACTCGCAGTAGCGGCCTTGCAGACAAGGGTGATGTTTTGACCTTTGAGTGCCACCTGGTTCTCAGGACTCTGTAGCAATATCTGGGGCTTGGGAAAGTCATCTGTTTCCGGAGAGAGAAAGAAAAAAAAAAAAGAAAAATGAAACATTGGGACTTCACCATGAAAAGGTAATACGAGAGGTATTGAATGCAACAGATGCTAGACCGAACATCCTTTCAACAAACATGATGCGCTCTCTTTAAGACATTGAGGCTACTGCTCCCACTTAGTACAACAGCAAGAAGTATATTACGCTAAAAAGCTATTGATTTACTAAGTGTTTATTTATTATGTCAAGTTCTTATTAGCATCTACATCAACATTAGCATTTTTTCACATCTATATCTTGCATTTGATTTGTTGACTACTCAGTGATATTAACATTACTGTATGCAGCTATTTTCTTTCGTTCGAGAGAGGTATCCACAATGTGCTTATGACGATTCATAATTGATTCACGTGTATACATCTACTACTGCATGCTCTTGGCCGGTCTCTCAGTTTTACCAGAACTCTAGGAACTGCTGCTGTAACTCAATTATTTACCATGCAATGATACCTTAACCATACTTTTCCAAACAAACCTTTTTTGGTTTTGAAGTAGCGTGAACAATGGCAAGTATCAGTTGTAATTTGGTGTTTACTCCTGTGCTGCTGGACAAGTTTTACAGAACCTCTTGTGACCCGTGCAGTGTTCATTTCTACACAGTCAAACACATCCAAGTAGTAAACAGTGCCAGAGAACATGAAAGGAAAAAAAAAGAGAGAAAGCAAGAGAGAGGAAATCACGAGACACACTGTGTTCCCCTCTCTTGCACATGTTCTACGGCATAATTTACTACTTACGTATGATGAACAAGTCCAACAATGCTTTTTGACATTCAAGCACTTCTAGTTTCCGAGAAGACAAAAAAATTAGAACATGTTTTCAAATCGCCACTCTTTGGCCTACTTATTAGAGTATGCGTGTCCCGACAAAAGTGTTTTCAAAATTGTCATTTAGGGCATGCGAGCGAGCAGGTCATGTACAATACGCACTGCACGTGAAGTTCTCGGCAGCGATGTCAAGTACCCGCTGACCCTCGAGTGCTGGCGGGTGGCCGCAACGCACATTGACACTCTTCTGGAAATTTTTGCGCACGATCCACGCAGGCAACCACAACAGATTGCAGTCGCACAGAAGACTGCTGCTGTCCAGCAGGCTGTAAAGAAAAAAAAAGAAGGTAGTGTTAAGTGGCAGTCAGAAGACTGTTCATGGCAAGAAATAAACACCCCTTAGTCCTGTCAATTGTAATGTTCAACGTGATGATGAGCGACCGGCACAGTGAGAGAAACATCTGCGAGGTGCAACTCCGGTCCTTGGGGCGACTGATAACGTCACATTGCTGAAGGGCCAAGTCATGCTTGTGGCGTCTTGCGGCAGAAAAAACAAAATTGCCACCATTTCGGTTTCTAAGCGAACCTGACGCTCCCATTCCGCCGCAGTCGCGGTATGTGGACGTGAAGCGCGTTCAGCCACGCTTGGTCGGTAGTGTTTTGTATTATTTTTTTCAGGGTTGCGCAAGGCGCCACCAACTGAAATGTCTCTGTCGGAGCATGTTATATTGTACTTTATGTTGGCGTTATTTGTACGCCTGCGGACTCCATCTTGAACGGGAGTTCCACCTTCCGTGGGGACTGATAATGCATCTTTTCATAAGTGAAAGCCAACACTACAAGCACTGGAGAGTATAATTGTGTGCATGGTGGGGGAGGGGAGAGAGAAGAAGAAAAAAAAACGGGGCTAATTACTATTGGTTACATTACATTATTCTTGATCCCAAATAATTACAATACATGGTTGCAAATGTATACAGTGCATTTGCAACGATGAATTGAGCGTTAGTTAAACTGACTGCTCACCAAGCTTAGTGCTAATCAAGAAATATGCATAGAAATATACAGCCAGTCCTTTTCGGAAAGAAGAACAATACATATTGAACAGAATCAGAAACGCCAAACAAGCACTCACAGCGTGGTCAGCCTTCTGCGCAGCGGTGCAAAAGTGCCCTTGCTGATGGTGGTGATCGGATTCCTCGAAAGGTCCAGGGATTGCAGGCGGCCGAGGCCCGCAAACGCCCTCGATGTCAGCGACTTGATGAAGTTGTCGGAAAGGGTGAGGTGGATAAGGCTGCTCAGGCCGAAGAAAGGCCCGTTCGTGTCCTCCATGGTCCACGAGAGGGCATTGTGGTCCAGGTACCTGAAACGCATTGGCACATCAGACGAGGACGCAATGAGCGGGCGTCGAGACAATAAGTGTTTGGGAGACTGATGGTCAAAAGACTAAAAAAGCGTCAAAAAAAAAGAGAGCAAGAGTAACAATACATCGCAATGTATTACCATGAGCCTTTGTTTATGTATTTTGGTGTATTCAAGTTTTACCAACGAAAGACTGTTCGAAAGACTGTTAGCAGTGGCCAGTGCAGGCCACCTGCGGTGGGAAGCTTTGCGATTGTTTGAGATTGTTCTGTTAGGATTACACCCAGGATGCAAATAGTCAAGTTTATTCCGGAGCTTATGCGAACACCATCGATAACGCTCGAAGGTTTGATCACTGTTGTACAAAAGACGGTTCGTTTTGCCAATGGTCAGACTGACACTATCATAATCCAAGATTCTCATCATAACACTTATAAATACGTGTTCCAGTGCCATTACAAGGCTGGCAAACGAACAACACCGCACTGCACCTAAGTGCCTGAGCACTTACAGTTCTTTCAGTTGGTTGAGCTGCTTGAAGGCCTCTTCCTCAATGTGTGAGACCAAGTTGTGTCCGAGGTAGAGAAAACGCAACGACTCCGCCTTTGCGAAGGTGCTCTTAGTGATGGCCTGAAGATTGTTGTACGTCAACTCTCTGAAATACGAGCAAAAATGTGCCACTGTTACTATCAGACTGAGAAGCTACAGTTGAGGTTTGCAGCAGCATTAGAAAACCAACGTAATCATGTTCTCGATATGCTACTCCTGACATGCTGCTTGATTGATTTATTTATTGTGCTTACAAGTGGGTCAGTTTCTTGCAATACTCCCAGCCGCCCATGTCTACTTCAGTGATGGCATTGTGGGTCAGATTTCTGCAGAGACAGACAAAAAAAAAAGTGAGGCATCTAAAATACAACCACGAAAAATTCTACAGGAAAACACATATTTTGGTCGCAACGGCGATGCACTTACAGTGATCTTAAAGACGACATTCCGTACAACCACCCGTTGGTCACAGCTGTGATGTTGTTGTAATCCAGGTTGCTGCAAGGAGCCACAAACCGAGAGAATTAAGGATTGATATTGCTCACAAAATGAGGCACACCAAAATCAAAAGATTCATTTTACACTGCAAGAAACTTCAAGTGCTGGTGAAGTCGTCGAAATAGTAAAACAGCTAAGCGTGGGAGGCTATGTTGTGGATAGTAAACCTAGATACACAAGATACCAGCTTTTTTAAACATAAGGAGAGCTTACTGAGTATAGAGACCTTTCAAGTCTGACAAGGTAAGCTTTGCTAAGCAGTTGTGAAACAAGGTATATAAGGACACAAGGATTACCTAACTAGCATAAATTGAGAGCAGTCATAACAAAGATAACCTCGAATTAAGGGTCATAACAATTACAATACCTACAAGGAGCACTTGAATATATGACAATGTGGCAGATTCAATGCAGTTCATCATCAAGCAACTTAATTAACATTGCAATATCACCTTACAACTCAGGCTGCAAATGACAAACTGGGTCTTAATTTGTTTGATCACTTGTGAGTATTATTGCCTTAACGTTCTTGCATGCATCCAGGGAATAAGTCGGTAAACAGCAAAAGGTTGCTGCAATGGTACGTCAAGTTGGACGTCAATTGTGTGTCACAATAGTTAAAAAGGCATTCCCCAGAGTGACAACACAAAGTGATACAACTCCAGAAAGTACTCTTGTGAATGACCAGTTTAGAATTTTTATTGTATTGCAGACACGAATGGTCTACCCTGTCAAGTGCATAAAATAACATTAAAAAACAAATGGTCTATGCTGTCATGTCATTAAGTCATTAAAATAACAAAAAAAAAGTTCACTCACAGAGTCTGGATCTTGCTGAGGTAGTAGAAAGCCCCATCAGAGAGGTGGCTGATGAGGTTCTTGCGTAGGCTCAGAGATTCCAATGCCTCGAGGCCCTTGAAGCTAAGGCCCTCGATTGAGCGGATCCGGTTCTTTTCCAGCTCCCTGGAGGACGAGATCAAATGTAAAATGGATGTCCTTGAAACATTTCCACAAGTCCAGTCGATATGAATGCGCTCTTTCAAATGTGTAAGACACCAGGCATCATAAGAAGTGAAGCAGAACCTTATTTATTTGATTTGCACACACAGATACACAAGGACAGAGAGGAAAGAGGGAGAGAGCAAGCTGACAACTGCCACCTGGAGGGGCACCTGATCGTAGTTCACAATAACACAGGGCAGGTAAGCAGTTTCACTAACCCAGGCAAGCGTTACTTCGCTCATTCTTCGAACATTATGCACATTTCCCGAGGACTCGCGAGTGACAGAGTATAGCTTACAAATTAACATGCATAAATTTTAAAACAGCCGACTAAGGTTGATCATTTCTCCATTGCGACCATCCAAACTTGGCTGTGCTTGTCTGACAAGAAGTGAGAGCCAGCGTACTTCGACTGAGGTCTCCAACAGTGATTTAACAAGAACCAGCTGAAGCGACAAATTTGCTCTACTTAGCCTGCAGAATTTAGCTACTCTTCATTTTTTCCTCTTTTGGCGCACAGTACCACATAAGCAAACTTACTCTAGCTGGCCATGCCATAATACTTTCGGTTACGAACAGCCCGGTACTGATTAACTGTGATGCGATGAGCGCATTATACGATCAACAAAGCAGCGCTGAATGTCACCTTTAGTAGTGAAACAAGAAAAGTGGGAAGCAGTAAATAAACTTAAGTGCGAAACTCACAGTTGCTTGAGGCTTTTAAGATTTAGGAAGAGGTTCTTGGGAATGGTGGAGAGACGATTCCTGTTGAGCTGAAGTGTCTGCAAGCTCGTGAGGTTTTCCAGAGAGCCATTCTTGATGCTCGAAATTTTGTTTGAACTTAGGAACCTGCGCAAAGAAACAAGAGCAGCCACTTTTTTACTTTTACACACAGGAGTGCTGCGGTATTCTCTATTTTAAGAAGTGACATTTTAGCAACGCATATACCATACTTTGATAGCTGTGAAAGATGTAGAAATGAATATTCATGATTGGCACGACATTATGCAGCCCCGCCGCGGTGGTCTAGTGGCTAAGGTACTCAGCTGCTGACCCACAGGTCGCGGGATCGAATCCCGGCTGCGGCGGCTGCATTGTCGATGGAGGCAGAAATGTTGTAGGTCAGTGTGCTCAGATTTGGGTGCACGTTAAAGAACCCCAGGTGGTCGAAACTTCCAGAGCCCTCCACTACCGCGTCTCTAATAATCATATGATGGTTTCGGGACATTAAACACCACATATCAATCAATCAATCAATCGACATAATGCAGGGTGAAATTAACATTGAGGTGCAAACGATGCATGAAACAATGTAGCTGCAAAGCAGCGATTGTTGCAAATCTAGACTATTTCAATAATAAAGCCTTAAAGTCATTATAACAGATGCCACCAAAAGAGAGACCGTTCAAATGGCATTTTTAAGCAGTGCTGCAAATACTTACAAGCGTTGAAGGTTGGAACTGTTGGTGAACACACCAGCAGGAATAGACGTGATCTTGTTGAAACTCAAGTCCAAATTTCTCAGTTGAGGGAGCTTCTTCAGGTCACTGGTAAGTTCTGGTATGGCGTTGTGAGCTCTGAAATAGTTAAATAAATGTCTTATTGTAACTGTTTATGCTTTCGGCATTACAGTATCTATTCAACAGGACATCGACTTACAGGTTAAGGTCGGTTAGATGGGGATGAGAACCAAGATTTGGAATTGCGGAGAGCTTGTTGTGGGCGGCTTTTCTGAAATGAGATCGACAATGCTGCCGTGAGCGCCACTTCTGTACATCTCGATGTGAACACACTGTCAGGGGCGAGCAAAACTCGTATATCTTGACAATATGGCTGAGGTCGTGCTACTTAATGTTACGGCACAATGAACATCACTGTATCCAAATGCATCATCCATGCTGAGTAAACGGACACAAAAACTGATTGTATTTCAAGCACTGATTGCATTGCATTGCACTGCAGAGAGCGATAACCTACAAGTAAGGCATTTCCATCTTTGCCAAGAAGCAATTCATTTTTCCTTTTACTCCACTCTCACGGTGAATGATGGTTGATTTTTGCTGGCTACTAATGAATTCCATAACATTACAGCGACTTACATCTTTCAGGTTCCCTTCCATAATCCTCTACATATTTAATCATACCTATATTCTTTGCAAACAGATTGAATTCAGAAAAATGCAGTAACAAACAATATAGTTTATAATAACCATTGTATCACTAAATGCCTTTCGGAAAGCAGAAGCAGAACCTCTTTTGACTTCTACACTCAATAAGTTGGAAAAATATTGAGATGGGTTTTGTAGCCGACAAGTGAATGGGACTCGTGTAAACACTCCCTTAACGCTTGGACTGATCACGCCGCTTGACGAAGAACAATGCGCGCTGGACACAGCATACTTCGATCCCAGCCTCGATGGAGTTCGGGTAAAGCGACAGTTGGAATAACGCGACTTCGTTACGACGAGATTTCGTTAAATCCGCATCTGTACAACCTTCCCGCCATTCCAATGGACACGCCGAAACCGAGTCCTCTCTGTCAAACATAAGCGGCAGCTTTGGCTGAGGCGTCTCCTCAGAGGAGCGGAATGCGATAACGCTGGCGCGCTTTCAGAAGCGCACGCGCGGGGAGTTTGAACGGGGTCGCGAGATCTCGAAATAACCGCGACCGGCAAGTTTAATACCGTGCAGCACTGGCGAAGCAAGGCGGTATCGGCTACCGCTGCGCGATGAAATGCAGCTCGAAACAGACTATGGCTCCGACCACGCAGTCGAAACATGCTCTAAAATTCAAAGTCCCTAATTAATTACTATTGCCAAAACCACAAATTCAGAAACTAGGAAAAGAGTGTTGTACCCAGATATAACACATGTTTCAAAGGGGCTTCGAGCACGTCATATGGCGCGCACTGGTTATTTATTTATTGATTGATACTGCAGCCTCGAACAGAGACTATAGCAGGTGTGAGACAGAGGTACAGAGTATTCTGAAAGGGCAAAATAATATACACGCAGAAAGTGCATAACGCGGACAATATAATGCATACAGTTAAAGCAACACAAATAGGGATGCGAAAAAATAGGGATGAGGAAATAGGGATGCAAATAGGGTTGCTGCTGATATGCCGCCGGGGGGTATTTCATAAACTCTAATACGTCGTAGTCCACTATAAAGGAGTTTGAAAGTGCATATAAACTTCATCACGAAATCCGGCTGGTTAGTGGTCTGGACTCGGTCGCATAGGAGACCTTCCGTCTCCTATCTCCTAAGGCATTGTCAAAAAAAGAAAGAGAGAGGGAGGGAGGAGAATGCAGATACCTCCTGGGCGCGCGCGAATGGTAATGTTCGCTATAAGCCCACGCGTAAGCGCACACATCTGTCTGTGTTCCAAAACCGTGTAATGTTCGGCACGTCGTCATTCACCAGAACGAGCCGCGAACGTGCGTATGAGAGGTAAAAAAAAGACACAGGCACGGACCGCAACGGCAGCTGCGCGAACATCTCGGAGCGCGGATAATCCGTGCAGCACACAGAGGGAACCTGCGGTGAAGCGGCCCAAGCTGATCGCACGTCAACGCAATGGAAACGCCTCGTTGCTCCGCTGTGTCCAACGTTGTAAGGCCTGCTCCCGACGCCATGTTGAATGAAGAACCACGAATATATTAGTGATGCGGAAGTAGACACAAATGTTCTACCAGCAAACCTTCCTTTTGTTTTCTTGAATGAAAAAAACATCGCGCACTGGCTGATGCTACACGTAATAAAACTTCGACTGCACTGCACGGATTTGGTGCGCTACGGAGACCATTCCGAACGGCGCTTCCCGCGGGGGGCTGGCGTGAGGTGCAGTCTAGCTTTGTATCCGCGTGAGGATCGTGAATCATGACCCTCACAGTGCACGTACACAGATATACGCCTGGATCCACGCAACGCCATCATTATACACGCCACTTTAGGAGGTGGTGCAGGGTTGGTGGGAGGCTGAACGTCTGCCAACTGCTATGAGCCACGCACGCAGCTGAGGGGGATCTGTTCAAATTCACATGCGCGTTGCGAGCCTCCTGTGTAGGAATAAAGCAGGAGCGCCTTACTCAACGATCGGGGGATGAAAAACTGTTATCACGAAGAAGGTAAAAAAAAAATCAGCTTAAGGCTGCCGCCTTTATTTTCCTGCGCTACCCTCTGCTGCGGTTTTGTTAAAGAAAAAAAAAAGGGGGGGGGGGGGGGGGGGGCTTCGGGCTTTGCGGGTGTTTCGGGACAACCGAGCTTGCCAGAACAAAAGCCTTCGAGATCGGCGGAAACTCTACCGCAACGTTTCTCGACTTTCTCGCCAGGGAAGCGGCGCATGCGCCGTCGCACCGTGAAAAAAAAAAAAGGCGCTAACTGTGTCAGGCCCCGCCGTCGTGGCGCGTCATTTGCAGGCAGTTCGCCGGATAGACAAGTCCCGGTGTTCAAACTACATCACAGTGTCAAAGTCGTCATCTTGTCAGCTTTGATTGACTCACGAATTGCCAGAGAAAGCAAAAAACAAAAACAGATGGAAGAAAAAAAAACGCTACCAACACAATTTTGACAGTATCCAGACAGGCGCACGAAATAGTGCTCCCCTGTCCCAGAATGAAGAGCGCGTAATTGAGTTTGAGACATACACAAGGCGAAAGGCGCTAGCGCAACCTGAGCCGGGTACGAAAAAAGAAAATAAGCAACCGACGTAACGAAATAAATCAAACGGTTCCTAAATGGGCGCATCGTGAGCCCTTCATCGTATACAGCTGCGTCCTTTCTCTCGGCTATGCATCAGCAGCGCGGCTGAAAACGCGCGTACATAAATGAATGTCCGCACTGGGGCAGCACACGCACGCGCTGACGACGCACGAGACGGGTCACGTGATCTCACGGAGCTTCCTCGCAAGACGCATACAACCGCATGCAGCCGCGCGTGATCTGTCAAATTGCGCCGGGCGCGCGCACGCGCACACATATGCGCGGCCGGTCGGAACCGATTAGATCGCACACGCTCGTCCGCGCTACCTTCGACGAAGAAGAGGCTCTGTTACTCGTTTATATCTTCCTTCTTATTCATTATTTTTTCTACGCATTGCGCCAATCAGCGGGCTCCCCCGCTCTCGCTAACAAGGCGGTTGTCCTCCTCGTCCAATGCGCGCACGAACTGAAACAATTTGTGGGGAGAGGGTTTCTTTTATTATTATTATTCGATGAGGAAGCGCGATCGAACTGCTATAGCTCTGCAACCCCGTTATTACTGGTGAGATGGGCAATTTCGTCAGTCGCGCGCGAGGAGGACGATCCGAAAAAGAAGGCTTAGCTCTATCGTTGCCAGACGGACCGAGCTCGCGAGGGAATTTCTACTTCCCGGTCGAAAAGGGTTGTGAAAACTGTTAATTGGGGGTTGATTATATCCGTCTAGATTACGGTTACACGCCGCACGGAGGCCTGAGAGCGAGTGTAGAATACTCACGGGACTTTTCTAACGAAACAAAATAATTAGCAGACACGACTGATTCTCCCAGGGTTGAATCTTTTGCGCAAACATGAATACACGATACCGTGGACGGAGGTGCCAGCCGCTGTCCTATACAGCACAACACGCACCGCGCGCGTATATACGAGTAACGCGGAGGTTGTTGGTTCGCTTCCCGTGTGCACTTTCGTTTCCCCTTTTTTATCTTGTAGTTATTATGCGCTTCAATTAAACGATGCAAACAACCTCCTTTTCGTGCGCTTTTCTCGAATAAACTACTGCCTTGGTTGAACACAAAAGGCACTGGGCTGCATTGATATATTATATATATATATATATATATATATATATATATATATATATACATATATATATATATATATATATATATATATATATCCATGTAGGGTGCAATGTCAGCGCATGCTTAAGAACAACAGACGGTCGAAATTCCCAGTAGTCGATATAACACTCTCCATGTAGACGCGTACGAACGCGCGAATAACGAAACGGGCAACGAAATTGACGCACCGCCTCAGTGGAGACGTCTCGCGGCGGCGCTTTGAAACCACGGAGCGCTAAAGTCGCGCTCGCGGAGGAGCCTTGAGACACGTAGGCTCGACGAGAACGTGAATAGAAAAATGGAGGGAAGTCAGCTCGCGCGCGACGCGGGGAGAGATAAAAGTGCGTAAACACCGGTGTGACGCAATTCACGAAGGCGATAAGCAGAAGACGGCAACCGCTATCAGTCCCATAAAGGAGGACCCGCCTCGTCCGCGAAGGATACGAGGGAGAACCAGAAACGGTTGACGTGACCGGCCACTTGTCTATAGTATATGGAATCTGTCCACTTCCGGTGGAGCAGACGGCGTTGTGCCAAATGAGGATGGCTGAAATGGTTTAACAAGCGCGCACAACGCAAGCTGTAAAGAATGACCACATATGCATATACGCGCGCACTTTTTTTTTTTTGGCGTGAGTTATACGGCGAGCTTTTGATTTCACACGCCGGAATAAAGCGTAAACCTAACCCTCGTGGGCATCGGAGCTTTATATAATAACATAACGTCCCCCCTTCCCCCCCTCCCCTGTTACTGCCCTGGCAGGAAGGAACCTTCAGATAAGGAAGACCTCGTTATTGCGAAAACAAATTTCCTTCTTTCCTCGTACCATTGAAGAGTGGAACGATTTGCCTGCAAGCAGTTTACACTCTCCCGATCTTATTTACGCTGAAATTTGAAGTTGTTTTTCTAACTATTGCAACTATTTCCTCTTTTCCCTCCCCACTCTTTCCTTTTGTTGCTTTTGTATAAATATGTACGCTTTCCACTTTTTACTCTCTTAATTGTTGATGTTGTTTTGAAATGTGTATGACAACTGTATTATCTTGCCCCTCCTGCTTTGGCCTCTGGCCAGCAGTATTTGTAAATAAATAAAATAAAAAGAACATAAATAGTCAAACGAAATGCAGGTGATAGGACAGGGCTGCGTGAAAGCTAAGTGATTATACAAAAGTCAGACTCGCCATCTTGTTCTGCTAAATGTTCCCGAACATTTCGTACGCGAGTGAACTGCTCGCATTGGTGTACTCCATCGAGTTCCTTACCAGATAAAGAGTATGTACCATTTTACTGATTGCTTTCGGTGTCGCCATTTTGACGCCTAAACCCGTGATAACACCTGACACGTACAAAAATAAGAGACCATTCGTTCCACAGCCTCAGATGACGGCACCCAAATGTCTTTTTTTTTTAAAATTCCGTAGAAGTAAGGGTGACTGGCGCGCTCATTTTGGCAAAAAAAAAAAAAAAAAGGAGGAAGAGCGCGACGACACGAAGCAAGCACCGCCACTGCCACTACACCACGTACGCGATGGCTCGGCCACGGCGGAGGTCAACTTTCCCGACGACCTTTCACACGTCGCCGTCGTTTTTCGCCACTGCCCCACCATCTTCTCGACCCTGACGGTCGCCTTCCTCCTCTTCAGAAACGTTCGAGGAACGCCGATAAGAAAGCTGCTAATGCATCGACACACACACACACACTGTGTACACACACTTGGACTGGCGACTATCGATGCAATGCAATGACGCTCCAGTGAGCGGGGTTGGGAAATGAAAAAAAAAAAAAAAAGGTTACGAGATGAGCTAAGGAGACGTCCCGTCGGAGAAGGCCGAGCAGCGAAACAGAGCTGTACGTGAGGACGAGGGCGCAATTAGAAGGCGCGACGACGACGAGGCAAGGCGCAGAATGCGGCACATTGCATCAGTCCCATGCACATAAGGCATTGCGCACAATGTGTAGAAAAAGCGTTGCTGATTAACAAACCAATTGTGCTACTTGAACCCCACATTATGAGTTTAAATTTAAATACACCTACCCTCAAAAGAGGGAGGGAAGTAACACATCGGTTCCGTGAGTCGTTGTAGGTTAAGAGCTTAGCAAGTACTGCAGAAAGAAAATAAAAAAGGAAAAAAAACGAATACTTATCGAGTACACGGCTTGTGTGTATGTATACAGGAAGATCGTATTTGTGGGAAGGGTGTACTCGAAATCCACCAATCAATCAACCAATCAATCCATCCTTTGCAGACAGCGCTGTGCGGATATCCTCGAGGCCCCCAAATTCCCTTATCAGAATGCCTATATGAGTCACAACTAACTAACGAATAAATAAATGAACGAACGAATGAATCACGAAGGACGCCCAAGCCGGCCTTCGCTACAGCGACACAGCCAGTTACAACCGCTGGATACATGAAAACAGATTGCACAAGACACTACTTCACTTCATATATCACAACACCGGCCTAACAGCACACATTTAACAAAAATATTGTGCCTTAAAGGCAAGTCTTTGTCACAATAAAAAAAAAAGAATCACGAAAGCAGGCGAATCAGCGCGCCGATATGTCTGTCACCACACGGTACAGAGCAACGAAAGAGCGTTCCTCGATCATCATCATCAGCCAAAGCGAGTCAAGACCTCCAACGGCGATCACAATGGCTTCTCCAGACGCGCAAGGGATGGCACAAAGATATCTCTTTTAAGTAGGACACTAAAGGTCGACAGACGCGACAAAAAGAGAAATAAGAGGGCGGAGAGAAAACAATACGTGCTCATAGAGAGGAGGCCACAGCAGTGCGCATTCGTTGATTACCGTTACACAAAGGCGCACACAAAGAACGAGGCTCCATACCGGTCGGCAACATCGCCGCTATTATGTCTTCATTGTTGATCTCGTCCATTACATCGTGCCCGATACAGGTCCATCCACAAACCTCTCATCCCAAGGCCGTGCCGTATATTATTGACAGACCGCGCTCAGTCTACTCAACATCCTGACGAAGCAAAAGTGGGGCTACCGACGTTTGACCTTTCGCGCCTCAACGTCGTGAGATAAAACAGCGACTCCGTGTGGTGCGTGTGCGTGTGTGTGTGTGTGTGCGTGTGCGTGTGTGTGTGTGTGTGTGTGTGTCGTTTCAGAGATATAGTGCCCGGGTCGATGTAGATAAGAAACGCAGAGGCGATGTGTATACACACGCAGAGTTGACGCCGATATGCAGCACAGCCCAAGATAACAAGACGAAGAAGAGGACGAAAAAAAAAAAAAAAAGACTCGCAACGCCACGACCTGCGCGACGAAGCGAGCACTTTACACGAAGAGATCGAGAGAGAATGAAAAGGGGGGGGGGGGGGGGGTTAAAAGGGTGGAAGAAAAAAAAAAGAGAAAAGAATGGTAAAGAAATGATAGCGTGGGCTACTTCTTTTTTTTTTTCCTCTTCACTTTGCAATAATCCCGACGGAAAAGAAGCAACAGGAAATCAAAACAAGCTTCCCTCTTTGCACGCTAAGGGATTATAAGACGTCGAGGACAATTTTACGGTGCAAATTTATGCGCCTGGCTACAAACCATGGCGACGATGCGGAAAAGACAAAGCTCACCCATTCACAGTCATACACGGCGCCGCGCGCAGTGTTTTTTAATTTTTTATATTTTATTTTTATGTTACATTTACCGCGTACCAATACGATTGAGAACTCAATTTGCGTCGGGAAGCCATGAAATACAAAGCGAGCCAGCATTGCAGAAAAGAAGATCATCAAAAATACGGGACGCAATGCATATAAAAAAAAACAGCGAGCATCACAAGCGCAAGACGCGTTTTCTTTCTTGTTTTATAGCTTTTTTTAAAACAACAAAGCCAACTCGGTTCAAGCAGAAGGCAACTGTAGTTGCCTTCTGCTTGAACGTCGTTTATATATAAACGACGTTCGGGTTTACACACTTGCATTGCGTTGGCGTCTATGAAGCGAAAGACGTACGGAGATCGCTGCATATTCCGCAGATTGATATCTGGAAAGTATACGTTAGGCTCTCCCTGGGAACTTGCCAGCCAAAGCGTCCATAACAAATGGAGCTCGATCAGATTCACTCAATAAATATGCTTTTCGCTTATAACCTACTCGGACTCAGGCTCACTAAACTTTCTTCCAACCTGAATCACTCGGGCTCAGACTCACGAGCATTATCGTCGGCCGTACTCACTCGAACTCAAGATTCGATAAAATATAAATCAACCGGACTCACTCGGATTCAGAGTCACGGCTTCATCCGACTACGAGTGAGTTGATTGATTTATATGTGGGATTTGGCGTCCCAAAACCACCATATGATTACGAAAGACGCCGTAGTGGAGGGTTACGGAAATTTCGACCACCTGGAGTTCTTTAACGTGCACCCAAATCTGAGCACACGGGCCTACAGCATTTCCGCCTCCATCGCAAATGCAGCCGTGTCGCAGCCGGGATTCGATCCCGCTACCTGCGGGTCAGCAGACGAGTACCTTAGCCACTGGGCCACCGCGGTGAGGCGACTATGAGCGAGTCGACTCATGAATGAGTTCACCGACTTATGAAGGCTTCTCTCCCTCGGAAACTGAAGGAACAGAAGTCCGAGGGCTGCTTGAATGGCCGCTCTTTTACTTTCAGGCAGGAGGGAGAGCAAAGGTCACCAAAGGACTCGGCCGCCCTTGGCATGCGAAGAACGGCACGTGCGGTGCGAGAACATGAGCTCTTAAGAGAGGCTGCCGTGAGTCCCCACGAGCAGCAAGCACGAGGAGGCTTCTGTGCCAGGCCGGAACCGGAAGAAGGCTGTTCCGGCCTGTCACTGCAGACCAGCAAGGATAAACCTGACACCGAGTAGGTCAGCAAGCTGACTGTTCACACTGCTTAAAGTTTTTGGTCAGCTTGGTAACTTCGAAATATTACAGTGACGCGTACTGCATAATAAAAAGTGAGGAGGGAGAGATGAGGAGGGAGGGGTGTACTGGAAGTTGCATCGCTTCTATCGAATGCGCAACAGAAGAGGGGGGAAAAAACGCGTTTCGGAAGGATCTCGGGGTTCGCGCCCACTACCAATCTCTTTTTATCTAGCACGCAGAGCAGGAAAGGCCGGAAAGCTCGAATAGCGGACCGGACTGTTGGCGGCTGCTGCCGCTGGCTGCCACGGTAGGCCGCCTGCCTGTGTGTGTGCGCGCGGTAGCACAAACTGCAGCGCCGTCTCACCAATTCCGTGCACTGCGGGCGACAACTCCACGCACCGAGTCGCGTTTACTACACAACCGTAGTAACCAGCTGCGTGCGCCCGGCAAGAAAAAAAGCGAGGGCTTCCCGTGGTTTTTAACCCCTTTGACGATCTCTCTCTCTCTTTTTTTTTTTCCTTTCAGACGACACCGCCGGCGCGGCCGAGGTATTAGCGACGAACAAAGGGGCGAGAATTCGTGCTGCCTTGGTGCATCTGGCTGGGAGACCCAAAGGACCGACGGGATACCCGCGCGCGGCATTCTTCACTGCGCTGCAAGGACGACTCGACGGCGACTACCTCGAGAGAACGGCGGGTATTTCGAGAGACGCCCCCCCCCCCCCTCCTACGCACACACACACAAAAGGAGGGGGGAGACAGTGCAGAGAAGAGAGGGGTCACCAGGCAGACAACGGGAGCTGGGAGCAGCGGGTCGGAAGACGCGGAGACACGACAGTTTAGCAGCGGCTACAGAAAGGAAGGGCAGAGGAAAAAGAAAAGGACGTAGCCGGGGACTCGCCCGTCCTTTCAGGACGGGAAAGAAGGCCCGCGTTGATGGAGAACTCGAGCCTCGAGTGTTGTACGTGCGTGCGTGCGTGCGTTCGCTGCGGAGGATGTGACAGGAGAAGTGAGGAACAGGACTGGGTTCAACACGCACACACCCCCGGCTCGGAAATCCACACTCTTTCTCAGCAGCACCCCACACGAACGAGCTGCCTCGCTCGTCGTCGTATCCGAGGAAGCCGGCGCTCTACGGAGGGGGCCATGCTGTCGTTTCGTTCTCGAAGAAGAGTCTGGAAACGAGGCGAGACGGGAACACGCGAGAAAGGACAGGCATATATCTCGCGAAAGGCTGAGGCCAACTAAGATTTAAGTTCGGTATTACTAAAAAAAAAAAGTGTAGCCAGCGCGTAGTCGGAAGCGCGAAATCTTGATAGGCTCAACGCTTGGCGCTGTCGTTGTACACGCGTTTTGAGAAGGAGTAAGCGGCGAGGAATATAGGGCGCCTGAAGGAACGGCACTAAATGGGAGAAATAAACTCTTCCCTCATTTTAGATGTCGGAAAAGTTCCACGGCCGGGGAAGGAAGTACAACGAAGAGAGCCGTGTCTCTCACTTTCGAAATGCGCGATCACATCAGGCAAATTGAACGGTTCAACTGTCCGGTCCGCGTCCAGTCCACGGGCCTCCGTTATGAAGAGAGCCGTCGTGGGGCATTCAAGACGATTCAAGCCGGTCAAGAGCCCCGTTTCAGGCTTTCACGGCTCGTTGAAGCGCGCCGTGACCAACAGAAAGAGCCGACCAGCTAACCAGGCCGGCTGACCCTAACGGTCCATCCAGTTACCTCCGCACCATAAAAAAAGTCTCGCCGAGGCACCCATTGAGGCGTCGCAATTCACATGCACCGGCGCAACCGGAGGCCAGCAATAATAGTATAATAGTACAGAGTAACGAGTGAGCCAAGCAGACGCTCGCCCCGGTAAAAATGCGGAGCACGCTTCGAGCGTAAATCATGTAATACGCCCGCGGCAGGCCGCCATAAACGCATAAATGCGTATAGTGAGGGAAGCAGACGACCAGAATCGTCTGCGCCCTTCGAAGGCGGCAGTATACGTGTGTATAGATAGTCGCTTTGTCGATTAACCACATCCGCACACTGGTTAAACGTACACATCTCGTTCATTCATTCTTCTGCCGCTTACCCCGTGGCGCTGAGCCATGTTAGCACCACGTTTATTACGATGACCCAGAAATGGCAGTCTGTATACAGCCCGTGCGTGTGAGTCTTCTCAAAAGTTATAATAAATCAAGGGTCGAATTCCGCCGTGTTTCAAACACGACCGCAATCTGTCCTCACGCAAGCACACTACGTGTGCACTCGTTCGACGAGATTTCATAAAATTGACAGTTAAGTGAATCGAAAGTAGGTCACTGCTGTCAAACGTCGAACAATGTTTAAAAAAAATAAAAACGGAGCGAGCTGACGGCAATGAGATGACTTTGCTTCTGGCATGCAGATGGTTAAGAGTCAAACATGAACAGAAAGCCAGAGAAGGAATCATTTCGCATTTTGTTATACTACACAAGAGTATTATTTATCTCATACTGCGCTAACCATCATTATAGCACCTGCATATCTCCTAGTCCGGCTCTATCTTGAAGCCTATTTTCGCGCTATTCTCGGGCAATCCTCTTTTTCGTGGGGTGGGGGGGGGGAGAGGGGGAGCGACTTCATTAACGAACTTGGAAAAGGTGCCGCGCCCCCACGCTGACCGTGATACTAATTAACTCTGTTTAGTCCAGTGCTATATCGAAGCCATACCCCCTCACGTGAAGGAGAAGTGTTTATAACTCGGCGCCCCTCCCCTGGCCAGATGACCTCTACAACATTTCGCGGAAAGCTGTAATACACCAAGCCAGAACCCCCGCTCCGGTCGGCGTACCCACGGTATGTGCGTCACGGAGCGGCTGCGTGCAGATGACGCACATGCAAGCGTGTACAACACGAGCGAGATAGCATGCTGCGCTGGCACACCTCCGACGTGTTACAATGTTCGTTACGTTGTTTTCTTTTGTTAAGATTACCACTCTCTCCCTTCAATCTCTCAGGAAAACACTCGTTTATCTTGCTCTTGGCCAATTTATTAACGCCTGCAGCCAAGTGCGGCTACGAAAAAAAAAAAAAAACGGACACTTCGCCAAACTGCGCAGCTGGTGCAGCGCATAGCTCGCATGCGCTTTTCCTCACGGAAAGCTTCCACGAGACCTGCAGACAACGCGCGCTCAAAACAGATGATCAGCGCTAGCTCAACGGAGATGGAGAATGGGGGGATATGGGGGCTACGGCTCAACGCACGCGCCGCACCACTTCGGGCGGCGCAGAGCGTTCACACGTGCGTACACACATAAGCGAGCGAAACGTCCGTCCCATCGGGCGGAAACCAAACAAACACCTACAGAGCGGCAACACAGCGGGAGGGGAGAACAGCGCGAGGAGATAGAGGGAGCCAGGACTTGTCAAATGTTTCTCTGACAATGATTTACGCGGCTGTTGCATCGCTTCTCCGTCTCAGCGCTGGGCTGGGCTGGTCGCAGTGAGAAACGCGATTGAAGAGCGGAAAGGAGGAGTGGAAAGGAGCAAAATAGATACGCACGCTCAAGCACACGGCTGCAAGATTTCCCCGCCGCGTGTGCAAGCTGTGTGTGTGTTGCTGTTGCGCACGCAGTCGGTAGGCGGCCTAGCTGTGCGTACGTCCGTGTGTGTGCGTGTGTGTGCACCACGTGACCCCGGCGGTCAACCCAATCAAGCTCCTCCGCCAGCGGGCGGCGGAGAAGCGCAAAAACAAGCGGAGGCGCCTCGCTCATTCCACGGCCGAAGCATAGGGGCAGCAGCAGCAGCAGCCGGACGGAAAGAAAGTGACGAGCGCCAGAAGCATAGAAACAAAAGTGCGAAGATGAAGCCAGTAGTAGGAAGAAGGAGGAGGGTGGAAGCGGCTAAGCCCGGCTGAACTGCTGCTTCGCAAGCGTGCGCGAAAGAGGGGCGGAAGAAGAGCGTGCCGGCCGGCCGGGCGGGCATCGCGAAGCGCGCCAAACTCGGTTTTGCTCTCCGTCCGCGTGGATGCAGCAGCGGAGACCGGCTGCGGGGGCACGACATTCGGCGGCATTTCTTCGGAGGCGCCAGCCAGGCAGGCAGGCAGGCGCGCGACGCGGAGGAGGCCGGGGTGGGTTGGTTGGTTCCTCGGGGGACTCAACGACCCCCCCAACGCCCTTCTCCCTCCGGCGCTCCCCATGCCTAACCCTCAAGTTGCGTCTCTCTCGTTTCTCGACCAGACGAGACTAGAAGAAGACCCCCATACAGAAAACCGCATCCTCTTTTTGTTTAAGGGACTATTGCCTGATCGACTTTCCTGGCGCTAACTATACTAAAGGACCTGGACGCAGCTACAAAAGATACAGAGCGCAAATGTATTTTCGCTCTAGCGTTCTGTATGAGCCGCTCTGTCCAAAGGAAGGGGAATTAAGGGGGTTGTGTCCAGTTACATTTGCGCTCGCGCGATCTGTACGTCCTACGGCTGAACCCCGTCCTTTTTGTAGATGGTGTATGAGAACAGTGCGAGGCTTTATGTACGCATTGTACGGCTTTCTGCTCTTCCACAGTAGAGCACCAAGTACTCTAAATTGTTACATTTTTTTTCTAAACACCACATATCCTTCATAATAACCAGTATTTTTTTTAGTTAGCAAAAGTAGCTTTCCTATCGGACAGTTTATCGCTCTCCTATGGTATTTTATACAGTACTCTAAATCCCTCAACCTTTTGCTAAACTCAGGAAAGCTGATCATGTTTAAGAAACTAGCCCATTGTCAGGTATTGCTCATGATTACTGCTTCTTTTTCGTACTAGCCCCCCTTCTCTTACGCCACGTTTCCACTCGCGCTCAACGACATCTCCGTAAGACACAAACGCTGAAATAACATTTCAGGGCTGCCTCCGTCACTCCCGTCTCTGTTGAGCGCAGGAGTAGGCAACACTAGCGCGCCCGACCGGCGCTCTTCGCAGGTAACGCAAGTCTCGGACCGGCGCCGTAAAAACAAACTGCGTCAGGGCGCGAGATTCGTCGATAAGGCGAAGGTTTCGGAGTCGGAATCGAAACGAGACGGCGCCAGCCATACACACACGCCGCGTAGGTATACTGCGGACGCACAGGTGAAAGAGGGGGGAGATGGCTGCTACGTAGACTTGTCCGTGACCTCCCTTTAACCGACTGCCTCCTCCTTTTCAAAGTTTATTAGCTTGCACAGCGTCCCGTACCTTCCTGACGCAGTCCTAGCAAATACAAAACGAAAGCCTTCAAGCAGCTAGGACAAGTGTCTGGGCTCTTAGTTTAGGATTGACGAGTCAGATGTATAGCATTGCGCAACACGACAAAGTCTAAGTAGAAAGTGACACAATGCTGTGCATGTGTCTGCTTCTTTTATAATCTATGTCGTGCTACGTACACGACGAGTCAATTATGAATCCTTCAAACGGATCACCCGGTAAAAAAAAAAAATCGATTCCTGCAGTTGGCCTACCGAGGAGGAGGTGTGGAAGAAAATAAACCTAATGTCCTATACAAAATTGGAGAGCCCGCCTAACTACTCCCACGTTAAACGGAACCGAGAGGTCAAGCCTCCTGGTCCTAACATGGGTGTACCGGACTGCTAGCACCTTCTGCATGCGGTCTTGCTACCCGATCATGCTTTAGATATTGGAAGCTCGCAGTGTGTCCTAGGCTGAGCCTATAAAGAAGGCTCAGCCCAGTATTCGTCCAAGAAACGAACGGTGGAGCGGGAGACAGAGAGAATCAAGCTCTATTTCTAAAGCCAGGCCGCTTACGCCCGAAGGTGGGCGGTCATCTAATTCCAGGTAGCCGTGGGCCGATAGCCTATAGACAACCGTGTCAGAAGCGTTAAGTCGATAGATTTCTAACATCCTCCCTCTCTATTCTGCGCAACACATCCATCATTCCCGGCTTAACGAACTTAACGCCCCGCCTCCGTCTCTATTACGGGAACAATTAAAATAGCCTTGCTGTAGCGTCACGCGCCCTACGTAAGGTTGCCGAGAAAGACCGTCGTCGTCTTCGCAAAAGACGAGGAATTGTTTCTTCGCGGGGAACGCCGTCGCCACCTTTTCCAACAATATGGGCAATTTGCGACGCAATCTATCACAACTGTGGGGCGTGTTGGGAGCCGCCAACTGTTCTATATACCCCGGCAAACAATAAAATCCACGCTCGTTTTAAAGAGAACACCGCCTCGTGACCTTCATTTCCCTTTTCTTTGAATTAGTGCCCTCCCGACAGAACGAAAGAAGCGGAACTGCCGCTTCTCTGTTGGTTTCATTGGATGTGACCTTTCGGCGAAGCATCATCTATGAGAGTGAACGACAAGAAAAAAGGAAGCTGCTTAACGACGCTTCATACTGCTAATGGGAGCAACGCAATTAACGCTCTCCGACGAGCAGATGAGTTTTTTGCTCGTCAGTAAGATTAAAAGCTTGGAGGGACAGTTACAGAGTGTTGACAGGCACTTCGCGCCTGTCGTCTGCTGAGTTCGCAAACGACCGGCTTGTATTGCGCGCTCACCTCACCGCACACACACACATTTAGCAGCTCGGTTTATTACAAGTGGCATCCCATTATCGAGAATGAAAGCAAAGACGAACAGACGCCAGTTTGGAACAAAGCCCTATTTTAGTTGTTTTTTTCTCTAGAAAAGAGCGATGCTGGATGCCGCCATCGTGTCGATCACACACAATGCCGGGACTGTCTACAGTCCTTCGCTGCTCTCCTGTTTTGTGTGGCAATAAAAAGCGTACCGCGTGGAGTGTCTAACCTTCCAGCGGTTTCTCTGAAAAGTGCATAGAAAATTTTAAAACAAGAATTTTCTGTCCGCGTTATGTCTCCTTCCACGGGTGAGACGAATGCCCACAACACTGGTCGGTGCCAGTGAAAGTGCAAAACTGAAACCGCGCGTGGTTTTCGCAGGCTTCATGAAGTTTGGTTATTAATAAAACAAATATCTTAGTGGTCGTTTTAGGCACACACACACACTTCTTTTGTTGTTCTCGTGAGCAGCGGCGGACGCCGTGGTCGTGTTTCTCCTCCGTTTGCAGGCAAGCATGCAGGCAAGCGAACACACTGCTGGCAGCGCCACCGAGCGCCTACTTGAGCAC